TCGGCGCATAGTACAAGAGTCTCACGGCCAAAACATTCTTGTCCAGCATCTCCAGTCAAAGTGACACACAGTACTAGTAGTAGTAGTAGGACTAGGTTGATTGCAGACAACGACCAATAAGTGAAACATGCAGGCTGCACAAAGCCAATTGCCGAACACTACACAAACATGCATGGATGCATGTGTCAAATGAATCCATTACGAACCAAAAAAGCCGACATTGTCTCTCTCGCCGTCAATGGGCACGGCCGTGCTCAAAGTTGGTGCCGTCGTAGGATGGTGGTTGGGTGGTATTTCTCGTGTAAAGGGCCAGGCACTTTGCGAAACTAGAAAGCAGCCTGGAACTGTAACCATTCTAGCACCAAGCTGCACTCTAGAGTTTCGAAGTGACGTGTTTTATCCCGGCAGTTTGCCCAAAGCGGCAGCGGCTCAGGCATTGCGTTTGATTCTCGAATGAAGCACCCTAGACTCTAATTTCATCGACATAGTCGGAACCTACGGGCTGATAACTAAACCTTATCACGACAGCAACTTTAGCATATCTCAGTTGTGAGTGATCGGCAAAACCTTGCCGATCCGAGAGCTGTACTTGGGGCAAATCTCATGATTCACAGGAGCGGCGTCACAGCCATCGCTTGTATGGCTCAAGCAACTGAGTTCCCTAGGAACCGCATCGTTCAATACCAAGCACCCTCCTGGAATAGACTTGAATAAGAAGAATACAAGCAACTCGACGTGTTTCATTTAATGTCGTTGTTTCGGTTGAGTCACACAACTGGACACCGGACAAAGCCACAAGCCGAGGCTCCCGGGTATGCAGCCCAATATACTCCGAAGAGACGCGGCGTGCAAAGGAGAGGAGGGAGAGGCTTGACCTGACACCAGTGTCAAGTGGGAAAGGGAAAATATCGGCTCCGGTTTCGATGCTGATTTATTTATAGACGGATGTTTCTTGGGTGGGATTGGGTTATTTGTTTATCAACTTTTGTGAATATCACAGCAGGAAGTTTTAAAAAAAAAAAAAAGGGCAGTCGCAGAATCTACATGGCCAAAACAGAAAATCCACCAATACATGGCTACAATAGCAACCGATACCACAAGCCAGAGTATCTCAGTCCGGAACACCAAAGTTCTACCAGACGCGGGAGGTTGCATATCACGAAGGCGACCGTCTCCCTCTACCCGACACTCGGCCGCCCGTCAAGACAGCGACTGCATGTTTCGTTTTTCTTCCTCATTTCTTCTCCTCCGTCCGCAGCGAGTGGCCAGAACAAGACAAACCCGACGAGGACGGGTAAAACCGAAAATGGCAACCGACAACGGAGGCAGCGCTCCGGTATGGAACTGAACTGCTGGTCTCGCCGCAGAGTTATTGTTCCACCACAGGGGGCCCATCACCCATTACCCATTACCCATAGGCTCGCCAACCTGAGAAAGCCTTTTGACAAGGTGGATGTGTCGGCACGCCAGTTCCGTGCGGTTTGGGCTGCATGCAATCGGCTTCGACACCCTCCCCGGCTGGGGATGCATGGACATCTGGAGTGACTCGCAAAAGACGGGCCTTATCTACAGTACGCTTCCAACTCTGGCGGAGACACTTTGTGCGCCGGTACTTTGTGGAGTTATCTGCCGTGAGTTCTCTGCTACCGTTACACATTGTCGAGGGTCGAGGCTGGTTTAGACCTACACCTCTTCCGGTTATACTATATGTTGATGAACATGACGAAATGGGAACCAGAAAACTGCTGATGAAGCGGCTATATCGTGCCGACCGGCGTCCCTGCCTTCTCCGATATTGCCTCTCTGCATGGAGTATTCGCAGATCTATCCATATCAGTCTGAACTCCCACACCAGAGCGATTCCCCCCCGGCTGACGACCTACCTACCTAGGCAGTCTAGTCTGGCCATCTCGCTCTTGAGCCTTCTGTTTGGGAACTTCCATGAGAGACATGTGCCCCATCATGTCGTCGACGGTGTCGATGGATGCTCCTCTATACGGGGGGTTGATGAAACACGCTGCAAGATTAACTTTGCGGCTTGCATCTATTCTCAGTTCTTATCTTATGGTTGTTGATTGAGCTTGATGTCGGTTCATGGTGGTACCGTGCTCGAAAATGTATCATAGGCTGTTGGCCCCGAGGTGGCCCGGGTGAGCCATCTCCGCGGACGGCAAGCCACGCCATAACTTGACCGTTGACGGTTTGAATGATGGTTGGCAGCGGAGGTGGCGGGCTGTTAATTTAAGCTTAGGATACTTGAGCGATGGCGGATGACATGGCCGTAGTTGTGGTTGCCATGAGCTCCTGGATGGTGGAATAGGGACGACTTTTACGACCGACGACCACTATTCATGATAAGGGGAGCATGAAAGGCCTAATCTGAGGCTACCATACATGACAGTCGCGGAATAGATTATAGACACACTTTTACGAATCTTCCAGTAAATGGCTCGAGGATCATGTCAGTTGCCACAAATATACCGAGCCGCCAGTCTCAGAGGATTTTGCCGGGTAGAGCAAGTCGAATATTTTCAACACCAAGCCTCTCAAACCCGACGTAAACAGCATTTAATGAGCAGAATCATCAACAGCTTCCCACGCCGGCGTTAACTCAACCCCGATCCTCGCAAACTCCTCCCCAAACTGCAACAAGTCCCTCCACCTCGCCGGAATAGCCTCAACGCCATCCCTGGCTCCCAGCAAGCCGCCCGCCACCGCAGCATTCGTGTCAGTATCCCTCCCTATCCTCACCACATCAACCAGCACGTCCTCCAAGCTCCTCTTGTCCAAAACAGCGGCAACCGCCACCGCCAACGTCTCCAGCACATACCCGCTACAGCGGCCCTTCATCTCCGCCGCGTCAGGGCCATGGCTCGCCATCCGCTCGACGCTCACCCTCCTGCCCAGCTCGACGGCCTGCGAGACGAGCCCATTCCTGCCCTGCAGCCTCTCCGCCAGAACTAGCCCGGCCTCGACGGCGCTCGCCGGCGCCGTGCCCCGTATCAGCGCCGCCACGATGCGATTGTACACGGCGCACGAGAGCGTGCACCTCTCGTCGTCGTGCGTGATGCTGCTGATCCGCACGCTCTCCCTCACCAGCCTATCCGGGTCGCGCTGGAACAGCCCCGTGGGCAAGCACCGCATCAGACTGCCGTTGCCGGCGCTCCCCCTCCCCGCGCCGCTGCGGTCGGGATCCCGCGTTGAGGAGAACTTGTCCAGCCCTGACATGGTCGCGGCTCCCATGTCCGCCGGCCGCGAGCCGGGCTTCCTGCCTGGCCAGTTGCCCGTGTACCAGTCTAGGAAGTTGTTTCCCGCCAGCACAGCGACGTCCTGGCCCGGCTTGCCGCGGGCGGCGCGGTATGCTAGCACCACGCCGCGCGTCATGTCTGTGTCGTCGGTGGCGTGGCCGGCGGGCCAGGAGAAGGGCCCGCCGCCGATGATATCGCGAAGGCCGTGGGGGTAGCGGGTGCGTATTTGGGCGTGGGATTCGAACTCGACGCTGGCGCCGAGGGAGTCGCCCGCGTGGAGGGCGAGGAGAGCGCCTACTACTTTGGATTGGCGCCCTGTGAGGGCCGGTGTGGGCTTGACGGGCATCGCCATGTGTTCCTTGGAGCGTCTTGTATGTCTGTTTGTGTGTTTTGATGGGTGGTTGTTCAGGAGGGAATGGAGACGGGGCGAGGGGAAGGGCGACGAGGTATACCGAGTTGAGGTGGTTGCCTGCTGGGCATTGCGGCTGAGCGATGGTGGGATGACATGATTCTGTGAGCCTCTGAGACGAAAAGTACAATATTTTGACTGTTTATTCTCAGCGTGTCTTGAAGGCTGGGGATGGACTCGGTGCCGCTGGGAATCAATCGGTGCGAGTCTAACGCGGCCACGAATAAGAATTGTGTAAAGGTGCTTCTTGGAGTATCGAGATGAAGCCGCCGTTACGCTTCCAAAGCCCTCGCAACGGATTGACGCACACGCGGTGTAGAGGCGCCTTCAAAGTTGAAGTTTTGTAGAAAGATTTGTGGGTTCAGTGTTTTTCTTTTTTCCTTTTTTTTTAGAAGGGTACCGTCTTGTTGGGGGTGAAATATGTAGTTGAATTACGTTGGATCACTTACCATGTGAGCGAGCATGTCCAAATGCAACAGGCATTGAATATGAGTTGACAGAATATATTCAATTATTTCCTTGTAGCATATCCCTGCAGTACTTGACATTCTCCATACCAAGAGTACTGTGCAGTAATCCTAGTATGAACCTGAAGCAACCGCGTAATCTCCCATCTAGATTGGCAGTATCAAGCTCCTTCTCCATCTTATATCTGCGACAAAGCCACTTTTTGGCCAGATTATTATTCCCCGCCAAGTCTGTCCAGGGTTGAGATACACTTAATGTTATCCATTCGGAGTGAGTCTATGCTTGTTCATCTAGTATACAGAAATGCGTTTATGCCAGTATCAGAGAACAGACCCCTACCGTTGACGGCGATATTCCAAGCAGATCTAAACAACAATACCGACCAGTCCCCCGTCTATTTTGTTACAATTGGTAAATTCTGTTATTGTACATTCCGAAAAGTATAAAGTTCATAATATGAAGGCACCTCCGAAGCTCGTTCTGCGGCTCAACAGCAATAACCGAGATTGGCACTTCGCTTCGACATCTGAGCCGACTCCCTGTCTTCGGAACAGATGTCTGCAGACCTGTGTGACCGGCGGATGGACTATCGTGCTATCAAAAGTCATGCCACTAGTCCCGTCTGTCGTCTGTCGTGTCACCGCACTAACATCTGCTCGCCTCGTGCTGTAGCCGCATCACAAACAAGGCATGGTAATACAGGCTGTTAAGCTTAGTGAGTCGTTCCCGTCAGAATGGCCTCGTTGCCGAACCGCATCACGGCACAATTGACGCGAAACCGGGAATCGGCCGAGACTCTCGGCCCGTATACCTCGCCTGGCAAAAGGTTGCCAGTGGTATTTTCGCCGGTAATCCGAGCATATCAAACCTCTGTCCTAGCAATCGCATCGCTGGTAATGGCGTGGAAATGGGACCACGTCCCGAACATTCGCCACACCTGTCAAATAGCTGAGCAAGCGATCAAAGCCTAGGCCAAATCCCCCATGCGGAGGACATCCCCAGCGTCTCAGGTCCAGATACCAGCCCAGGCCGCTGCTCCTGTCCTGCTTCTTGCCAGGCACCTCTAATCCGTGTAACTTCATATTATCCTCAAGCTCGGATAAGCGATGCTCGCGCATTGAACCTCCAGCCAGCTCTCCAAGACTCGGTACTAGCAGATCGAAGCACTCGACCGTTTCGCCTTGTGGTGGGGACGATGCTGAGCGAAGCATGTAAAAGGCCTTGATCCCGCGGGGATACTGGGTGATAAAGACTGGGAGATAAGCATTGTTTGTCTTGTCAAACCCTATCTCCTTGGCTAGATATTTCTCATGCTCGGATTGAAGGCCACTGCCCCATATGGGTTTGTGCTCGAACTGGTTGGCAACAGGTTGTAGCCGCTCAATGGCTTCGGTGTAAGTTATTCTGGGCCACTGACTCGGAGAGACCAAGCCCGTCCACCGACGGTCGAGTTCTTCTTGCTCAACCAAGTCTGCAAAGGCAAGCCGTTCGGCGGGGTCTCGAGAGTCTAGTCTATTCTGCACGAGTTCATTTGCAGCCCGCAATCCTTTTAAGCCTTGCGCAAGATTCTTCAGCATACTCTGAACGAGATCCATAACCTCATTCATATCGTTAACAAAGCTCATCTCGGCTTCGAGCATGTAAAACTCGCTCAAGTGACGGGATGTGTCACTCTGTTCAGCTCTAAATGTGGGAGAGAGGGTCCACACGTCCCCAAGAGACTGTGCCAGGGCCTCAAGGTGAAGTTGAGTTGAGACGGTTAGATATTTGGGATCTCTGAAGAATTCCGCCTTTGAGCCAGTCTTGACGGTGAATGCTTCACCCGCGCCTTCGCAGTCAGAAGAGGTGATGATTGGAGGATGCGTCTGCTGAAACTTTTGGTTAAAAAAGAATTGAGTGAGAATGAAAGTAGCATCAGATCTTAGACGGAGGAGCGTGGAATTGAGTGGTGTCCGAGACCGTAGATGCGAAATGTAGCGCAAGCTCTCTGGGGTCTGATACTTGTTCTGGATTGGATAAGTCTTGGCAGACGCAATGTTAGCGTGCCACTTGATGGCGATCAGTATCAGATGGAATCGACTCACTTGCGGATCAGAAACGCCGAGGACTTTGACTTCGTCAACTTGGAGCTCTTGAATCGTTGGGGGTCTCCCAGCGCCTTGCTCCATCCCATCCGCTCCGGATACAGACTGAGTATGTTGAGAGGAGATATCTGAGACAGAAGATCCTTCTGTGCTGGGTTGCTTCATATCAGCTGCATTGTGCCACCGTCCCTGCAGACAAACAGCAGAACCAGGTCGTATGCTTTATCCAGGTTAGCATAGCAGACTGTGCAGAAGGATAGTTGTAGAGCAACTTACTCTGCTGCCAATGCCTTATTGACAACAACTTGGACCGGACGCATAGAGGATCCATCTGTAATGTCGACAAAACGGGCCCCTGAGCTCTTACGGACAGAGCGTACCCATCCGCACAGTTGGACATCCGGAACATTGGTTTCGGGATGCCAGGCCCTAAGATCTGCCACCGTTTTGATGAGCGGTTGGGACTCGCCAATAACCCTTGCGGAGTAACATCTCTGCCTGGAGCGCGAAATCTGTATGGTGTGGCGATGGCTCGCGAATCTTGGCAAGAGAGTCGACCTCATGACGCTGGCCTGGCACCAAGCAAGGTTGCCCAAATTTGCGCGGACAGACTCGGGTTGAGTTGCCGAATGGTGTCAATTACTCTCGTACACGCCACTCCAGATGGCTCTGGTCTATTGCTAGCCCCGAGTCACAAAGCGAAGGAGTGATAAAAGACATCAGGCAGCTCGGGGATGAGCCCAGGTTGTGAGAATTGACATGACTTTTGCGGACGGCAAGTCGATGTCCCTGGATGTGATGCGATCGGGTGGGTCAGAGCTGCAAGCGAAGGACCAACGCCAGGCACCGGGAGCAGGGCCGGAGACAGAGCCGGGACATATCCGGCCAGCGTCAAAGGGCCTGCTACATCATATCGCACATCAAGGTGCACGGCCGTGTCGCGTACCTGGCGACGCTGCAGCTTGGTAATAACTCGCTCGCACCTTCCCGCCATTGCGGTACGGGAGCTGCCACATCGCACCTGGACCGGGCATGTGTGGTTTTTGGTGTGATATGGAAAGAGCCTTGGGCCCTTGGCCACGCGACCCGTTCTTCTACACTGCCATTACAGTGCCACTACACGCCTAACACGCTACCATGCGTCTACTCTAAAGTCCCGCCATGGTCCCTTCATGGTCCCTCCATCGTCCCAGATGTCGTTTCCCATGCACTCGATGCCTACCGTACCTACTAAGTACTTAGTAGATTACTTAGAGGTAAGTACTCCGTAAGTACCTAGGTAGGTAGTACGGTAGTACGCCCTTTGGCACTGGCTTTTCTTCGCTTGCCCTATCCCAGAACCAGATTGGACCTTGCACGACCAGCAATAAAGCGTCAATCGAGAAGGTGGGAAACCAGAGACGCGTCCACGCTCATCCATTCGTCTCCGTGCGCTGTACAAGATTGGGCAGCACCATTTCGACTCGAGCATCATCCCGTCGGGGCTCGTGGATCAACCTAATTTCTACCTCCCCCGCTTGTTTCACTGCTCACGAACACACAATCACCGCATTGGCCTGCTGGGCATGCTCCAACGGTCTTGAGGGGTCTTGGATGCGACTTCATCACATCCAGGTGCCGCCGAACGTCTCCTTACTGGCCTCTCTCATGTGTCTCTACCATGGCGAGTCGTGGTATTGGATACTCCATCTCGACCAACGCCCAACGCCCAGCTCTCAGCTCTCAGCTCTCAGTCCTCAACGGTGCTTATCATTGCCACCATGGCGAAGCTCCGGTCCTTATAATAGAGTGCCGAGGAAAAGTACTCCGTACAAAGTGCCGAGTACATTTTGGCAACCTGCTCGCAAGTCTTCCTGCGGCTGTGCCCTAATTTTGTCGTTTATCTTCCTTTGTGTCTTAATATGTCTCAGATCATTTCTCAACTGGGCTTACCACACGCCTGGCCCGCCGGTTGTCTTCGTGCCACAGCCTACGGAGTAGTCCCTTGGATATCGGCAATTAACAAATGCCAGCATGGAAGTCAAATAGTTCTCCCGAGTCTCCATATCTCCACACAAGTGTGGCTGCCAGATCCATGATAGTATTTTGTTGGACAAAGGCGAGATGAGGTGTCACAGATCGGACTGCTAACCAAGTGGCCGCTTTGCCGCGTAGCAATCATCCGGCTGAGCCCTCACTTCTGGCCTTGTCTTGCTACCAGGGTCTTATTCTCGGCTACCCTTGATGTGCCTGCCACCCACATCATCGATGTGGCCCTTGGGACTCAGCAATGCAGAGGCGAGGAGACGCCATCTCCGTGGGACTCTTATGTCTGAGATGTCTGCAGCTGCTTGGGCCCTGGGGTCCTTACCGCTGCAATGTATCAAGCGGAATCGCACCTACGACAGACGCAGTAAACAGCAATGCCGCCGCGACGTATTGTTCCGTGCTGTGAATGCAACCCCATGGGTCTTCAGCCTACCGGGACTTTGGTACCCTCGGGCTCGTGGTATTGCCAGCACTTTATGTCTTGCTGGCAAGACACCGTCTCCCCACCGTAGAATTAGGCAAGTCGAGCGACGCGGGTAAAACGGGCTGGAACCAGCTCTCGCTCTTTGTTGTCTACCGTCCAACTTCGTCTCGTCCTTCGTTTGTTGGCCAAGGTCATGTCTTCCATTCCTCGCCTCTAGATGAAGGTGTTCCAAACAAGTGATTCAGATCTTTCATTTATAGGGTCACACGAATTTGTCGAGCTACGCTCACGCTTATCGACCTCTCCTGAGCCCTATATGGCAATCCCTCAGAATAGCTTGGTCATTACGCCTTCATTGAGGTCCCGCCGAACAAGACGGCACTTGGAGCATATAAAGTCCGGCTTTTCGGCTTCACTCGTCCATGTATCAACTCACCACGAGTTCACATATGTGCACAGCTGAACATTGTCTCTCTGGCACCAATACATATTTGTCAATCTCAACTAAATACCAGCTTTCATTATGGCTCCGGGAGCAAAATCCAGCCGGGTAAAGCCGTCTGAGGTGGCAGCTGACACCAAGAGGCACTTCATCCCAATGGTTAATGCCAACTACGCCGAGATGTTTCCTCCGTACTCGATTTTGTACCGGCAGCCCGCCGAGCTCGCCATTATACGCCGGAATCTCAGCACCAACCCTCCTGTTTTCCGCATAGAAGCTGGAGACCCAGTTATGATTGCCATTAACCATGCCGCGGCTGACAGTCAGACCACTGAGGGCTCTAGAGTCAGAATTCCTTTTATCTGCGCTGCCAACGAACGCCGCCCCGGAGGGGATTGGGAAACGGGATGCTCTGGGTACGAAGAGAAGCTTTGCCGTCGAAGCAACCTTTCTGCAACGCTGAGCAGTCCTTGGCCAAACACACAAGTACCATCAAATTATCCTATTCCGTCTACTGGGGGTATTCTTTCTGATTCTGTTGTCGTTTATCGAGGACCCCATGATCATTACGAGAGATTTGGGCGCTTGTATGACTTGCCTGTTGTATCTGTCCCACCGACTCGATGGCCGAAGTTGAAAGAGAACGGGACTATGTACTCGTTTGCAGAAGAACGAGACATGATGAGAGAAAAGATTCGCGGCGCTCTTCGCGTCTGCCTTTACAACAACTATGATCGAGTTGTCGTGGGGGATTTTGGCCTGGGTAATAGCTGTCGGAATCCACCCCAGGAAGTTGCCGAACTCTGGCGGGATGTATTGCTCTTCGACCCAGACCTTCGGGGACAATTCAAATACGTTGTCTTTGCTTTTGAGGACCCTTCACAAAGTACTACACGCTTCATTTGGGACGAGATGGCAAGAAAGGACAAAAAGGGGGGAAGCAGCAAGGTCAAGTCGCGTGGCAACGCCCCGACCCCTGCTGGATTCTCGCAAGGATCTTCTACCAATTTGGCAACAGATATGGCTATTTTCCAAATGGCCTTTGGCCACGCGGAGATTGTGCGTGTTCTCTCCGCTAGAGATCCACGCTATGGTCTAGACATGATTACAAGTTGAAGAATTGGAGTCTTTAAATGGGGATTATGCACACCGAAGAGCACTGCAGCAGGCGGGACTATCCTCAATACACCTGATATCGAACGGTGGCCATGCTCAACCACAGCTTGTTGTTTGAACTCTGTAATAGTCTTCGATTCTCAATGACATCTCTCTCCTTCTGCCCTTCTCTCTTGTTCTCCCCTTTTCGTCACCCTTGGCTGTTGCAACACTGGGAATGTTTCTCAAACTTTTGCCTCTGGCGACTAACGTCTAGGCGAGTCCAGTATGTTTGATATAAATGTCGGTAATTTGATTAACAAAGACAAAAACAAAAACAAGCGGGGTCACCACCGGCATACTCAGTCAAGACTGTTTAGTCGTGAATCGGTGACTTTGCATGTGTCGCAATAGTGTTAATTGTCGTCGACCCCTCCGCGGCTTGAGGCTTCGTTGCACGTATGCAGCTTCAAGAGCATATCTTTCCTGTCGGGTCATTCGTTCTTGTTTCTTCTCTATTTTCTCAATACAACGTCGGTGGACGGCATCTGTGCACTAGATGATGGCTGGTTTCTCCTTCGGGTCGTGCTGGTGACGAAACAAGCCCTTGTTCTGTCCTGCATGCAGCCCTTACAGTACAAGAGTACGATTGGCTGCTTGACCAAGTTGACGATGAAATCAGTTGGTTCTTTTTTCCTTCCCCCGGTCAACTGGAACACACATTTGACACATAAGGGGTGGTGGGTCATGTCACTCTGGATGTGAAGTTGAAATCGTCATTACTCCGTACAGACCAAAGCCCTTGGCCAGGCTGACCAGACATGACATCAAGCCGTCGAGATTATCAACTAGACATAATTCAAACATGCACACACCCCACAAAAACGCGCCCCGGCACATTTCTGCAAATACATAGGCCGGTTGACCAAATCTCACTCGACTCTTGCTTCTGACTTCTGACACCTTATAACTGCACTGTGATTCGATTGCCACAGGGCCATGACTGGAAGCTAGTGTCAGAAACGCCCGCCATTGCCGTTGATGTTGGTCCATTTCAGTCATGAGTCCTGAGACATTATACCACCCCTTTCGCGTTCGACTCCCTGCCTTGCAACTAGTCCTCCATCACACACCCTCTGCTGCGCCATGCCCATGCCCACGTCCACGTCCATGTCCATTGCCACTGGTTCGTGTCTTTGTCAGATTTCACCCTGGACGTGTCCTACCCCGGGAGGGAATGCTCCAAGGAAGAACCAGGCCGGCCAAGCCATTCCGAGGCGAGCGAGTCGATGAGCATGTAAGGCAGCCTGCTAGTATATCACACCATTAGTCCCCCGTGACATGTCATGCGTTGATGCTAACTCGAGGTGGTTGTTGTGAAGTTGTCCACCTCAAGGCTCAAGCTGAGCGAACAATACGTCCAACCCAATGTGACGGTTGCAAGGACCGAAACACTGTTTTGTGACGATGGTTTTTTTTTTTCCTTTTTTCTCTTCTTTGCCCGTCGGCTGTGTGCCGTTGCTTGTCCGAAAAATCCAGACGTTTGTCCCTCTCCAGTAATCAAACTCGTCACTTGGCAATTCCATGTCTCGACTATGCGGCGTACATCTGATTCATTGCTCGATCTTGTAGCGCCGTGCTCAACGCACCTATGTACGTACTGCTCCGTACTTACTAGTATTACTATACGCGCCTGCGGCCCGATGCTGCGGCTGTAGCGCCGAGACAAGCATACGCATATAGCATGTATGTCCCTTGTGCTCATCTCACAGCTGCACACAATCTGCTCCAGCAAGCCGGTCTTTGCTGCCGGCGGCCCAAAGGTCGCCTGCCCTGTGCTGCTTGCTGGTCACGCGAACGCCATGCAGTCGAGAGGAAAGAAGGGCTTTCCAATACCCCGAACAGGAAGGCCGTCATACAATATAGTATACTTAAGTAGGTACAGACCGAGGCGGACGATGTCTTGACCAAGAATCTTCATCGAGGGGGTACTTGAATATTTCCGAGCATAGCCGGAACAAAGAAGCTGCAAAATTAGCATTAAAAAAAGGGCCCATGGCCAGGTGGTATCCTACGGCAAGTGCCAAAGAAGTTTCAGAATGTGCACGTCCATTTGGCCAAACATCATGTCTTTACCTCGTACGGCTGGTCTTGTCCTGTCATCGTGTTGCATGTGAAAATGTATAAACTGCCTACCCAAAACATTTCACTCATGATGCGGTAGCTCCGTATTATGCTCTGCGCCTTTTCAGCTTCTCAAAATTGAGCCACACCTGCAAGTCCTCCGTTTTTTTCCCATTTTACCCTCTTCTTTTCTTTTTGGGACCCCTCTCCATTCATGCCTGTATACGTTACACAACCGCTTACGCTCCCCCCGCTCGGTTTTGTTTCATCACCATTCTTCTCCTACCACATTGTCGGTCTGAGTCCGGTAAAGTTGGACAGGGTATTTAAATCAGTCTCGCTTTCTTTCTTACGTTGACCGCTCAGCTGGCAGCGTGGCATAGTTAGTATGCTGTTGTTTTACATCTGAAAATGGGGGGGTCTGAGAGTGCAGAGAATAACGTACCTCGAGTTGCACTCCCCTGTGCACGTGGACCAACCAGTCCACGTAATTTTGTGCCTCATTGTTGCGGTCCTCTACCAGCATGCGAGCAAATTCAAACTCGGCGCCGTCAATGCCTTGTCGAGCGAGCTGGATAGTCAGGCCTTTGGAGCCGCGCATCGTCTTGATAAATTCGATAATGTTGCGGACTTGTGCATTCAGGTGAGTGTCCAGGACGGGTAGTGATGATGTATATGCATCAAGGCTCTTCAGAGAGTCCTTGTCTTCGCCAAACAGGTCGGCAACCAGGTTCGGTGATGTCTGAGAGTGGAACCAGAGGAGGCATTGCTGACCGTTGTCGACGATATACACACCGCCGGCTTCGACGCACGAAAATGACGCTCGTATTGAAGGGGGCATTTTCAAGTGGCCCGTCTCTGGGTCAGCAAAACCATCCTCGGGTTGTAAGTTGTGAAGAGGGATCATGCGAGGGTAGAGATACAAGCTAAGTTCCAAGGCGCCCATGGAGCGAACCATGCGCATTTCATGGACCCTCCTGTCTGAATTCTCAATGCCGCCCTTGAAGGCCCTGCATTTTGTCAGTCCGAGCATATACATGCAGAACTCCTTTAACCTTTCCGGCATAACCAGCTGGCCTGCGGGATGTTGTTGTGCCGAGTGTTTCCTATAGCAGGACAAAACATCAATGGTCCGCTCGGAAAGCCAGTTTCGAATGTCTTTCAGGTTACTTGAAGTAGTCGCGAGTTTTGTGCCTGCTTCCTTTGCCAACAGCGCAATCACTGCATCCTGATCAACAAACTTCATGCATGCTCGGATGCCTTGTTCCCGCATGCCGGCTTCCTTGGACGTTTCGCTCACGCTAGCAATGATGTTGGAGCAGCGGACTCTGCGCTGGCCTGAGGCAGTCGTGTACAGTAGGGCGGACTGGAAATGGGCGTCCAGCTTTGAGTCCAGCTTACCGTCATGACTGAATGAAACTGCCAAGGCCTTGTCCGAATCAATGACACCAATTTCCAAATCGGCCCCAAAAGTATGTTGCACAAAGTTGCCGTGATATGCCGACACCTGCAGACCATTGGAGCATCGAACCTTCATCAGCGCTTGGAAACCAGTTTCTCTTGTCACAGTGTGGCTGATTTCGGCAGACAGCTTGGGACCGTCTCGTGGAGCGATGAAGTTGGGATAGTAGAATGTCTCTCCACCGGTAGTAGCCGCAACATGGCCTACAAAAAAAGTTAGCGTGTTATTCAACTCCAAAGTCAATCTCAATTGAAAGCGTACCAATAGTAGCAATGTCGAGATAGCCGCCAGAAGGAGCAGCGAGGAAAAAGTCTGCGCCGATGCCAGAAGCTGCCATCTTCTCTGCCACCTTCTTCCAAGCAGGGTGCTCAGTCGTGTAGAGCTTTTTATCCAGTTCTCCTCCAGGATGATTGCCGTCGTCACGCATGAACAGCCTGCCGGGACCCCAGGTGGGCAGAGCAGAACATGAGCAAACGATTTTACCACCAGTCTTCTCAAGTGCTGCCAGAGCTCCATTCAGAGTAGCAAGCAGTGCAGGTTCCGGATTCTTCACGTCGGAGAACATTTCGGGCAGCCGTGTCAACAGAGAAGTGATGATTGACTTGGATTCGTAAGGATCAACGAATAGGCCCTCGCCAATAGGAAGAAACGGGTCCTCGAGATCAGGCATGATGAGCATTTGAGGTTGATCCAGACCAGGCTAAGGCGACATTAGCAACTCTTTGGCCAGCTCAAGGCAGAAAATGGTAACACAAAGACTTACATGCATGTTGTAGAAGTGAATATCTTTGTCATAAGTGACAAATCCAACCTTCGCACCTTCAGGGACCCGTCTCTTTGGCTCGCCATTCTCATCCTTTTCCTGGTTCTCCCCTCCGTAGAGGGCAGCCAAGATGCCATCACAGAAGGTCTCCAAGAAGCCCTTGTTGAATGATTCTTGTGTTACATCGATGAGGAATAGCCAACGCAAGCCAACAGGTTCTCTGGTCCAATACTCCTTGGGCACGACAAACTCGACGGTGCCTCGGTGCAACTCAGGTCGCTGGTCTCGGTCCACACGAACACCTTGCGGGCTGGTGGCGCAGAAGTATTCGGGGGGCGTATCGTTGGGGTGCGTACACAAGTTACATACAAACTTGTTGCCGCCGGATCGGAACATCATGAAGGGATTGATATAGGCGCGGCATCGGCGGCATCGTGGAGGGCCGGCATCGCCAAAATCGAGGACGGGAATCTCTGCCTCACCTGCCTGGAGGGGGGCCAGGGGCTGCAGGAGGAGGCCAAGAGGGAGGCCAGTCGCGTGCAGGCCGTCCGAGGTGGCAGGGATATTGTTCAGACTCAACCGAGCGTATTTTGGAGAGGCATTTCCCTGGTCCAAAGCTACAAAGGAGACAGTCGCGGGGGGCGGTACATGGCGTTCAAAGGTAGGATAGACGTTCTTTAGGAAATATGGTTGAACGGAGTCGCGAGATACGGGGACACTGGGCATGTCCTCGAGAGAGACCTTGGAGGGGCCAGAGGTCGAGATCGTGGCAGCAGCATCAGCACTTCCATTACCATGGCCGAAATGTCCTGGAGTTGGGAATTCGCCAGCGTTCATCATGTGAGGCGTGCCCTGAGGGCCAGCAAACTGAGCTGAAGCTCCGAAGGCTGGAGCACCTGGTGTTCCTGGAGCAGCAGTAGGGATGAATTGATTCGGGTTGGAGCCAGGGGGCCCCATGCCATTGTATGCCTGAGAAGAGCCGGTCGGTTCGACTGTGTGGTAGGCGTGGCGGTCCTTCTTCTTCTTGCGGATCGTGGTCTGTCCGTCACCCAAGCTCATGGCTCCCATCTGCGAGGCCAGGCCAACATCAGCTCCAGGCTGTGCGACGCCTCCCTGGAAACCTTGCAAAGCTCGGTCATCTGGACCGTGGGGAGTTCCGTAGGCAGCACCTGCTGGCGGAGGCCCTCCCATAGCAGGCGGTGGTGACTGTTGTGGTTGAGCAGCATATGGGCCAGGAGCTCCGTATCCGTAACCGGGAGGCTGTTGCTGATAGGGTGGTTGACCAAGACCAGCGGTACGGTTGGAATCATTGGGGTCGGCGATGCCCTGGCCCAAAGCGTGGTATTGCGTATAGTCGGCCATGGTGAGATACGGCGTATCGCGCGTGAAGGAGGACGGCGGCTCAGGCAAGCCTCTGCCGAGGGAAAGGAGGTAGTGAATGGTGGTCGTGAGTGGATTTGAAGATGGACTGACCTCAAGTGGCGCTGGATTGAACTTGGCAGGGTGTTTTGGCTGACGAGGAGGGGGCACCTGGGGCCCTGGGGCGAGTGCAGCGGGTGTATTGATGACCTGGCCAGGCACCTAGTCTGGTACTAAAGGATGCAGTACAGAGTACCCGACAGTACTTAGTCAGGGCCCCAGTGCCTGCAGCGCTCTTGGTCAGGGAGCACTTGGCCATTGACTGCTTTTGTCAACGATTACTGCGTATTCCGTACCTGGACACCCTGTCCTTTCGGCCTTGAATATTGCACGTTTTCACCAGACACGAATAATCTATTAGGTCGACCGTTCTTCTGCCATATCAATTCCTACCTAGTACGTGCGGGGCAGGTATACTTGCATTTACTATTTTATAAAAGACTGCTGCTTGCCATTAGAATTCCACATGTGGAATCGGCATCGAAAAAAATACAACAGAGAAGAGGCTGGTGATATATCAATGTATTTACCTCGTAGTCCTGCACATCATTTAGGAAGCCAGCGCCAAGTATTTCCCATTACATGTTACGAATGGCGAGGGTCCAATTCATTGATGCCTCGCTGGCCTTTTCAACACTTGACAACTTACGCCCAGCAATTCACGCGACGTTCCTGGTTCCCGATTGGCACGCAGCACGGCGCCTCTGCGCCTGGACGGAATACGTACCATGGAGTGTGGAGAGTGGAGAAACAAGAACAAGGGCCCAGGCTGCCGGTTCACGTGTGCGGTCACATGCGCTCCGATCCGGCCCCACCCACGACACCTCGTGTAAGTCAAGTGGCCCAACGTCCATGAGAGGAGGCAACCCGAGGGCAGTGGCAGGACGCAGAGCGAGCGCAACAGCCCAGCATTGATTGTGGGCATGTGTGGATGAGAATGTAAATTGGCATTATACGGCGCTACATGTTCCCAGTTTATGCGTGCGTGTTTGAGAAAGCATTGTCGACACGGCACGACTTTATATCGGCTGGGAACGTCTTGAGAAGCATCGATTTGGCATGCACTGGGATTCAGGAACTGGAGGATGCCACTCTACGACGCAGGGAATCCGCATAGAATATACACCGGAGTGCTCTCTAACGGCTTCAATCATGTTTTTCTAGGGTTTGAAACACGGTGGTCTCGTTCGGTGCCAGTATGGCACGCCGTCGACCTCTATATCGAGTGAAGGATCCAGTCCAACGAAAGGTGCTCGTACGCACGTTTGCCAGCAAGGGGAGATTTCTCAGGAATAACAAACAGGAATGGGCCAAATAATAATATTTATATATTTCCAACGTGTCGAGAGACAAATTACGACTGAGAGGCTGTACTTGCATCTGAGTGGCGCCACGCAAACCCCTCTCCTAAATGATTCCACGGTCCGTCGGTCGCACTGAGGCCATCGTGGCATCCGAGGCAATTACGCTGGACAGTCAATTACAGAACAAAGCAGTGTCAGAACATGGCAAAAAAATACATGAACGGGTGGAATATCATTGGCTTGTTCTTTTCTCTTCCTGAACAGACAATTTTCCCCCATATTGCTGTCTCTTTGCATCGCCTGGCCAAATGTAGGTGGCGGTCGCAACGGAAATCCTGACCGCCAGACGCGACGAGCGCGTGTCCACGAGAGCCCAGCCACCACAACAGTGGAAACAAAACGACGCACATTAATTCAAACGCTGGCTATTGAGCGACAAAAATGGCCTCTGGTTCAAGCCGAATTTACGAAAGTGCGGGCAGTTGCAAGCAGTGCGACTTGCGCCGGGACACAATGTCGACGGAAACCTGTGGCGTCTCGGTCGCATCCCAAGACCGAGTGCTCTGGCTGCAAACCAACCACTGGCCCGAAAAAAAAATAATTGCCAAAATATGTGAGCACGCCAATTAAAATCCCGTCCGAGACGTCAGACGCTGCATTTCTCACATTTGCAATCTACGTTGTGGGAAACTAGTTGGCGAGTAACGAAAAGTGTAGATGGCTTCAGGTCGACCTCTCGAGGGGCAGGGCGGTCGGCCACTCATCCACGCCGGGACTCGTACAAAAAAGCGACTTGCGATATATTGCACAAATAGGCGGTCTGGACGCACGGGACTGGGCAACAAAATAGCATCACCTGATAGCGGCAGACAATCTACACTAAACGCCGGCAATTAATCACCACAAGACGGGCGGAGTCGATGGCAATCCAGAATGCGACAATGGGCTCAACACGTCTCGAGTGTCAAAGACGAGGCGTGGGGATTCATGCCCGGGCAAGTCCCGGACCACACACGTCAGCAATGGAAACATGGCGCAACATTTTATTGAGACCAGGCAAAAAAAATTACTCATGGAAATTGTAATGGAGGGCGAAGAATGCAGCGGCCTGAAGGGGGGGAGAAGAGAAAGAAGGAGGAAAATGGAAAGATTCGAGGCGAGAGGGTGGTGGGCGGTCGGTCCTCAACCCATCTCAGATCAGAGGTTTGCGTACGCTGGTGAAGAGGTGATGTTGATCGCTGGCCAATCAGAAAATTGGTCACGGGGCAGGTATTGTTTTGAAAGAAATGGCGCCGATTTTTACTTTGGGCCATAACATCCTCCGAGTTGACAGACCCATGCCGCCTCCCTGCCCCAGCAGAGGGGCAGAGGGTGTGACCCGCCCAGGTACTTGGCATCGTATAGGGGCGGTACATGCGTGTGGCTGAGGGGAGTCGGGCATCCTGACGGTCCAGTCGCGGAGAAACGTTTCTACTTTACCCGAGTACTGCAGTGTGAACGGCATGCCCAGGTGTGCAAAGGAAGCAAAGTGAACGGATGCAATGGGTGTTTGGGGGAAATGCAGCTCGGGGCGAGCAAGCGCGCATTTGTCATATTTCAAAGACAGATAGACTGCTCTGGCGGAAACTTGGCTACCCGAAGCACTCGATGCTACTTGACCGAGTAGTCCAGCCCAAACTGGCGACAGCCACCGCCAGATCGGGGGCCCGGGGAGGTATGTACCCTCGCTTGTACCCCGGCATGTATCGACATTGTTGCGTGCAGCCGTCTGATGTGGCGCAACCTCGCGCGTCAAGGCCATGCTCCCCGGCCGGGAACGGTAGCTTGGCTGCTTGTCCAGCGGTGGGCAGTCGGGCCTGGAAGGCAGATTGCTGGATGCAACAGGGCCAAACTGCATACAATAATAGTGCCGGCTGTCTGCTTCAGCCAGTAACGGAGGGGCCACACCATTGCACCCGTTCTCGGGGCTCTGGAAGCTGGTGTGTGTAAAAGAAGAGACAAGCTCGAGCTCGGGGGGTGGGCGATAGCCCAGTCCCCGTTTTCTCAACCAGACCAGACCTGGACAGCCAGACGCACTCGCACCAGACTCGATCGCGCTCCCTACTCCGTACTAGCCCATCCTTATATTTCCAGCGCCTATGTCTCCGTGCAAGGTACCGAGCATGAGCTGCGTAGTAAGCATGTAGCGTGCCCGTTGGCTTGGCTGCTGGCCGCACGCCCCCCGGTGAGCAGAGAAGCGCTGCGCTGCCCACGCCGCACCCACGCCGCACCTTGGACCTCCTGCGCGCGACAGAGGAAAGAGCTACTGATTGCGCTCCTCCCCCCGCCCGATATATAAACAAGGCCCATCCCCTCCACGCGCCCGACGGCATCGGTCATGTTTGTCTCTGCTCCCATTTGACTCCCAAAGATTATTCTCATCTTGGTGTAGACACAATCGTGACTTGTTTCCAGTAACAAGCTCCGCGCTTTCGCATCATCACTTACACGTTTACCTCACACTTTCCATCTCATTCATCACGATGCCTCCCAAGAAGGCTGAAGGCTCTGCCGCCCCCAAGGCCAAGTCCACTCATGCCACCTACCAGGTTCGTCGCCGTCTGTCAGTTTTCTGGTATTTGGGAATCACGCGTGCTAATTCATACCAGGACATGATTACTGATGCCATCGTAAATGTATGTATTGCCGGCCATGTACCCTTGCGTGCATCTTGTTCAAGGAGTGGCGTCTTGATTACGCGGATGACAGGATAGATGGCCTGGGATTGATGGGTTTCACTGTCACGCCTCTGAGTCACGACTTGTTCTTGTCACAGTCCAATGGATGCTGGCCTTTTTTTTCCGATTGGGTCGCCTTGCTAACTTGCTCGCTACAGCTCAAGGATCGCAATGGCTCCAGCCGTCAGCAGCTGAAGAAGTATGTCAAGGCCAACAACAACCTGGTCAATGTTTCCGACAACATGTTCGACTCTCTCTTCAACAAGGCCTTGAAGGCAGGTGTTGACAAGGGCGCCTTTGCCCAGCCCAAGGGACCCTCTGGTGGCACCAAGCTGGCCAAGAAGAAGGCTGAGCCTAAGAAGCCAGCTGCGAAGAAGGAGGCCACCACTACCAAGAAGGCCGCTCCCAAGAAACCCGCTGCTGCCCCCAAGGCCGCTGGCGAGAAGAAGGCCACTGCTACTACTGCTGCTGCTGCCACCACCAAGAAGGCCGCTCCCAAGAAGGCTGCCACTGCCAAGAAGCCTGCTGCTAAGGTATATTCTGTTTGCACCTAATAGATGTCTCCTGGGTATTCGTCTCTAACCTGATTTCCAGAGCGACAAGGACGCTGCCTTGACCAAGACCAAGACTGGCCGTGTCGCCAAGACCACAAAGCCTGCTGCTAAGAAGGCTGCCGCACCAAAGAAGGCTGCTCCTAAGAAGGCCGCCGCCAAGGCATAGGCTAGTCGTTCTCTTTTTGGCCATGTGCACTTTCTTGTTTAATGAATTAACTAAGGCGTTATGGGCTTCGATTTCTGTGTGTTTTCTTGTTCTACGGCACGGCTTGGGAGAGGCAGGTTCACCGGGATATTGCTGTTTTGGGCGGAAGCGAAAGGGATATGTGGCTTGTTTTGATACGCGCACACGCGGCGCAGGACATGAAGGCAACGCGGCATTTGCATGTGAAGATTTTCGGTTGATGAGCAGAGAGAGACGAAGAATCTCACGAGTTCATGGGAACAGTTTCGTCACCCAGGCCGGGAAGCAGCAATGCTCTTGTTTTTACGATTATTCTCCCTGTATTTTGAATTACTTGGATTGTCGGGTCTGTTGGTACAGTTCTCGACTGTTGGGTATGATAAATATGGAGGAGCTGGCATTGTTTTCACGCGATTTTTGTACTGAAAGTTGCTGGAGGTGGCAGGGTCTTCTGTCTTTCGCGGTATTGGGGGGACGGCGCTACGTGTAATTATATACCACAGGTCTCAGGGCGGGAGGAATGGAAATACATTTGATCGACTCTAATTTGAGTTTTGCAACGGCTTCGCTTCGCCCATTTTGTTTTCCTGTGCACGGCGTGTCGAGGCAGATATTTGCGACGCGGTGCGTTGCGGGTTTGTTTACATGTTGCGCCTGACTGGTTTGAGCGACCGTGTGACCTTGTTGGAGCCGCCGGGTATCACGTGGACTAGCGACGCTGGTCAAGCATTTGAAGCGCGAGTTGATGAGTTGTGTTCCACAGACAGTCTTCACGTGCGCGCGCTATTTCTCGCCAGCGGAACAGTGTGAGGCATTGACCCGACTGAATACAATTTACTGGGATAGATTATATACCTTGGGCCTGCGATTCTTTTAAGTTGTTTTGATTTTATTTTTATTGTATTCGATGAGTCTAATGAGGCTTCGGTATTTTCATTGTGTTGCTCTTTTTTTACCCTTCTTCTAACCTTGACCGGATTATGCAGCGACGCAGCTACCCTAGGCCGCAATGGTAATTATACTAGTAGTCGTACCTAGGACAGCTTGTGCGCGAGGCAGCGAGCGGGCAAAAGGGAATACGCGGCAAAAGAAGCCGACAAGGCGATTTGGATTGCCTGGCCGCATATCAGTTGTCGGATGTCGGGTTGCATGCTTAATTCGTTGCCTGATTGTTTGAGTCCATGTTTGGAATCCTCGGTACGTCATGTTTGGTTTAGCCTCCGACGGGATACCCAGCTGCCACGGCATGCCGCAAGGCCCCAAGCCATTGATTGGTTTATTGGCTTAGCGGGGTGTGCCGAGTCTACTAACGGGGAGGCACAGCTACCCTAGGTACCTAGGCACTTGGAGGTATCGTGGCCCTGGGTGGAGCGTTGTCGGGCCCCGCACTCTACTAAGTAGCTCGTCGATAACAATCGTCGATAACGTCGAGTTACACCGCAGCTCCCAGACCTGTACGTACACACTTAGTTACATTAAAAGTTGACACCACCGTGCCGGTTGGTCAAGCCATTGAGCCACCAGACCGCATGCGCATGCTCACTGCCCCATAGAGCACAAGCAAGCCGTACACGTCCATCGCCGAGCTCAAAAGGTCCCGTCTCGGCGGTAGCGCGGTAGCCTGCCTGGCGACCAGACCCAGGCCAGGCCATTGGCAGCTCGAGCCTGGAAACCCCCTCAACCGCGCCCCCAACCGATTGTTCCGGCCGCCGCGTTGGCGTACATGTACGCAACTGTCGCAACGGTTTAATTTTCAATTGCACTCACCCAGACCTGTGCAGTCCGGGGGCACGCCTTGTCGAGTTATTTTCTCTGGCTTTGTTTTTGCTTTCCCTCATCGTCTCTTGCCCGAACGAGAGCTACTCATCCTTGATAGCATCCCGGCCCCTCCGTCATTCTTCTTCGACTGTCCCACCCCAGGCCACGCGCAGATCGGCACGGGGGGACGAGACCAGAAAAGCTGCGAGGGAAAACGGGTGAAGACGTCTTTTCCGAAATGCTGGCTTCCTTCTCATCTTGGCCCCGAGCCCGCCGATCCTGAAACGTAGTCGCCATCTTCTCACCGACCCAAGGTTGCTGATACAAACACGTCACCTTTTACAACGACAACGTCACCTTAGCAAGCCGTCCACCGTGCAACGCCATCATGTCCTCCAATCCCTTTCGCAAAAAGGCCCTCGGTCCCATTGACACCGCCCGAGCCAGCTCCCCCAGGTCTAGCCTGCGCAGTGAAGATGCCGAGGCCGGTGACAGGAAGAACAAGCCTGTCAAAAGGGTCCGCGTGCTCTCGCCGCCGCCGCTGTCACCCGACTCCCCAGAATGGCCCTTTGAGGCGCCTCAACCGCCGGTGCCGCTGTCTGACGATACCTACAATCATTCGAATTACTACCCGAGCTTTGACCCTTTTAATGGTGCCTCGACGGACGAGAGCGATGGCGAGAGCCTTGCCACTCCGCCGACGGACAAATATCAGCATCAACCCCAGCAGCAGCAGCAGCAGCAGCACGACGCAGGATCCGGTGGTATCCCTGCGAATCCGTTCAGCAAGACGTTACGGGACTTGGAAGGCTCCAAGGACTTGCAAAGGGAGAGAAAAGAAGAGGGGGAGGTACTGAAAGCTGCCAATGAGGGCCGCAAGTCGTTAAACGTCGATTCGTTCAAGAGGTTGCTTATGACGGGAAATGCGGATGATTTTGCGTCGTCTGCGTCAACAGATGGAGAGGAGGAGACTGCCAAGGGGAATGCTTTACCCACGGCACAAACGAATGCGAGGGGCAGGAATTATACAGATTCAGGGAGCTTGGCCGACTCCTCACACGAGGATGAGGACAAGGAAGAATCCAAGATACTTGCGGTGAAATCACCGGCAAGCAAGGAAAAAAAGGCGCCCCCGCCCCCGCCAAGCTCTAGACACGGAAAATCATTAAGGCAGCGAGAGCCGAAAGATGTAAAGGATGATGGGCATGCAACGGCCGAACCAGTACGGAGGAGTATGGATGACGACGAACCACGACTCGACACCCAAGCTACAAACGCGGCTGAAGGGGAAGCAGATGCCAGGTCCCAAATCAACTCTATACCAAATCTCCCAGGCGCAAGAAAACCGGCACCGGCACCACCTCCGCCACGGGGCCACGCAAGAACAGACAGCAAATCCCACGACAACGAGACTCCTCCACGACGTACGTCCTCCGAGGACATGCCCTCCCGATCAGACAGCACCCGCTCAGCCGGTCATGCACCCGCTCCCCCTCCGCCTCGACGACCATATCTCGCTCCTAAACAAAGCAGTTCTTCCTCGCCAAGCACATCATCCTCCAACATGGCTTCTTCCACAGACCACGTCCAAGACACCGCGCGATCCTCCCACGACTCCCCAACCCCCAGCAAACCCTTGATCGCGCCTCCTCCCCCGCCAACACGCCAGCCTTCCACCCGCCGCCCGCCCAGTGTCACCGGCGTCGATGCACCGAGCCGGCGAGTCTCCTCGGAGAACAAGTCACGCGAAACCGTGCCGCCCCCGCCTCCGCCCCCGCGACACCGAGGGAGCAGTCCCAATGCCGATGGGCGGAAGGTAAGCGGCGAGGCGTCCGCTGCTGATCCGAGTAAGAGCGCGGATATCCTGGCAGATTTGGACGCGCTGCAGAGGGAGGTTGATGCATTGCGAGGCCAGATGAAATAGTTTTGCGTGTCAGTGGGCTATTTCATTCTGTTTTCCCCTCCTTTTTCCTTCTCCCTTTTTTCTGTCTTCGCCATAGATTTGGTAATGGGTGGGTTTTTTTTCTACTTGGGCATTTCATGTATCATAGCGTGTTTAGGGTCTGGACTGCATATAATGACATTTCGCCACGTCACGTTGTCCCGCTCATGTATTTCTTTTGGTTCCCGAAGCTGGAAACTTACAAGCGCACAAAAACAGTGCATCTGCCCATCTACGCATCTACCAAAGCTCCCATCATGTACCGAGCGTAACTTACAATCCAACCAAGGCGCGAATCATAGTCGCCACAGGCGGTATCGACGTCAGCAGCACGGTGACAGTGCCAAAGAGCGTCATGGAGAGGCTCGAGAGCGCAGCAGCCCGAGGATCCGTCCGTAGCAACAAGGCCGTCCCGATGGCGCTCGAGTTGACGCCCAGTGTGATTCCCCGTGTGACGTAGTCGTCTGCGCGCCGTCAGCTCAAGTGCTTTTTACTACCAATACCTCAAAAACCTGGATAAAGTACTTACCATCCGGTATCCTCAGCAACCTCATCATCTTGTCGGCCACCAAGACACCCAGGATGCCGCTCGCTATGGCCAGGGCGGCGACGGTATGCGCATCCCCGCCCAGGTTGGCAGTGGCGGGCGTGGCCAGCGCCAGCGTCAGGCTCCTCGAGGCGAATGCCAGACTGCGCGTGGGCGCAATGCCGATGGCGCGGCAGACGGGCGGGTAGGACAGCACGGAGCCGACGGAGATGAGGACGTTGGGGATGGCGAGGGTGGCCAGGTGGCGCTTGAGCTCGCGGCGGTACTGGAACATGGGCAGGGCGAGCGACACGATGCTCGCGTCGAGGACGGTCGAGAAGACGTCCCCCGCGCCGGGGAGGAGAGGCGGGCCGGGCTCGCGGCGCCAGAGGCGGGTGTAGTTTGCGCCCGTCTTGTAGGAGCGCAGCGCGGCGGTGAGGCCGGAGCCGTGGGCGAGCGCGAGCGGCCAGATGACGAGCACGGCGAGCAGCGAGGCCGTGAGCACCGGGTGCAGGTAGCGCTGCCAGGGGCCCGGCGTCGCGAGGGCCAGCCGGTAGCAGAGCGTCGTGACGGCGAGGTGCAGCGGCATGGCGTAGCCCGAGGCGTAGTAGACGGGGATGCCGGCCAGCAGCACGAGCGCGAAGATGGAGGCGTCGAGATGCGATGCCAGCCTGGCCGCGTAGAGCGCACACCGGGCCGGGGGAGGCGGCGCCTGGGCCGGATAGTCGGGCAGAGACGACGACGACGACTCTGCAGTGCTGCTCTGCGAGTAGTGGTGTTGCTGGAGCCGGAGCTGCGGCGGGCTGGCGATGTCGTCGGAGTCGGCGCGACGCTGGTGAAGCGGCATCTCGTCGTGCCCGCGGCGGCTTATGTCGTCGCCGCGATCAACAATCTCGGAACGCTTCGTCGCGCCCAGCACGAGCTGCAGCCCGCGCGTCATGTACGCCGCCAGCACCATCATGATGGCGAACCCGACGACTGCTCCTCCCCCTCGCCGGGCACCATTAGCCAACAGGTTCGTCTGCTGTGGAAAAAAAAAACACAAAAACAAGGGCTCACCCACCGAACACGGCGATAATCTTAAAGACCTCACCGACCCCAATCGCCGGGCTCAGCGGAATCGTCACAAACGACGGCGTAAAGCACAGCCCGATCCATCTCAGACTCCAGTCCGCCTACACAGCCCAAACCATGGTTAGCAAAGAGAACAGGGAGCCCCCAGAATCCACGACAGCCGATGCAAGATACGCACCGGCACGCTGATGACGCCGACAGCCCTCCGCGTAGCATGGGTCCCCAGCACCGCCTCGCAAAGCAGCAGCCCGACAAACAGCAGCGCCAGACAGGCCACCGACGCCGGGAACGAAACCGACACCCTGCGGAAGAGCGTGTCAACGCCGTAGCAGACGCCTAGGATGGCAAAGATGCCCAGGGGCACGAATACCCAGTCCCGGAGGAGCTTTCCCCTCGACGACAAGAGGGTCTATTCGGCGGAGGGTGTTTTGTTAGAAATTCTTCTGCTAAATATTTCTTTTTTTGTCTCGGAACAAGGTGGAAGGGGGCAATTCTCCAACGTACAAGTTTAAGTGCGACGAGCGCGTCCCGCACGTACGCGCGCCATGTGCTGTTTGACGGATCGAGAGGGTCTCTATGCGGCATGGTTCACAAAAAGGGAGGTAATAGTATGGAAATGGACAAGATTCAAAGCCCAGCTACAACTGTAGGACGCGGGCATAAAAACACCCCAAGCCGAGCCCACCGAGTGCGGCGGTGGTTTGCAGAGCCGCAGAGCCGATATACTAGTGTATGTATCATGTATCCCTGGTGTCCCGAGTTCCAAACATAAGTAGTCGGCCTTGTGTCCGCGTAGCGCCGAGGACCGGAAGCCTCGAAACGGGGGGTATCACGGCCCGCGGCCGCACCATCTCCGTCCCATGGATGACAGACCCCCCGTGCCTTAGTCATCGTCGCTGCGCTGTGCACCAACAATTTCTCCCAGCCGCCAGCGGTCGAAGGGAACTTGCCAGAAATCTTCATCAGTTGCCCTGATGGTGCGAGGAAGAGGAAGCTGGCTTTCAGGAAGACCCCAAGTCCGCAATGGACAATGGCCCCATGGCGCCTTTTTTGTAACGCAGAAACCTGTCGACTCCTGCCAGCCCAACAGTAGGTTCCGCTTGCTTGACCTGCATGTCGTTTCGTTTGTCTGCCTGTGACTGTTGCCGTGACATGATCGGACTATAATTGAGCTCCTTAGACATTCTCCCCCGTGTCACTTGGCTCTCATTCCATCCGAAGATTAAATTGTCAAGAGAAATCTTCTTCTTCTTGCTGCACCTTTGCCCGCTGGTCCCAAGGTCATGTAGACCTTTGAGTCCTTGGTACTGGCGCCTACATTGTACCTCTTGAACCGTCTTCGATTCCTCCACCATCTATTGACATGCCCTCCTTTCCTCAAACGTCACGGTCAACGTCAAATCATCTTCGAGACAGAATTTGGTTTCCCATTATTGCTCAGACTAACTGTCTACCCTACCAGTCCTCGCCGTGAATAACTGACCAATCTAAATTTGCCGTTATTCACCAGCCTGATTCGAGGCTATCCAGCAATCCAGCTTCTGCCCCGAAAGCTATTTTTTTATAATATTTTTCCTCCACCCCGCCCGGCGACTCTCCAGACTCGGTGTCAAACTTGTCCTTCCACCATGTCGGTTGTCTGAGAGCAGCCACATGTCGCTGTCGCCCAGGGACCAGCATCCCTGTCGGCTCACATCATCGTAGGTGTGATAAAAAATAATAAGACCAGCCAACCGCCAAGATGTTACACCAACAAGCATGGCCACATCCGTACCTCTACCCCAGCTGAGGGTATCTCACCCAAACCTAACCCAACCTGCTCATAACCGTAACAGTCGTCCAGTGGTATCATCACCCCAGCCTCACAAGGCCGTTCATCCAGTCCGCCCGTGTGTGACAACAGGTGCAAGTCACTTGAGCCCTACAACTCCAGAGCAAGGAGACAAAATATGTTCAGAGTGATCAAACCTGATACGCCTCTCCGCCGTGCCCTCGTAGCTGAAACACCAAGCCAATGCAATAGCTACGCCAACAGCTCGAATACAGCGTGTTAGATATGTGTCCATGACATGTGACTGCCATTCCCCTTCTGTTTTCGAAAGCTGTTTCATCTTATATGAAGCATGTCCCATGACGGCATGACATGAAAATTTTCCAGCAGACATGATGTATCGAAGCTAACCCAGGGGGTATCACCGCATGTACCGCATGTCGAGACCGAAAACAACCCCCCCACGCCAATGCAAATCGGTGCCAGAAAAATAAAGAAAGAAATGGCGAACGGGAATATCCTCGTTCGAGAGCGCATGGTGTCTTCGCCGATCGTTCTTCCCAGATGCGCGCGCATAAACACACGCTAATAGGCGAAGAAGAAAAAAAGTAAAACAAAACAGTTCCGATAAATGGCCAACTGGAAAAAGTTGCTGGCCAAGTAGCAAATCAAGTCCGGTTCGCCGTTCTGCCCGATTCGCCAAGAAAAGTGCAAATAATGTACAATCCAACATTTATGTCTGCCCCCCCAGCTTGTCCCTTCTCCTCCTACCTGAACAAGAAAAAGAAAAACAAAATTCACCAAAAATAAGCTGCGACGACTTTATGTCACCCCCTCCTCATAACTGCCCACATTTTCAAAATATTTGTGGGATTATATTATGATTGAACTTCGCGAGGCGGGCCGCGACCCCGACCGCCGGCGGCGGCACTGCCTCGCCCTCGGTATCCGCGTCCTCGTCCGCGCCCACGACCGTAGTGGTTATTGTGTTGGCCGTTCTGGTTCTGCCAGTTGCTCTGCGGCTGGTGAGCGACGGGGTGTTGGGAAGAACCTGGTTGCTGTTGTTGCGCGTTCCTAGGAAGATTGGAAATGGGCCGAGGAATAGACTCAGGATTCTCGTAAACGTAGAGGCTCTTGTCAATGCTGGGGGGGATGGGCTGAATTTCGGTGCCCAAGTCTCTCTCAATGTTGTATAGATTGAAGCGATCGTCCCAGTTGATAAGGTTAATAGCCAAACCAAGATGACCATAACGGCCGGATCGACCAATTCGGTGAAGGTACGTTTCAGCGTTCTTGGGAAAATCGAAGTTGATGACGACATTGACAGCCTGGATGTCGATACCGCGGGTGAGGAGATCGGAGCAGACAAGGTTTCGGCAAACGCCGTTGCGGAAATCATGGAAGACGCGATTACGGGCCTGCTGCTGCATCCTAGCATGACTATAGAAACAGGAGTAGCCCAATTCGGTGATTTTTTTGGCGAGCAGTTCGACACGGTTGGTCGAGTTGCAGAAGATGATGGACTGGTTGATCTGAAGCTTGGAGAAGAGAGTGTTCAGGCAGTGGACCTTCTGCTTCTCCTCCACAAAGGCATAGTACTGGGTGATACCGCGAAGGGTGAGTTCGTCCATAAGGTTGATTTCGTAAGGGGAGACCATGTTCTTATCAGAGAAGTCCTTGACGGACAGGGGGAAAGTGGCGGAAAACAGCATGACCTGGCGGTCCTTGGGGTGAAACTGCAGGAGCTGCTCGATGACGGGGGTGAATTCAATGGATAGAAGCTTGTCGGCCTCGTCCATGATGAACATGGGGCATTCGCTCAGATCGGCAACACTCTTTCCTGCCAAATCGAGGATACGCCCAGGAGTGCCAACAACTATGTGGACAGGCTCCTGCAGACGCAGGATATCATCACGCAGACCGGTACCGCCGGTGGTGACCATGACGTTGATGCCCAAATGCTTGCCGAGAGTCTTGCAAACCTGTGACGTTTGCATGGCAAGCTCGCGGGTGGGAACGAGTATGAGACATTGAATCTTGGAGACCTTGGGGTTGATGCGCTCCAAGGCGGGAATGACGAAGGCGGCGGTTTTGCCAGTACCGTTCTTTGCTCTGGCCAGAATGTCCCGGCCGGTCAGGGCAACGGGGATGGCTTCTTCTTGAATAGGTGAAGGCTTCTCGAATCCAGCTTCGAAAATGCCCATGAGCAGGTCGCGCTTTAACGCAAAGTTTTCGAATTCCAGTCCTTTCGTTTTCGTAACATCCTGGAAGAAAAGAGGGGAAACAGTCCTCTTTAGCCCAAACGGAACCAATGGTATTGGGAGATTTGGTGCAATAGAAAACACCATTTAGTTATCATGTGCATACCTCTGTTTGTTGTCTGTTATCCTTGGCAGGGAGCTTCAAGTTCTTTTTCCAATCATCCGTCTGTACAGGGATACCATCGCTACATAGAAAGTCAGTAACGACAGCCCAGCCCAAAAAATATACACGTAATTAAAAAACGACACAGTAGCCTGGCGACATCACCAGATGAAGAATTCGCGGGAAATTTGCGTAAAGAGAACGAACCTAATTTGTGTGCTTCGCAGCTGGTCTACCAGCTGATCGGTCATTTTGAAAAAAAAAAAAAATGAATCCTGAGTCCAAGACTGGACTACGAGACGCAGGCTGAGATGTGAATATTGGCCAAAATTGCTCCGAATTACGGGCCCTTCAGACGTTGTTTTCAATTCGTGTGCGCGGCGTTTTAATTCGCGGCCGTTTTATCTCAAGGGCGGGTGGAGGAAGGAGGCTAGGAGTGAGGCAAATGTCGTTGGGATCTCGTGGGAAGAAAGGATCAAAAGGTGATTCAGGTGGCCTGATGTCTGATTGGCCACCGTACTGGTACTGCGTCGTACTTGTTGTGCGTTTTCGTCAAGATTGCGGCGTGAGGCCCTTGTTTGTGCGAGCGGATGTCGTCGTGGTGGAAGTGCGAGTGTAGTGTGGTGAAGCTCGAAGATTCTATCTCGGAGGAGGCAAACGGTCGTGATGTGCGGCACGGTCACGGCGCAGGTTTTATGATCACGTGATCGCGGGGTCCTTAGGAACCACCTGCTACGTACGGAGTAGGGTACCCGTTGGCGGGTACTAGTTGCTTTGGTTGCCTAAGTATAACCTACTTAAGTACTTAATTAAGTACATATCTTACTTGTTGTGACCTCCCCAAGGCTATCAAGCTTTTTGTAAGTGGTATTTTGCTTTTTGAAGAATGTTTACTTCACAGAGTATGGTTTTTTCGCAAAATTTGGTGCTGTTGACAATGCTCGGGCAAAATGGGCTGCAAAATCAACAATGGTTCAGTTTTAGGAACGTACTGCAGCGCACTATACATGCACTACCAGACATAATCAATCCTGGAGTGGGATCTGTTTTTTTTTTTTTTTTTTTTTTTTTAAAGAGTATTTATTTGCCTCAAGTTGTCTCTATCGCCAATCCCTAGGCCATAGTGGGAATCAAATAGCGTGGCCTTTTTTAAATTAAAAGAAAGTTAAACAAAAGAAGATCCCAAATCTCGCCCCGTTAACTCATACACAATGGATAGATCCTGTAACCGGCTCATCCTAAAAGGCCACTCGCTTTTTCGTGAACTCTATAACTTCATACCCATAATTTGAGCAACCTTCAGAGACTGCCTCATGCTAAGATCCAGCATAATCTCCTCACTACCGCCAGGGATAGCATACGCTCTGACATCCCTATACAATCTCTCCACCTTGCCACCTTGTCCACCTCGCGAGTACGAAAGACCACCAAAGATCTGCGAGGCCTCACGGGCACAGAACTCAAAGGTGACGGTAGATTGGGCCTTGAGGCCGGCAATGGGGCCGCCAAGACGCAACATGGCTTCGTGCTCACCCATCTTCTGGCACTGGTAAATCATGTTCTCAAGCCAGTTGTAGGAAGCCTCAATCTGGCGAGCCATGTGTGCGAGCTTCATACGGATGACAGGGTGCTCAATGAGCTTCTTGCCAAAAGTGCGACGCTTGTTGGCGTACTTGACTGACTCTTCGAAGCAAACACGTGAGAAACGAAGGCACTGGATAATGATGCCGATGCGCTCGTGGTTGAAGTTGGTCATGATGACACCGAATCCCTTGTCCTTCTTGCCGAGCAGGTTCTCAACTGGGACCTTGACATCCTCAAAGGTGATGTAGGTGGTTCCGGAAGACCAGACACCCTGGCAGTCCATGCGACGGGTGCTGACACCGGGGCCGCGCTCGATGAGCAGCAGACTGACGCCGTTCATGCCTTCACCGCCGGTTCGCACGGCAGTGGTGAAGTAGTCAGCCCAGATACCGTTGGTAATCCACTTCTTCTCGCCATTGACAATGAAGTGCTTGCCGTCTTCGCTGAGCCTAGCCTCGCAAGTCAGGTTGGCAACATCACTACCAGCATCTGGCTCCGTAATGGCCAGGCAGACGCGCTTATCACCGGCGAGAATACCAGGCATGATGCGGTCCTTGAGGGCCTGAGAACCAAACTTCATGATGGGAGGACAGCCAATACCGAAACCACCAATTAAGTTCCAGACGAAACCACCGGAGCCGGCACGCGACAGCTCGTCGGTCAACAGCATCTCGTGGAAGAGATCCCAGTTTTCCGTGGGGACCGACTTGACACCATTAGGGACATACTCGGTAGGGTAATTGACCCCCAAGAGACCCCCAAGATAGCCACGGCGGCCCATCTCCTTGTAGATCTCCTCGGGGACGCGCTTAGCCTCGTCCCACTCAGTGACGTTAGGTTCAATCTCGTTCTCCATCCACTCGCGGACTTCGGCACGCAGAGCGGCGTGAGTCTCGTTGAAGTATGGCGAGAAGTTGCCCTGGTACCACGAAGGATCGGCAAAGGGGATCAGGGCTCCGAAGGGCTCCAGAGGCTCAGACTGCTCATTGCTGGAGCTGGGGCTGGCGGCCTTCTTAGGAGCGGATGCGGCGGCAGGCTTGGGCTCGGCCTTGGGCTCAGGCTTGGGCTTGCTGTCGAGCGAGCCGACCTGCAGCTTGCCCTTGTACTTTTTCAGGATGCCCTCGTTGTGGTATTTCCAGAAGATTTTGGAGGCGTCCTTGCCAGCGACTCGCTGGAGAATCTTCTTGCCGCCTGTGCAGCATAAGGAGGTCAGCAAGGACAGAAAAGAAAAGAAGAGGAAAGGACAGCGGTGACTGATAGCAACGGCGGGAAAATTTGGGGGGGGGGAAGCATACCGGGATGGTCATCCTGGAACTTGGTGATATCATACACATCCCCATCGACAATAATATACATGTCATCCCCCTTGTTGTGCGACGCAACGTCGCTCGTCGAAAAGACCTTGGACATGATGGGCTGCTTGGATGGATTTTGCGAATGAAAAAAAGAAGAAGGGAAGGGAGGGAGAGAGGGAAGAAAGCCGAGTTAAAAGCCAAAATGGCGTCCAGGCCGTACAATGGGCCTTAAATCCAAGACGTCGGCATTCCACAATCACATGCGAGTCCGTCGAGGCTGTCGAAGCCGGAGTCAGCAAGTCAGTTCCCAAACAAGAGATGAGCTCCGGGCACTGGGAAAGAGCAAGCGCAACCACTGAGGACCTTGGGCCTCCCCCCACGACCGTGTCCTTGGGGTTGCCTTTGGGGTGTGGGGAAGAGCGACAATTATTACGGAGCAAAGGTCAGTTTGAATTCGGCGATTCATTATTGGGCGGTTGCACCTTCCTCCGTTTTCAAGCTCCAGACCAACATTAAATGCTACACAAGACCTACGCAAGTGTCATGTGTCTAGTGTTGCTTCTCGTGCATCTCGCCGTAGATGTCCCAGAGGCCTTAGTGGCGACACATACTATCCTATTGTGTCTGGTATATATATATATTTTTTCTGTTGCATTTAATGCATGTGAAGATGGGTGGTGGGCAAGGGAACCTGATGTCATGCGGTCGTGTAGCCACACACCACACACCACAAACAGCCTGCGCTTGACCTTTGAGCCCAGTGGGTCGCCCTCCGCATTGACCGAGGCACTTTTGGCAACCAAATGCTTGAGGCACTGCACTGCATAACAAATACAACATCCCTTTGATTATTTGCTCTCCACCAGTCAGGGCCGCAGCATTGCCAACTAGGCCCTCCAAAACCTAGTCGCCCGAGGCTGTCACCTGAGCAGCGTGGCACATGGCTCGCCGGCTTTAGAGTACCTCACCGGGATAACAAGAAACATGGACCCTCACACAGGTTCGCATACACCCACGGGAGCTCACTAGCAATCAATGATGAAATAACCACTAGCCCTGTAGTTATGCCTTGGTACACCGACTAGTAATAGTAGTATCAGCGGCCCGAAGTGCCATCAATCGTGGAGTAGCCATTTATTGACAGGTCCTCCGCCTCAATGACAAAACAAAGAAACATTGCATGCACCACCTCACATCCGACCATCGTACTCCGGACTTGTAGCAAAAGAAGCAAATCAGATGCCCTATTCCCTATTCCTTATTCCCCGATGCGAACATACCTAAATAACTCCAAATTCCACATGCGTTCCACATATCCCTCCAGTTAAGCCATGTGAGGGTCTGCGCCTGGGCAATCCAGACCCCTTAATAATAGATCACAACTAACCATTAGTGGATTCTTCCATAGTTAAACCACACATGCCCGCGCCTTAAGCCGTTCCTCGAGGCTTTGCTTTTTGGGCCGCCTTGTCCTTCTTGTCCTGCTTCAGCTTCTTCTTCTTCTCCTCGTTCTTCTCGTCCAGTTTCCTCTTGTGGGCAGCCTTTTCCGCATCCGTCTTGGGAATCGGCTTGAAAAAGCCCTCCAGTCGCGCCTGTTGTGATGTCTTGAGATTCTTCTCCAGCCGAGCAGCCGCACCGCGAACTCTGTCCTCAGAAAACCCCTTCTCTGTGACAAGAAATGTAACGAGTCCCTCGACATCAGGCTTATCCCACTTGAAATCGCACAACGGATCATCTGCTTTTCGAACGTCGGGTTCGAAGAACAAGTCTCGTGCGTCCTTGTAAGGCCAGTCTTCGGGCAGTGTGTACTTCTTCTTCGAGTCCTTCTCAATAGCATCCACAACGTTTTCAAGCGTTCCATGCTCGCGAATGAGCTTCAAGGCTGTTGTAGGGCCGACTTTAGGAACCGGATCAAGGTAGTCGCAACCGAGGAGAATACACAAGTCGACAAACTTTGTTTTAGAAGACGCAGACCTTTTGTTAGCCGGACAAATTTTCCATCGCAGTAACATAGTATCCCCATTTGTGACGCAGGGAAACTCACCTGAGATCTCTCCATGTTTAATCCCTCGAGAACCTTGTCAAGATGAATCTCCTGAATAGGTTCCTTTCGCTGCTCACTAAAAGTAAGATGCCTCAACAAGATCGGAGTGTTGAAGCACAGCGTATCCATGTCCTCGCTAGCTGCGGCATACACCTTGCCAGCCCTCGCCAAAACCGCACATTGCGCCTCGGCTTCCGTTGGCGCGATGATGAAAGGAATACCCATGAGCTTCAACAGTCGCTGGCACTCGGCATTGTGCTCCCTCGTCACGCGCACAGTCCGCCTCGAAAATTTCTCTACATCCTCGGCCGTGCCCGTCTCCTTGGCTTCCTCCAAGCCCTCTGTAGCCTCCTGCTTGCGCTGAAATCGCTTTGCCAACTCGCCAGACTTGAGCTTTGGCGGGGCACCGTCAAACACGTAGAGCGGCTTGATGCCGTTGTCGACCATTCGCAGTGTGCGGTAAAACATTCCCATTAGGTGGGACGTCGTCTCGCCGCTGTCGTTCATGAGCTGTTGTCCATCAGAGCGCACGGCAATAAGGAAACTGTATATGCTCATCGAAGCATCCTGTCGCGTGATGTGAGTCGCATGCGGAGGGAGGGGGAAATAGCAGTCAAGCCGGGGTAGATGGGCGTACAATAGCTACTTTTCGACCAAAGTGGTTTTTGATTTCTCCCTCCTTGATGGCTTCAGGAGCTTCCTCCTTGATGATCTGGAAGAGCTGCTTGATACCCATGGTTGCGGCTTGGTATTGGACCCTAATAGCCAGCAGCTTAGAGGTATTTTGGTGGTGAGGTGATGAAGAGAGTGAAAAGCAGAACTTTTACGACATGTAGGCGCGTGATGGCTGGTTAGGGTTTTGCCTGTGTGAACTTGGCAATTGGAAACAAATTTGTGAGATTGAAGCAGCCCTGGACTGAGAAACTTGGACCAGACGTAAGATGACGCGCTGCCCCAGAAATTCGGCAACATGAACGCGCTCTTTCGCGAGAGCTCTTAAAGTGGCCCCACTTCAGTGCTGCCTACGTTCAATGGCCTATCATTTGCTTCATTGAATGCAACGAGACAAGAAACAAGAGTAAAAGAATAGAGCAGCATTGGCATGGAAAGAAAAATATTATAAATCTTGTAGATATGGAAAATTTACTTTGTAGATAGACGCCTTAACAAGCCTCATAGCCATACACAGATGCATTCAAGGCTCATGCGTCACGTCGCGTCACATCACAGGATGCAGGCTCACTCGGTGCCGTCCAGTGCCGACACCGCTCTATATAGCAACGCATTTATCAAATCGTCACGGCCAAAAAATGTCTCGAAGGCGTCTCGCTCAGCCAAGTGTAACCCCCCTCCATCGGCCATACCAGAAACCAGTACAGCCAACAAAGGATAACAGAGCTCCTCTGCCAAGACATGAACTCAAACCCACGAATGAATCCAGTCCAAACAGCCCTCCTCTTCCCTCGCCCTACATAGAACGCCATCGAACATACACAATCGTATTGCATATGGTTTGGTTGATATACCGCTCGGAATACAGAGACGTCAAGGATGAGTCTCGCCTTGCGCTCCACCTTGCCGTGCGGAAGTCAGATATAACACGACATAAGACTTTAACTGAGCCAAAAAAAAAAGCATAGTAAGAGATAATGGGTAGTCAACCTGAAAAGGGGGCTGACACAAGCCGCAGCATCTCAGCGCAAACCTGGCGATGGATAATATATATGTCCCTGCCGAAACTGTTGATGCATCAGGGGCACGGCGCAAACGTATTTGGCGTCTCCTCTCATATGGCGGTCTTGCCATAAATTCTCATCTCTGGGTATCGTACATGGTACCTTCTGGGTCAAGCCACCTCGTATTAACATACACTGCCTAGTCAGTCATCTCGGCAATATTTCAACTTCTCAGTCTTCTTCGAAGAACACCTTCTTCCGTCTGCTTCCCCGGCTATCCCTCATGTTGTCCAGCACTTGATCAATCTCCATAATGTCAAGCATCTCGGCTTCCACATTTCGGGCGGTGACATCGGTTTTGACGTCTGCAGCCGCACTCAGGTCGTTCATAAAGTCAAAGCCTACGCGGGAGCGGTTTGGTAGCTGCAATGTATCATCCGAGACTCCAAACTGTCCAGTAGAATCGTCATTCTTGCTTTGCGAAGACTTGCGTCTCAAAGTTCCAGGTTTCGAGGTGCTGAGGTTAAATGATAAGCTTGTGGTTCTCTCCGGGTTACCGTGAACGATGATGGCGTCTGATCTCTCTCCTTCCGAGAATAGCCGTCTTCTCCGGCTATCAGCCATTTTGGCGATTTTCTTCCCTGGTCCGTCCTCTCCCTGACGAACAATAACCAGTCGAGACTCGCCTTGAATCAGAACATCCACAGGCAAACCGCCATCTTCTTCCGGTGATGTCCCAGATTTCAAAGACGCCACAACCAGGCCCACGCCGCAACATCTCTCTCCCAACAGTCCAGTAGAGAGGTCTGCTAGTTTCACCATTCTCGTCGGCTGTGCTCCACTAAATAGGTTTACACCGCCGCCAGAACCTTTTCGGAGTTGTGAGTCCCAGAATTTCGATAGTATTGGAATAACACAGACGTGCTCCAGGCCGCCCACCCACAATATTAGACTCTCCTCCTGCAAGGCCTTTCCTTTAGGTGGCAGGGCAATCGTCCTTATGCCACCCCGAACTGCCGCCAAACGGTCAAATGTGGTAGTGGAGCTTAAGGAAGCAGTAGCCTGGCGACGAGTGTGAGGAGTCATTGGCGCAAATTCTCCAGTGTGGTTTTCCTTTTGCTGAGTTGCGACACTCCGCAGTGAGCCAGTTCCTTCGATGTAGCCTGAAATACTAAAGGTCGTTAGAGCAGCGCCTTTCAGGCCACTTGCTAGTTTGCTTGACATGGCTGCGCTTCCGGAAGACGACCTAACTCCATCGACGTCCCAAACTCCCCACATACCATCTGCAAGAAGTGCGAAGATGGCTCTGCCATGTGATATCCACGCCGCATCCAGAATTGGTTTCCTGGAAGCAGTTGGTCGAGCAAACGGCTGATACAATGAGAGCAGCCATGAGCCTTGTGGTGGGAAAGGCCCAATAGCTTCTGGGTCGGGAGGAACAGAGGACACAGCGAAGTCATATACCCTCGCGGCCTGATACGGAGAGACGGTCAGCAGCTGTGTGGGGTGTGACGGGTTGAATGAGATGCTGGAGAGCGGCTGGGGAAGATATTCGGTCTGAAAGGGCTCGATTGCTCGTTCAGGCCTTGCCTTTGGGTCCAACGGCACGTCCCAGAGCGCTAGAGTCCCAGATGCCTGGCGAGAGCACGACGCAACCACGGCCCTAGGCGCCTTGCTATCAGGATCTGAGGACTTCGGCTGGACCAAGCTGATAGCTAGCCCATCGCTGTACCTCCTCTGGCCACTCAGCAAAACCAGAGACTCTCCCCAAGCTCCGGAGCCAGCTTGTCCGGCCAACAGACCCGCCCGAAGCTCCTCTCTCGCTTTACTCTCAAAGGACGGCGGTGTCAGAGGAAGAGTAATAACATAGACATCATTCGTCACACATGAAACTGCAAACACCATCCTGTCCGACAGCAATGCCCCTGTCGCATTTTGTCGATCTTGAGGGTTGTAAGGCGCCATCGACATGACAGCCACATGCAACACGGCTGTCCCCAGCGTCAAGTCCAAGGTTTGCACGATTTCCGGATACGGTACTTCTTCGTTTTCACTCTCAAACTCGGGTTTATCCTCAAACTTGTGCACGGTTTGAGCCTTGGCAGGTGGGTGCTCGTCGTCAGAGTCGATAACCATGACGGCATCATCAGAGGTTCCATTTTGCTTTTTTTCGGGTTCGGGACTCTTCTTTTGGCGCTTTAGTCTTCGTCCACCCCGCCAAATGATGGTTACGCCATTTTCGTGGCCATAGAGCAGGATTGTGGCTCCCTGGGGTGATTGGATCGGATATGTTTGCAAATCATTTACGCGTCGTGATAGATTATGTCTATAATTGGCGGTTGTTAGCATCGTTATGTATTTATTCATGAAAACACAAATTAGCACATGACTCACGTAAACTGCGTATTTTGTCCCGTTCGACGAATACGAGGAGTCGTAAATGAAGTCATGGTGGCTCCGGACGGAAAGCTGTCACGGATTGGCTGTTGGCGCCCGGGAGCAGTACGTGCTGGTTGCGTTTGAGAGATAAAACGTAGGAAAGCGCCGGACTGTTCAATTCATCGCATCGCTGTGTTGGCGACTGCTTCTTGTTGTGCTGTTAATCAGAGCTCCTCGATAAGAAGCGTTCAATGTTCTCAGACCAAACTCTTATTTGACGCGCCAAAGCTCACAAACCCACCCCAAGCTCTACAGACCTCTGTATCGATCACGTGATATCTCCCACCTCAACACCGACGTCAGAGAGTGAAGAATTATTGCCCATACATACACCGTTCGCCTTTAGGGCCCTTTCACATTCTAAATGGGCAAGGAATCGTAAATTTGCCTCGACTCTGTAAATTTATCGTTACATGACGTCTTTGCCCAGCGTTGATTTCTTGGCCCGCGGGTAGCACCATATCCCCTGATTCCCCTCTCAAGTTCATCAGCCCACGCGAAACAGCAAGGAAATCCCAACTTCACTTTAAGTTGTAATATCCAGAATTAGCATTTATAGTTGCCAGGACTTCCCCTCCCATAGATTTTGTTGTTCACCTGCGGAGCGCCCATGCGCCCAGTCCCGCAGCGCTGGTCAACCAGCTGCTCAGCTGTATTCCACTCCGTCAGCTCGCAAACATCATTGGAATCCTCCCCAGCGCAGATATATACGGCTGTGATATCCACCACAGCCGCGTACACTGATCCACGAATAGCCCAGTTCTTCTCGCAAAATGTCTTGGGTATTTCAACGCCTTCCTTGTATTCCAGCTGGTTGTAATCCATCGATTCGCACTTCACGTCAGACTCAGCACCGTGGATCGCCGTCGTGCTATGCGCCCAGCTCGCGCCCGCAGCCATATTTCTGTTGGCATCCAGAGACGGCTGTATGTACGGAGAAGAGCTGGTCGGGTGCATGAAGGTTGGTTATCAGCTAGCGCGGCACAACCCAAGTTCAGAAGTACAGCCGCACAGATACAAGCGGGTTGCTTCACCCTGGCCAAGTAAAAAACAAGCAAAACAGTAATATGCAAGAAATAAGTTTTTGATTTTTTGTTTATTATTAAATTTCGCGGCAAAGTCGACTAATGCTACCGCCAGATTAGCACTTAATGCTACTTTCGTAGCCGACTAGAATCTACTACTGAAGCTAGCCAAGCACGCACGAGGGTAATAAAGGGGGGGGGGGGAAGCACACGATGGATCCATGGATAGGCGAACCGGAGAAAAGTTTGAAAATATGGTTTTTGGGTCACTATTTCGCAATCCATACGTACATTTCCACCTGCTTCCATTGCCGACCTCCCCACTGCATATAATAAAGATTTAAATAGGTAAAACAAGCAGGCAACTAGGTTGTGTTTACAACCCTCCATGAGAAAGACCTAATTCTTCCACATCGTGTTTCATACCGCATGCGTTGGCTCGAACGTGATCCGGCATATACCGCAGTATGAAAAATGCGGTATATACACACACTGGCCCAATGTTCAGTTAGCAGCATGCCAAGTCATAGCTTGAGCAAGATCCCAGGGGGTGTACGTCAACGTCCACATGGTAATCAATGATGAGGGAAAGAGGTGAGCTGGCAGGCCGAGAAAGCTCGAAGGATGCCGTTGCCGCGTTGTGTACATCTCTCGGGTGTCCAGAATCGAAGTTCGGCAGTTCAACAAAAGACGTAAGGGAGTGTATAGCTTAGAAGACACGCTCAGAGAGCATTCGACGCGAGGCACACGCAGCAAGAGTGCCTAGTCGTCTTCACAAAATAAAATGGATAAACCTACGCCGCTTAAACCAACAAAAAAAGGAGCATCAACGCCGCTAGATCGTCAGCCAGTCGACGAACAGGTGGGCATGAGCTCTCGCCCCGAAAACGCCGTGAATGCCATTGATAGAGAAAGATGGTGGTAGATGGTGGGTAATTGGTGATTGAATAACGGCATGTATTTGTGGTCGTCGTAACGCGCGTGTTGTAAAGCAGCTCATGCGTTGGTGACCTATCATCAAGTTAGTTCAAGTGATTCAGCCAAGATACAATAGAGGATAAAGCAAGCATACTCTAAGAATCCTTCGAGAATAGTCTTCATTGTCTGCAATACTGCCATCACTCATCCGCCGGTGAGCCATGACCGGATCCATGCGTGAGTCGGTCATGGAAATGCTGCCGTGGCTGCTAGGGGGCGTTGAACCGCTAATAAAAGCACTGACAGCAGCATTTCGCCGATGCTCTTCTTCAATTTCGGCGTTACGCTTGCGTCTCATGTAGAAAAAGAAGCCGCCAATCGCGGCTCCGGCAGCAATAACACCAACCACCACTCCGGCAGCAATACCAGCGACATTTGGTCCACTCTTCTCCGGCTTCGAGGTCTGCGAAGGGCTCGCCGTTTCAGTAACAGTGGCGCTAGTATGGGCGGGTGAACTTCCAGTAGGCGTCGCATCAGGAGTACTACTCGTGCTGGAGGCTGCTGTAGTAGAACTAGACTCGCTGTATGTCGGGGGGTCGATGTTGAGACCGAGATTGAAAATAGTATATGTATCCTTACCACCACACGCTTCCTGGGGATATGACGAGCAGGGAGCGTTGCACTTCGAGTCAGCCACTGAGGCACTCTCTGGAGGTATAGCCATCCCACATAAACATTGCGGACCATGCAAACCCGCCAACCACCATCCAGCATCCTTGCAGGCGAGGGTACAAGAGCCAGAAGACATCCTTTCGCCAGGAATCTGGGGATCGAGTGCCGTCATATTGCCCTTAGTATTGAAGCAGCCTTGGCTCACCGGGCGACCTAGTTGCGGGATGTTGGAAGGTGCTGACACAGGGCTTTGTGCGTTCACGCTGATAGCAGCCATGACGGCGCCAAAAGCTAACGTTGAGGGTCTCATTTTGCAGAATCTGAGGGCGTTTGTAGCGAAAGTTCGAAAGGGAATGACAATAATCAAGGTCGGTCGTGTGACAGATGCGATTGATTTTCCACCTTTGAGAAGCGTCGTACGACCGAGGCAGACAAAAGGGTGGCAGGAAAGTTGACGGCAAAAGAAAGAGACAGGTGCCGGATCGTTTCCGCAGAGGAGGCGCCGTGCCCAAGCCTTGAGAAAGTCGGGTGTCGACGTGACGAGGTCGAGTAATGAATGAGCGCGTCTCAAAGGGCCGTCAACACCGACAATAGGCAGTGGAAAGTCAACAGGCAAGGCGAGTGACAGCTGCTGGCGACTGGCGACAAAGAAACAAGCGTAAAGTGTTTCGGACGGCTACCCCTTGATTGAACCAGCGACAAGATGGGAAAATCCACGGTCGCTAAGTGTTGCAAGAAAGAAATGACTGCATCTAACAATGGCACAAAAGGAGAGGCAGACGATGGCGACTGGTCTCCGGGAGATGGACGCCAAGTTGGCCGTTGACGTTGAGAATGCAGCGGGGGATAGTCGGGGAGAACGAGGGACGACTGGAACGAGCGACGGGATATTTTGTTGAAGGGGGCAAGGCCAGACGAACGGCGATGGAAATGGAAACGTTTGGCGTGGGAATGGGGGACGCAGCGAGACGAGAAATCGACCAGGGGCAACTTGGGCTGGCGAAAGAGGGCTGAGGACATCGGGACCGAGTACAATAGCAGAGAGCGAGTTGCAAGCCAGACAAACTGGGTCCAGACACCGACACGGACGCCGGGCGCCGCGAGGGCAGGGGAGGCATGGTCAGGCACCGGGTACCAAGTACGGAGTAGTACACCTGACAGGTACCATCGACCCGTCTGGTGCGCGCGCGGTGCGGACATGGAGGTTGCAGGTAGCCTTGGGGCACATGTGCAGACCCGAGCAGGCAGGGGTTGGCTGCTCGAGGTGGGAGCACTCACTTGGCGAGGGGGCTTCAGGGGACTCTGGACTTCTGGACTTCTGGACCCAGAGCCAAGCGCGAGTACAGGCACAGGACAGGCGCCACGCAGGTACCTGAACTTGCCAGACCACCCAGTACCATGGAGTTCCAAGTAACGTCGCTATTAAAGCACAGTGGGCCCGGTACTCTGTACGTACTGCAAGGTACAGAGCACTTAAGTACCAGTACATACAAAATTGACAAACATGGACCAGACGTCAACCCCACTTGATGCAGAGCGGCCTCTCCAAAGCATTTGGCTCGCCTGACGTTCCAGAGCCTGGCACGCAGCATCGACTTTGCGACAAAATGAATCACATTCGGCGCGTTCAACACTCCATACAGCATCGTTAACGAGCGAACCGGGTTCCTTTTGCTGTCTTCTTTGGGTTTCTCGCCATGTGCGATTCCAAAGACTGCCTCACAATGCGCGCACTATGTACAACACCAAACCCCAGGTCAATGTCTACACCCTGGCCCCTGGTCTTTGCTCGCATCGTTAGCTGTTTCTCCATCACCATTCACAGAGGAGCAGAGGAGGTACGTGCCACTCAAGTGATTTGTGCTCTTTGTATTACTAAATATGTTTGTCCACACAGTATACGTAAGAAGCACGGCACTATTACACCTCTGGCCAGAATCCTGGTCCATTCGTGGGATTCTGCCTCGTCGAGCATCGACACGGACTGATGTGCTTGGTTCTACTCCGTATCATGAGATGCTACAGGCTCTTGGACGCGGACAGCTGTCTCTTCTCCTGGGCCGAGGAGGCGTGACAACACCTGCCGGGGCGGAGATCGCGAACATTGCACGTACAATCCATTTAGTACTCCGTGCGGAATGCTCGGTGATCCGTTCCCCTGATGGACAGTAAAGTATACATCCGGTCAGACCAAGCGTACGGAGAACCTGCTGCGACAACGTCTGTTCCACTGGCGAAAGACACCTGGAGCCAGACTGGACTTTGCTGAGTCGATTAGCAACACGTTGTATTTCCCTTGGGTTTGGACCTCGAGCCGTCCAGCAGCCGCCCAGCAGCCGCCACAGCCTGTGGGGTTTATTTTCCTTTTGTTCAACAAGCCGTCTTGTCCGGGTCGCGCTGGCGCCAGCAACAAAGCAGTACGTAGCTTTTCCCACCGAGTTCCCCAAAACGCGCCGCTTTGATCAGACAACTTGGCTAGAAAAGTCACCGCTACATGACCACAAGTGCAACCCTGCTTGCAAGAGACTGATCCGATAAGTGTTTCGGCTAACAAAATGGCTTCATGTGCTTAACAGATGAAGTTCAAGGTACTATGCAGGAACGTCGTGTCCATCCTGAACGTCTCCACAGCAATTAAACTAAACACGCACACCCTCGTCAAATCCAGCCATGATCATCTGCCTCGACGCGCTATTTGCACTGTATGACTATTCTCCGTACTGCTACAATAATAACGAACCAGGCTCTTCTGCAGAGCGTTGGGGCCATGTTCTCTGGCTAGTATGTTGCGTGGTACTCATGCCGATAAACTTGGAGGAACGCGATGTGCCCATAATTTACCCGAACCCGGGGTGATACGTTGTTCTAGACGCCGAAATGCTGGGCGGATAGAATGCTACACAATACGGAGTACATAGCACCGCCAGGCCAACATGTCTAAGCCTTCCGAACACAACACACTTGTTGGGCATCAAGAAACGCCAGCGCTAGCCACGAGAATCTAACGGAGTACTCCGTGCTCCGTACGTATTTTACAGAGTGCGCCCCCGAACGGGAAAAGAAAGAGGAAATCTGACTGCCGCCATGCCAGCGCTAAGATGGTTGTTCCTGGTGTGAGGCTGACGCACCATGGATTGTGTGCCTCGACGGCGAGCCAGTCCGCTTGAGGTGGATTGCTTGATGGAAGCGTCCATTCAGCCCCTCCCGCACCTATGTAGGTATATTGTACGGAGTACTAATGTAGACTGATGCATACAGAGTACTCTGTGCGAGGTCTTTCACAACGTCTTTTACTGCGATAATACTAGCACCAAGCAGTCGCAGAGCCGAGACCGTCCGGTCGCTGATGCTTGTCCTCGTCACAGTCCTACTCCGAGACTCAGCCAGCAGAACCACTTGGCTGGGTAAAGCACAACATTGAAATGAAGACTTGACACTCCGCTCCGGGCACAGAAAAGACGCAGGCAAGTGTGAAAGCCGCTTGTGCCTTGACCCTCCGACAATGTTTGCCAAATCGACCAACTGAGAAGGCGCTGGAACTCTGATCGAATTTAACCAGCTGCTAGTTAAGCGGAGAGCACTTTGTGAGAAACATCAAGGCAGTACTCATTCCTCTGGAATAGTCTCCTATGGACGCCATGGTGACATTGAAAGGCTTTTATTCGTTCCTCTATAGTAGAAACTGTTGGGTTCATTGCGTTCTGCACCATATATTGTACGCTTCATTGAGCGTGTTGGTGTTAAGATCCTTGGATACCATAGTCTAGATGTTGATGCCCTGTATCTGGTGGAGTTCTCCATCGTAAAGTGTTGTGGTATGTACACATACAGAGTATTACGTATGTATGTATGTATGTACTCCGTAAAATCCAAGCAAACATGTTTGTGGAACAATAGTACGAGATGCTAAACACACAGTCTCGTTGTTGTAAGCTCATCATTGCATGATTGGACTGTTAAGTCGCATATTGTATGGAGTATCGTACAAATTGATGCTGTATCATACACGTGCCGAGTCCCGAAATGCCTACCTAGGTAAGCAAGCAATGATCTCCCTTGATATCTCTATGCTTCTATGTTCCTTGAACGCGATTCCCAGTAGATCTCCCGACGATGCGGCCGGGACATGCCCAGATATATACACCAGGATTCAGGATTGTTGGCTTGGGCAAGACACTTGGTACTAGTATGTAGTGTGTACATAAATATCATATAAATGCCTCTTTTATTTCATCTTGTAGTCTACCATCAGCCCTGTGGTGCTGTTGCAGGACTATGTGATACTACTGCCTATAAATGCACCCTGGGTACCGTATTTGCAGTCTTCTTGTGGATGTAGCGGGTTGAACCAGACATGAGAAACTTGCCGTGGTTCCCATCCCGTAAGCTAGTATCATCAATTACTACTTCAAATGTTCCGTTTTTGCGCTCCACCGTTAGGGCTCCCTTCAGTTCGATCAGCCCTAGGCCCCTAGTGGTGCAACGTCCTGCACTTTGGTAGCTGTCAGAGCCATGGGCGTGGATAGAACCATTAAAGGGGGGGGATAAAACAAAAGGTGCCTGCGTTTCGTCAATGGGAAAGGCCGGGTTCCCGCTGGGCCTACCGGTCGATCAAGTTGGATTTTGGGTCTCTTCTTTTTGAGTGTTCTGGGCTACGGGCTTTGACTTGTGTCGTTGGAGATGGCCTTGAATCACGAAGGGATGAACTGTTCATGACGGATCGCGGATCTTTTGCAGTGGAAGCCATTTGACTTGTGCCACGGTGAAAATGACCGAGTAGGTGTCATCGCCTGGGGATTATGCGTCTCTATCAAGGTTTCCTATCATATTCGATGACGCCGTCACACCGGTCAACAGATTTGGCAGGAATAAGTGAAATTCCCACGGACAAGGAGGTGTATTGTGGCTAAATTCCGCGGACGTGCCAGGTGCAAACCTCGAATCGAAATTCTTTTTATTCAGCAACGTCCTAAGGCGGACTCATCAAGTCTCGGCTGGAAGCACCAACCTGTTGTGACGAGGACTCGGCGGAATATGAGGCAGGGTAGCCTACGCTGGTACAGGGTAACTGTCTGTTCGAGAGGCAAGACGGACATTATGGGTTTCATTGCCATGGTTCTTCGTGGTGCCGGGGTAGTTGTTCGTTGGGAATCGAACTGAAAAGGGCCGTGGTCACGACTAACCCGTGGTTCATCTACGTCATTATCAGATCTTGGATTCCGCCGTCCGAGATGCTTTCCACGCCCGACCTCACATTAGTATAGTACTGCCTGGAGCTCCCCCCACGAGCATGGCCAGACAGGATGAAACACAAGGCCCTGCTAGCTGAGTCATGTACGGCATCCCATCATCTGGCACCGCTTGTTGCGCCATCAATGAAACAAGGCGACATCTGACAGTGATTGATACACACTCCGTACGGAGTTCTCCTTACTCCGTGTTGCGTGGTCATGGCAACAACAGCCGCCGGAACAACGATAGCGCCGAGCAAGCTGTTACTATTGCCTCGGACTGCGCACAAATTAGTACAATGTACATACAGCGAGGACCCACACAGCTTCAGATCCTGGGGGAGGGGGGGGGGACGCTTGCGGACCATAATTGCATTGACTTGACAATGTGCGGATATCAATGGGTACAATGCCAACTAGGCCGCCCAGAAAAAGGTTATCGCAATGAAATCGTTCCTGCACGCTTATCTTCCGCCCGTACACCAGTACACCACTGCGAGGATTTGCTAGGAGCCGTACTCCGTAGAGGTCTCGATCAACATAAATAGCCTATCTGGCTCTAGATCTTGGGGGTGCAGCATGCAGGCCAAAGAAATGCAGCAGACATGGAGGCCAAGGCGCCAGCCGCCCCTGCTGAAGGTCTTCTGTCACGGCGGCAGCGATACAACTGGGAAGGTGCGGAGTGAGTGCGTCATGGTCGCAGACTAGCAGCACTTGCCGCCACAGCTTGAGCTTGCGCAACCACCAGTCGACCCGTTGACTGGTTGACCCAGCCCGGCCCGACCTCTAGACGCCACCGGCCAGCAGGCAGATGGGAGCTCCCCCAACAACACGCACTCGGTAGCGTCATCCTCCGCCGCGCAACTAGTACCCAGGTGGCTCCAGTTGCCTCCAGCTTCCAGCACTCCAGTTCCCTTCCTCCAAGCTTCGTCCTCTCATCACATACCTGCGTCCATCACGAAAAGCAGGTTACCCCATCGATTTCTGTACCACATCTGCTTGCCCACAAGCGTCACTCCCTTAGATTTTTTAACCGTGCCAGTCTCTCTCTGGAGCGTTGCCCATCATGAAGAGCGCGCTCATCGCCGCGGCCGCCCTCGTCGGTACCGCCCATGCCGGCGTGCACAAGATGAAGCTCCAGAAGATCTCTCTGGAGGAACAGCTAGTAAGCACCCCATTCATCGTTATCGTCTGAAAGGATATTCATCCCTGCGGCGATGTGTCTCCGTGGCCCCGTGACACGGCTGACGCCTCTGTCAAGGCTGGTGCCTCTATCGAGCAGCATGTTCGGGCCCTCGGCCAGAAGTACCTTGGTGCCCGCCCTGCATCCCGATCCGATGTCATGTTCAATACCAAGGCCCCCCAGGTTGCGGAAGGTCACCCCGTGCCAGTTTCCAACTTCATGAATGCTCAATGTAAGTCGATACGAGCAGCAGCAGTATAGCAGCCCTAGACAGACAAGGATCCTAATTATCACATAGACTTCTCCGAAATCACCGTCGGTACCCCACCGCAAACCTTCAAGGTTGTCTTGGACACGGGCAGCTCCAACCTCTGGGTGCCTTCCCAGAGTTGCAATAGCATAGCTTGCTATCTGCACAGTACATACGACTCTAGTTCTTCCTCTACATATAAGAAGAATGGCTCGTCTTTCGAAATTCGGTACGGGTCCGGCAGCTTGTCTGGCTTCGTCTCTCAAGATGTCGTGACCATCGGCAACTTGAAGATCAAGGACCAGGATTTTGCTGAGGCAACTAGCGAGCCTGGGCTCGCTTTCGCCTTTGGTAAATTTGATGGCATCCTCGGTCTGGGCTATGACACCCTCTCGGTGAACAAGATTGTTCCCCCTTTCTACCAGATGATCAACCAGAAACTACTAGATGAGCCTGTGTTTGCTTTCTACCTTGGCAGCGGTGAAGAGGGCAGCGAAGCTGTCTTTGGCGGCATTGACAAAGATCACTACACTGGCAAGCTTGAATACATCCCTCTTCGCCGCAAGGCGTACTGGGAAGTGGACATCAACTCCATTGCCTTCGGCGATGACACGGCTGAACTTGACAATACGGGCGCTATCCTTGACACTGGTACTTCCCTGAATGTTCTCCCGAGCACACTGGCCGAATTACTCAACAAGGAGATTGGCGCCAAGAAGGGCTGGAACGGCCAGTACACTGTTGAATGCGCCAAAATTGCATCTCTTCCCGACATCGTCTTTAATCTGGCAGGCTCCAATTACAGCCTCCCCGCTTCCGACTACATCCTCGAGCTTCAGGGCACATGTATCTCTACTTTCCAGGGCATGGACATTCCCGAACCTGCTGGACCTCTTATTATTTTGGGAGATGCGTTTTTGCGCCGTTATTACTCCGTCTATGACCTCGGCAAAAATGCTGTTGGTTTGGCCCGCTCCAAATAAATGGGTTACCAGACACAGTAATCGTTGACGAACTAGTTCGACGATGGTTTCGCAAGGATTGAATTCGAGTTTTGCTTTGGAATCGTAACTTTACACACTAGCTCTTTGCGGTAATACGTGCCAGAAATTCGGTTTATGCTGAATAAGAACTATAACGCTCCTTTTGTGTTACACCTTTAAACCTGATAACTGAGCGCTCATATTGCATGTCCGGGACAAGAAATCACCGTAGCTTCTGGAAAGATGTGGCCATCTCCCGCAATTTGTGTCTTGCATCGCAGTACTCAAAAGCAGACTGTAATAAACCAATAGTTCAACTCATTTCTGGCACAGAAAATTGGCGCAAGTCAAGTCTCTTTGATCCATTTAAGCCGGTCGCGGCCAACTGCCAACAGGACCAAGTACAGGCGTACAGGCGCAGGGGGGTAGTGGTGGGGTCACGTGCACGCAATTTTAGACTTTTCCCACTTCAGCGTTAGCCTAGGACCCAGGCCAGCCAGCCAGAAGTACTACTTGGTGATCCACGACACATTCTTCCTTCGAGGCCTCTCTTGCAGCGATCGCTTCACATTGTCTGTTGGAAACCATAAAAATTCGTGTCTTCTTGATCCAAGGGCCTCGAATCGCCATTTCGCAGGCGTGACTCACCATTGCACTCTGTGTGTTGGATGCAGACGGCTTCTTGGACGACCCTTGATGAAAGGGCCTAGAGTCGCACCAATCTGTTCTCCATCCTGCAACCGCGTATCGCGACGAGGCGCGGCGAGCATCACCAGAGCTCGTCCACCGCGATTTGAACATGGCGCAGCCAACGCCGGTCGAACCAAACGGCGCATCGACGCCTGTAAACGATGAGAATAGACACCTCGCCGTCCCGGGCAAGCGAAAACGCGATAGCGAGGACGGTGCGGCTGCAGACGAAATGACGGGTGTTGAAGAACAGAAGCCGGCCGCACCCCACCGATGGGCTGCGGGGGAGCAAAAGGACCTGATAAAGTCGTACTTTGATGTTTTGAAGAGGTATTTCGCCCATTTTCTCCTCTCGGGCGCGACGCCAATTCGGCGCGACGTCGCCATTGTGAAGTCGTCCTGACTTGTCCGTCCTGCGGCCGAATGCAATGACTTACCATCAAATCCTAGTATCGACGTCGAGCCCGCCATCCTGAAACGGCCGCTAGAAGACCGCCAGATCGAAGATGAACCCGACACGAAGCGACAAAAGTCGTCGGAGCCGCCGGCCTTGAAATCAATATCGGACAAAATGGCTACCGATTCGTATATCCATGTCGAAGATGTTGCCTCTGATGTTGTTTCTGCCGCCGATGCCGCATTGTCGGAATTTAGGGCCAAGCTTCCGGATGGCTCTGGCAGTGTAGAAAGTACAAAGGCTGTCGTCCGAATTGCCGAATTTAAAGCACAAGCCATTGCCATTCTGGAGCGGGAGAAGGCATATCCCAAGGTCGCTCCTTTGGAGGCCATCGACGGCGGAGACGATTCTAAAGCTGCATCGCGTAAGAGCCAGGCCATTCTGTCCGTGGTTGGCTACGCGCCGCAGGAAAGACGTCTCTTTTCGAGTCTGCCATTGTCCCATGACATTGATCTGACAGAGTTCAATTTGCCGCCTGGCGTCTCTTTTTCACGCGTTGTTCCGGCCAATCCCCAAGAACAAACGCAGACATTGGGCGACTTGTTCGGTCCTCCTCGACCGCTTCCTCCTCTGCAGCCGCCCAAACAACCCAAAACCCAAGCCAAGGGCAATACACTAGACTTTTATCACCCCGATTTAGCCGATACTGCCAAGTACCGTGGAACCTGCTACTTCGGCACAAAGCTTACGTCAGGTTATTATCTTGACTACAGCAATGCTACACCATCATATCAAACCAAGACCAAACAGCGAGAGCGTGCCCAAAGTCTTGCTGGCAAGAAGCCATCTACGTCGGAATTGGAAATGTCAGAGATGGAGTCGCTTTTCCGAGGCGCCTTTTCTAGTTTTGCTCCGTGCAAAGATGATGCAGGGGCGGTGATTCCGTCAGGAATTGCTGGTAAAATGTGGTGGCAAAAGAATGGCTCCAAGAATTTCCAGAGAATGATTGAAGTTGAATACTACCCAGATATCGCAGATGTGGATGCATTTCATCCTGAAATCAAGAGCGAGGACATCGACGAGGATGCCGTGCAGGAAGCCATTGATAATTGGGATGATGGCGCTGTTGACCCGTCGCTCGAGGATGCTTTGGGCACTAAGCGTGACCCCAACGACAAGGAGGTTGATGAAATTCTTGAAGAAGTCAGCGACTTGATTGGAACATTGGCTTCCTATCAGCGCATTCGCAACCTTACTCTACCCAATTCCCAAAATCGTCAATCCAGCGACCCTGTCAATGGCGACATGCTGGCTAATTCAGGGCCTCAACCCTCGGAAGAAGAACAGGCCACCTATGAGATGCTCAAAACGCAGCTGGCGTTAATTATCAAGACCCTTCCGCCATATGCTGTGGCCAAACTAAATGGAGATCAGCTGGATGATTTGCTCATCAGCACCAAGGTTCAGGTTCAGACAGATCAATACCGTGGTGTCATGGAGGAGGACGATGCTGGTGTACAGGCCCGCATAAGAGCACAACAACAGCAGCAGCAACAACAACAGCATGCTGCAGCTCAAGCAGCTCAGGCGGCTCAAGCTGCCCAAGCTGCCCAGGCCAATGCTCGGCCGCCCTCGCAACGCTCTGCTAGTATTTCTACGCCCTACGCCAACCAATACCAACACACACCCCAGTATGGCACACCAACACGAACTCCCTCACATCCTCAGCAATATTTCCGATCTATGCCGACTCCCAGTTATCACCAACCTCGGGCTATGGGCAGTCCCGCCCAGCAGCATCCTAGACCACCACAGCCAAATCAATACACCCGACCTAATGGCTATCCGAACCAATATGCTACGCAACTCGCCAAAGCACAGACTCCTTACGGTCACCAAAACATGCCCCAAACCAATCAACAACGGCCGCCGCAATACGGCCAACTTCAACAACAAGGGCCTCCGAATGCTGCGCGATTCCAATATCAACAGCAATTTCAGCAGCAGCCACAGCCACAACCACCACCGCCTGGGCCTCCCGGTCAGCCCAATTATGGGGCATATATGAATGGGGCCGGCGTGCCTCCAAGGAACATGTCACCGCAAGTTCCTCCGCGGCATGCCTATAGCCCGTCACCTAATATGCAGCCAGCTCAACAGCGCTATGGAACTCCGGGCCAAGGCAATCCACAAATGATCAGGCATGGCAGTAATCCGGGACAGCACGCTCAGTATAGTCAGTCTCCCGGTCCAACCGGATATCACACCGTCATTCCCGAGGCTCAGCAACAACGAATCTTGGAGCAAGCCAAGGCACGAGTTGCTGCACAAGAAAGGACAGCCATGTTCGGTGACAAGATGCAGCCGGGCTTTCCTGGGATGCCCATGGGATACGGCGGTAACATGGAAGCGAACCGCATCGCAGCAGCCCGTGCGAATATCATGAATCAGCAGAAGCCACAAACACCTGTTGGTCAACGACAAGGGATGAACGGCACGCCCCAGTCACAATACGTCCCTCCATCAAAAGTGACACCTGTTCCCGTACCACCTATCCCCGGTGCTGGACAGCCGCAGCCGCAGCCGGGCCAGCCTCAGCAGCAGCAGCCTGTACCTGGCCCAGAATCATAGTTGTAGACGAGGGTATTGATCTGCGGCACAAAACGAAGTTAGCGGGAAAGAGGTTATTAGAAGATAACGACCGGGCCAGTCCTTTTTTTTTGTTCTCGAGAAGGGGGGGAACTATATCTTTACCCCTTTTGACGTTTTTTTCTCAACCACCAAGGTCAAGGGCGTATTTAGGAGTAAAAAGCCAATTGGTTGTTTTGTTTCTCATTTTATCATTATTTTTTTTTCTCCTATTGGCAAGAAAAGGACGGGAAATGGAACTATGTAAACGACTGGGGAGTAGACGCGATTTGGGGGGGGGAGGCAGCGTAGTGGCGCCTGGAATATATCCCGCGCGGGGACTTTGTACACCAGATTTGTAGCTAAATGAGGCAGGACTCTTTTTGCGAGGCGTGGGGATGGCCCCGATCGGAATAGACGTATAAATTGCCCTGGACCAAGCGGCATAAGTCGGTGATGGTTATGACTACTTCATTAGTATGTATGCGTTCCACGTCAAACTTTAGTGGACGGCAATGCACATCAGGAATGGTTGAGCTGAGTGGGTATCATTGAAACAGATCTAGGCCCTGCCGTCCGCCGAACGCCATAACACACACGTACCATGATACAAAAAAGTCCGGGTCTAATGCATGATATATATACACTCCAAACGTCCATTCTCTTGTTATACAACGGCCTCATTTGCCGCCTTGGCCGCCCTGGCAGCCTCCCTCTCCTGTCCCCATTCCAGAATAATCCTTCTCAACTCAAACACCACCTCGACCGCAATTAACAAGATGATGATTAGTTCCAACCTCGTGCCGTGTTGCTCGCTCGACATTTCGCGCAACACACTTGCTATTTCCTGTGCATAATCCATTTTTTGGTTTAGCGTGCGAATCCGTACGTTCACGTCGAGTGCGCGCCCGACTTGGTCGTAGTACCCCTCGAGTCCCAGCTCGGATTTGCTGTCCCAGAAGATGTCGGGCAGGGAGTCGGTCAACTCGGAGTAGTGGTTGAGTCGGGCTCGCAGACTTAGTAATTCACCCGTCTTTTGGAGGATGAATTTGCGGCCAAGGGGGACGCCGGAGCCCTGGGATAAGATGGCAGGGATGTTGCGAGTGCTTTCAAAGTACGCGGTCAATGCGCTCTCGAGAACAGCGAGCTTGGTGCTTCTCGCGAGTCCAGACGAGAAGGCGATTTTGGCGAGGGTTGTGTCGAGGGTGTCGCCGTCTTTGTGCTCGCGGCGGGTGCCGAGGACGACCATGTCGCCTTTCATGGTGGATTCTGCACGGGTGGTGTCGGTGATGAAGTCGAGGTCTTCAACCTCGCAAAGCTGAGCGGGGTGTGGTTCTTCGGCGGCGCGGAGGATCTGTTTCGTGACGACGTCCGGTGGCAGTGACCACGTTACTATCGTACCGGAGGGGAAGACAAAGATGTCTCCGCCATTGACGCCCTTGGCGTGGACTACTTCGCTGGCGTCGAACCCCGTATTGTCTGGGTCAATGGCGAATCCGTGTGAGGAGAGTATCTCGACCACCATGGGCATGTTGAATGATTCAGCGATGCATGTTGCGCTTATGGTGGTCTCAATCTCAGTCTCAGTGTCGTCGGGGCTTGACTTGTCGCCTACACGCTTTGGTTGCTGTGCAATGATGGCGACTCGGCGGAGGGAGTTTTTGGCTGTGGTTGCGCGGGTGGGTTTGCGCTTGGCGGCAGCGGCTGACAGAGTTGGAGATTCATTCCTGAGAGGTTGCGAGGCAGATTTGACTTGGTCGGCGGAGTTGTTGGAGAGGAAAGGATTCGAGGTAAAGAAGTGTCGTTTTCGCGGCAAGCTCGCTGGTGTGGTGAGATGGAAGGAGCGACGAGGTCTTCGAGATGTGACTGCGCTGTGGATGTGCCGGGCGACAACGTTGAGAGTTATCCGGTGCGGAGGGTACCTCATGGTGATGTGGGCGTTGCCATGTGTTATTGACGGTCAATTGGAGGTTTAGACTGTCCGCATGTAGCCCTGCATGCCACGATTGAAAAGAAGTCGACCGGACATGGGTTTGCTTGTTGATGTGCTGATGGATGTCCTACCAGGAACAGCTACCCTGACGGCAAGATATTCGTATCTTATCACCTCGTGATGGTGCACGTGTGAAAAACTGACATACCAGCACGGTTTGCCAGGGACCAGGACCACCAGGGCCTCTGCCACCATGGTCACTTGTCGGTCACAGTTACGGTGCCGAGTGGCAGCCCCTGCAGGGCCGACTACAGGGCACATCGTAAACAATTGGGTGCTGAGTAGCCACTGGCCCGCCCCAGACCCTGCACTTACTCATGTACTTAAGTAAGTATACTAGGTAGGTGCCTTGTGTTACAGGATGGATGGAACTTGGCACTCCGTACTCCGTACAATCCAATCTTACAATGTACCTGGATACTTCAGTGGCAGTGTTCCAGCGCTGCAAGTGACCATGTGTAAGTCCAAGTCGTGTGGAGGGACGACAGGTACACTGGCAACTGTAGTGATTTGGCGGCAGAACAACTGCATACCCGGATTATAATACTAACGTGGATTGTAGAGGCATGAGTTTGGAGGCGCTAGCCGCCTTGGGCGTAAGTTGGGGCAGAGGCTTGGCAAATGCACAAAGCCCCACCAAGTTCTCGAGCTTTGGAGTCGGTGCCTTGCCTTTGCCTGGTCAATTCTCAAGTTGGGGACGTCGGGACTCTATTTCTATTGGGAGGGAACCCGACAACACCGCTAATTGCCATAATACGCAGTTGGCCAAAGTACATTCTCCGCCTCGTCATCATCATCCTCCAACTCTTTGCTCCTCACTCCCTCCTTTATCCTTTTTCCTCCCCTTTCATATCCCGCTGTCAAAGACTTGCTCCCTTTGTTTACTTGGGCCCTGCACAACTCCCCCGCTCCTCCCGTCCCCCCCAGACTTTTCTAGAAATTTAAGAAGTGTCCTCTCACAAAAAAAAACGGCATTTCCCTCCAACCCCTTTACCGCGCTGCCGACCATGGATATCGACAAGAAGTACGATAACTACGACTTCCCGGTTACTGCCGCCGAGCGTCAGGATGGCCATGCTGGTCACCTTAATGAGCAGCAAATTGCCCAGGTCCACCAGCTGCGTATGATGCTTGAAGCTGAGGGATACACGGATCGTCTGGACACATTGACTTTGGTAGGTAAATCCCCAAAGCTTTGGCAGATGCCTTGGAATGTTGGCCTGTATTCTTCTCGTATACAAGCAACGGGAAATCAAAAAGCAAATGACATCTTACCACGTCACCAAGGCAGGGGCTAACGTTTCGTTTCATGTGGTAGTTGCGATTCCTGCGAGCGCGCAAGTGGGATGTCAAGCTGTCCAAGGCTATGTAAGATCCCTCCCTTCACTGCCCTTACCTGACGTCGATAATCAGAATAAGGGGGACTCTAACATGGCTCAACAGGTTCGTTGATACCGAAAAGTGGCGAAAGGAGACCAAGCTCGACGAGACCGTTCCCATCTGGGACTACCCCGAGAAGCCTGAGATTGCCAAGTACTACAAGCAGTTCTACCACAAGACGGACAAGGTGAATATGACCCGCTTACTATAAAGTAATGTGTCATTTGGTGGAGCTTGTACTGACTCCCATGAACAGGATGGTCGTCCCATCTACATCGAGACACTTGGCGGTATTGACCTGACCGCCATGTACAAAATCACCACCGCCGACCGAATGCTTAGCAACCTTGCCGTCGAGTACGAGCGGCTCGCCGACCCACGACTGCCCGCCTGCTCTCGCAAGGTCGGCAACCTTTTGGAGACTTGCTGCACCGTTATGGATCTCAAAGGCGTAACCGTGACCAAGGTCCCGTCTGTCTATTCCTACGTTCGTCAGGCCTCCGTCATCTCCCAGAACTACTACCCTGAGCGCCTGGGAAAGCTGTTCCTTATCAACGCCCCGTGGGGGTTTTCAACTGTTTGGAGCGTTGTCAAGGGCTGGCTTGACCCCGTCACCGTCAAGAAGATCCACATTCTTGGCAGTGGTTACCAGAGCGAGCTGCTGAAGCATATCGAGAAAGAGAGTCTACCCGTTGAGTTTGGCGGTACTTGCACCTGTGAGGGTGGGTGCGAAAACAGTGATGCCGGTCCATGGCACGACCCTCAATGGGCACGACCTGCCTGGTGGGAGAAGAAGGCAGACGAGAAGACTATCCAAAACAACGGCTCCAAGATTGAGACGGCCCAAGATGGTCCCGCTATTGAGCCTGCCCCTATCGCCGAAACAGCCAAGGATGAGACAGTGCAAACTGCTGCTGCTTAAACACGGCTTATTTTTCGCATATTTGTATTTGACACCTTTTGCTGAAAGTAGCAGGACGCGTGTGAAGAGCTCTCGACTTGGCTAAAGAAAATAAGAAATGCCCGGGGTTTGGTGTAGAATGGCGTGTTGGGAGTAGACAGCTGAGCTGGAGAGTATTTGTCTTGGGAGAGTTGGGAGAGACGTGTTTTATGGAAATTAAAGGCACCTGATGTTTGATTGATATGGGTGGCTCCAACATACACGAGAAAAAAGTATTCGATACAGAGATGCTAAAATTTTTTTATTCCTACATGTCTTTCTTCGGTCAAGTAGTCAGGTGCCGTTGTCATTACTTGCAGTGTGTTCAACTGTTTGCAGGGATATATGGCCTGGGAGAAGATAAAGAGAACTACTTATATAAACTGGACCGAAAATAGATTTCAGTCTCAATTCTGCTGGTTTGCAGGGTGTAATTGATGGTCTATGATTCTGCGCTAGTTATTCGATTTCTGTAAGAAAAATAAAAAGTTGCATGTGCCGAACTGTAGACGTCGGTCGTGTCGTGGCCCGAGTCGTAGCGTATTACACAAAAGAGAAAAAGGGAAAAAAAAGGGAAAAAAAGAGAAGTGGTATCCCGCTACCCCAAACGCCGTACGCGATGCATGCCCATTTCCAAATTACACGTTGAACCGCCTCCCCCCCAAAGGAAGAGCCTATTTCGCATCCAACACGTACTCGCCCGCCACCCTCGCCCTCTCCATCTTGGCCACAGCAGACGGCATGTCCCTCTTGAGTCTGCCCAGCGCCTCGACGGCGCCCCTGAACCCGGCCTCCACACCGTCCTGTCTCTCCAGCCTGTCTACGCGCAAGCTGCCGCCTTCCTTGCCCGACTCGACGGCGACTGCCGCCCTGCGCGCCTCGACCGTCTCCTCGTCGCGCCGGATCGCGTCCCGGACGCGCGCGGCCTGCTCGTCCGCCGCCTTGCCGGGCACGGAGCGCTTCAGCGCCGCTACTTCCTCGAGCAGCTTTTCCTCTTGGGAAATGAGCTCCGCGACGCGCTGGCGCTTGCGGGCGTCGAAGGGCTCGTGGGTGTCGCGCGTGGCGGGCGACGGCGAGAGGTACTCGGTCGAGGAGACGGGGAGGCCGTTGATGGACAGGTTCGGCGCGGCGAGGGTGAAGGTCTTGTCGATGTACTGCCTTGGGTCAGTTGCTGGACTTGCTGGTGGATGAGGAAGGAGGAGGAGGAGGAGGAGGAGGGGGGGGGGAGGTAGTACCTCGTTGACCAGGGATTCGATTTGGTTCCGGAGCTCGTCTTCGCCTTGGCCGGGGACGTGGGGGAAGGCTTCGTTGATGCGGGCGGCTGCTGCGCCGCGCACTTTGGCCACGAGGTAGGCTAGGTCTTGGGGGGATTGGAGCTCGATTTTGCGCTGGGCTTGGGACGCGGCCGAGTCTTGGTCCATGTCGGCGGTGGAAGGGGAAGGGGGAGGATGTGGAATTGTCGGTGTTTTTTGTCCTATTCCCTTGGTGTCGGGAAGGGAGTGGTTGTTTACTGTCGAGTATGACGGGTTGGAAAGTTGCGGGTGGGTTCAATGTTGGTGGGGCAAGTTTGCTGGACCGCGAATGACCAGGTGGTGATTATTGTGAAATTTAAACAAAAGTAGCGGAAACATTCTTCTTTTCTCTTCTCTTCTTCACTGTGTTGATTATGCGAGAGACAGTATAAATGATGTTTTATTCTGTGTTGCGCAGCCTGATACACCATCTCCATGAGCTCATATATCCTGCCGAGCAGCCAAAAGTGGTCACGCATCCGAAAGAACGGGGCTGCAGTCAAAAGTTCTACTCTGCAAGTAAGGTCAACGCCTATTTCAACAAAATCATGACATTGAAATACACCAGTGGCCTCGATCAACCCGATTGCCCGGTAAGGGGATGTAAAATCGAGCCTGCACGTAATGACCCAAAGGATATTCGGGAATTCATCCGGGAAATGCAAGATTAGTCCGAAGCAACAGCTAATCGGTTACGGAGTAGTCCGCCATACATACATAGATGCCAATACCCATCAGCCCACAAGATCGCCGGCAGGCGGGCCTTTAAAAGCCATCACATGAATTTATTGCTCCAAACGAGAAGAACGCAACCCTCCGTAGACCATTGGACCCTTGCTCACTCTCACTAATTTTGTGGTTGAAATGTGGAGTAAGTGCCAGGTGCGTATTGTACATACATATGTACTTAAGTACCTAGGTGTGTACTAGTAGTACTCGTAGTATTTATGAGTTAGTAAGTTACTAATTGAATTGGCAGGTGCCATTGGGCGGGGCAGTCTCACATCCCTGCTTCGTGCTGTGCTTTGTGCTTCGTGCCGTGTCCTTGACCTTTTGACGGTCCTTGTTTCATGTTGCAAGAGGCGAGGAGTGCTGTGTTTTGAATCGCTGTAACCGTATGCTATTTACGGATGAACGCTATGTTGCAAAGTGATTTGCCATCATCAGAGTCACGAGTCATTCTCCAGCCGTCATTTGTTGAAAGGGGCAACCCATGTCGGCTACATGTCAAGATACAAGTCGAGCCTCAGTCGAGTTTCAACTCAGACCGCTGGTACTGTCACTTGCTAACGAGCAATTACTACAATTACATGCACTGCTAAAGGTGAGAAACTTGGACACTGCAGTCAAGAGGAGATCTTATGGAATACAAACGCCTAGAAACACCCCGTGTGTGCTCTAGAAACCCAGTCTCCAGCTGGAGCCAGCACACATAGTCTACCTAAACCGAGGCTAAAAGCAAACGAGGAACCAAACATACAGAAGCGACAAGAATGTGGATAGAACGAAAGACGAAAAAAATGAACTCCGAACGCTCCTTGCACCGTTGAGCTTCATTCGTCAAACCCTAGTTTCATCAGGGCTAGAACTGCCCATAATATCCGTAAAAGTCGTCATCATGCGTTTCTCCCGGTATCCTCTGCCCGTGCTGGCCCAAGAGCCGCGTTAGCCATCGTGTACGCCGAGCTCAATAGTGCCATGGTAGATGTAGTGCCTTGTGCATCATAGGATCGCCTTCTGCCCTGCGCAACGAACATTGAAGCAAGGGAATTTTTTCTTTGAGAAAAAAAAAAAAAAGAAGACACCATTGGTGATGTCATTGGATTACAAGTTGAAAACAAGTCATAAAAAAGAGTTGAAGAATGGAAATGGGTAAAGGCGTAAAGAATCAATGTCTGCCAGAGAAAGTAAAGCTTGCGCTGTGGAATCAGTGACCAGCTCCCGTAAAAAATAGTTTAGACCGGAGATATATGTCTGAGCCCCAGGGTGTCCGGACCCTGCAATCAAATATGCATGGAGTGGGATCCAGCCATAGTGTGTTAATGGGGTAGCATATTCCGAGATTCTTCGTCGCTGAGAATAATTTCGTGGACCGGCTCGCGCTGGTTCTCGAGCGGGACGTAGTCGCAGTCGACATATGAGGGCAGGAATATTTCTAGGCGCACAGGGTTAATTACTAGTAGCGGCTTGAAATGGGCAAAGGCCAGTAAACGAACCTGGATTCCAGACGAATCCTTGACTAGAAGACAGGTATGAGATCTGGGTTATAGTTTTAGCATTGTTCATAGGATATGGACTACAGTCTAGTGAGGAGAGGGGAGCAGCCTACCAGACGGGGTGGTCCATCAGGGTCGCCAATGTTGATGACGGTGCTCTCCTGCTTGGAGATGGCCGAGCCTGTCACAGGTGTCAGTAAACAGTGCAAACACTTTGGGCGAAGAGACTCGTTATAGCTCTGGCTGACGAAGTTTCCCAAGCAGACCCAGGCTAGGAACCTGACGCAAGAAGGCCGGTGGATTGCACGATAAGGGTGCACAGGTCCACGCTCGCACTTACTCAACAAACTGGGTCGCCGTGTGTGCAGCATCTTGGTATTGGGGCTCGTAGAAGGCGAAGAACGTGAGGGAGAGCTTGAGTAGGAGCTCATGGATGAGCCACCAAGAGTCTTTGACGAGGCGTGAAATGCATCTGGTGAAGCCGAAGATCGGGTTGTCGGAATGGTGATGGATGACGACATGGCGAGAGCTGGCGGACCGAGGACGAGGATATGCGGCAAGACAAGAGAGACGAGCAGACGATGGCTGGCAGGTGGCGAGGCGGGTATGTACAGTCGGAGAAAACAGTGGTGGTTGAAAACGGTGCTTGTTGAGAGAGGCGACAAGAAGTCGGGATGAGGAGAGATGTGGGGGCAGATGACGAAGAAGTGAGGTCGATTGGTGTGGTGACTACTCTGCAGTAGGGTCCAGAACAGAAGGGTGACTGGTCGTGCTAGTCGTGCCGGATCGGGGGATGGGATGGGCAATATCCAGGTGGGTGACGGGCGGTTGATGAGCGAGAGCCGCACTTTGACTGTTGCAGCCGACCGAACGTTGAATCAAGGAGGCGCCGACTACGGGAAGACTAACGAGAGCGCGTGGGCCGTCAAGGCGGAGGCAGGAGGAGGTGAGAGAAGGTGGAGGATGGCGAATGTTCAAGGCTTGAAAGGCGGATGCAGATTGAAAATGGCATTCGTAGCTACTTGGCTTTAGTAGAGTACTAAGTAATAAGTAGCGGCGAGGGACTGGACGGAAAGAAAAGAAGAGAGAGGAAAGAGATGGGTGAGCGGAGAGAGAGACGAGATAAAGACATGGAGGCCTGACAGCAGGACGCAGGTGCAAGACAGGTGAGCGTTCGGGAGGAGTGACATTCAGTCTGCGGTGACATGTGGAGCTAGTGACATCTAGAGCCGCAACCGCAGTCAGGACATGAATGTCACTGCGTGTCCTGACAAGCTACCAAATACAAAGCGAGCAAGTCCACTATTCCATGTGTTGGCAGTGTGGAAACGCACCAGCCCGCGGTGGACCTTTTGTGGTCGTGAAATTGAACAAATGACAGGCTACCTCTAAGAAGTACATGGGTACATCGGTGCCTGGCGCAGTATGTATGGAGACCGGAGTACTCACCGAGTAAACTAGTAGCCGGACCAGAGCGAAATGGACAGGACAGGGGATCGAGACAGGAGATGGGACCTGTGCCATGATTGATCATAGACTTTTAGCTCACAGAAAAAGCGTCTCATTCGACATGCAAGAGTACTCCGACAGTGTGTTTGGCTGCCTTCTCACCGTCGGCATTTGTCTCCGGCCCATGTACCGAGTACCCGGTGCAATAGCTTGCTCATCCAGGCTCGAGCCCAACCTTGGCGAGGTACCATCTCGTGACAGCTAGTCTGAGCCTCAACTGGCTTTGTATTATGCAGTCGAACAAGCGAAAATACCACCAGACGAGACCAGGGTTGGTGGTTGGGGATCCATCAATCCATCTTTCTGAGTGCGGGTACGGAGACAACCAGGGCTGAGACATTGACCAAGTTGGAGTCTTTTCCGATTCACCCAACGTCGGCACTGAGGGTACCAGATCCAGAACACCAGGCCATTCCAGCTCCAGGCCCGACCAAGCCTCGAATGTATCATCTTCTGCTCCTGTACTCCGTAAGAAAGCTAATAATAGCTTGTCCTCGAGCTTGACGAAGCCCGGCTCCAACTCTACTCCATTCTATGGTGTACGAGGCCAAAACGATTTGACCCAACAAAGTATCACCTACGACTTATATGCTCCTATGTTGCATTACATTGCAATGCATGTATCTGATATACCTCGGCATAATGCCCCCTGATAGACAAACATCTAGGCATGTTGCCTTGAACAACTAGTTAGTGGGATTAAGTGGCCAAAATGATGGTTACTTAGGGTATTGAAACATTCACTCTCGTCTGTAGTAATATTCCATTTGGCCGGGCTCGTATCGACAGCCTGCCTCCGGCCCACCTCACGACCCTTCCCAAGTCGTTGTTTCAAAGCAATTGGACGCGATACCTTGCTTAATAGCTTGCTGAGCGCCTAAATGCATGAAATGCCTGCCCAGTCTGCATATGCGAGCCACCTGCACCACTCGGGGACATCTCATTCTCCTCCGTTCCTCCCTTCAGGCGCCTCCTCTGCGCTACCGTCAGTTGAAATCCAGGTCGCTTGGGCATCCTTGTGTAGCGTCGTGGTTTGACCTAGACCAATCAATCCAGGTTCAGCATTGTGCAAAGATACCAAGCGGCAGCCACATTACTGCTGCATGCGAATAGTTCAAGGCTCTTAGTAATGTGGTGTCATGGAATTCATGTTCGCTTGGCTTCGAGTTTGACACATACCTGAAAGGCTGTTCAGGAACTTGTAACTCAGCAGTCGTCGGTGTAGTCTCAGGTCGGTCGTCTGCATGCCTCGTCACGTGCATGCTTCCCTTTTAAGCCAGTGATCCACCAACCAACATGACTAAGCATTCAAGCTCCTCCAGGCTCTGCGAGGCTACGTTCGCCATTGACGCCTACGGTGCGCAGAGCTTCTGCTAGATGCCATCACAGTCCATCCTCATCAACCTCTCAGCATCGCCCTTCACGAATCTCGTTCATCTCGACATTGTATCACACATTGTAACGTGACTAACTTCGTGCATTCGCTACCAACTGGGTATCTGAATCACGACTTCGACCGCTTTCCACCTCCGTTCGCAACCCATCTCACATCATATCCTCGTCGCAGAGGTAGCTGCGTTGCTGCCATAAAATGGGCGACATTGCAGTTGAAAGCCAGGTCAACCACGCGCCGCCACATAAAAAGGCCGCTCCGTCAACAATCCCCACTATTGACAACTTCGAGGGCCTACCGACCGAGGGCGGCGATGACTACGCCTCGCTGAAGAAGTTGCAGAGACAGTTGGAGTAAGCACATTCTCATTTTTTGTCGCCATATTTCTTGAGTCTTGGGATATTTTCCTGCGAATTCTATTCTCAACCGGAGCCGCCGACATATACTACCGCGAACTCCTTGTACTGACTGTTTACAGATATATTCAGCTACAAGAAGAGTACATCAAGGATGAGCAAAGGTATGCCTTCCATTATTCGCCACTCCCACAAGTCCTCGTCATGGGGCCATGGAACCGGAAACAATATCTAACACAGCATATTTCTTAGGAGTCTGAAGCGTGAGCTGGTGCGAGCCCAGGAAGAAATCAAGCGCATTCAGAGTGTGCCGTTAGTCATCGGCCAATTCATGGAAGCCATCGATCAAAAGTATATTTGTCCTATAATTGCCCTTGCGAGAAATTGTTCGCTGACCCAAGTCTCGTTTTGCAGCACTGGTATCGTTCAGTCAAGTACCGGATCTAACTATGTTGTCCGGATCCTGTCTACCCTTGACCGCGAGTTGCTCAAGCCTTCATCCTCTGTCGCCCTCCATCGACACTCAAATGCCCTCGTCGACATCCTCCCCCCTGAAGCCGACTCTTCCATTGCCATGCTTGGCGCAGACGAGAAACCTGATGTGACATATGCCGATGTTGGCGGGTTGGACATGCAGAAGCAGGAGATTCGAGAGGCTGTTGAACTACCCTTGACACATTTCGACCTCTACAAGCAGATTGGTATTGATCCCCCTCGTGGTGTTCTGTTGTACGGCCCCCCCGGAACGGGCAAGACTATGCTTGTCAAAGCCGTCGCCAACTCGACCACTGCCAGCTTTATTCGAGTTGTTGGCTCTGAATTCGTTCAGAAGTATCTCGGAGAAGGTCCCCGAATGGTCCGAGATGTCTTTCGAATGGCCCGCGAAAACTCACCTGCCATCATCTTCATTGACGAAATCGACGCTATTGCCACCAAGCGTTTTGATGCCCAAACTGGTGCCGATCGTGAAGTCCAACGTATTTTGCTTGAACTTCTTAACCAGATGGACGGATTCGACCAAACCTCCAACGTCAAGGTCATCATGGCCACGAACCGTGCCGATACTCTGGATCCCGCTTTGCTGCGTCCCGGTCGGCTGGACCGAAAGATTGAGTTCCCCTCGCTGCGGGATCGCCGCGAACGTCGTCTCATCTTCACCACTATTGCCAGCAAGATGTCGCTCGCCCCTGAAGTCGACCTGGACAGCTTGATCGTACGCAACGACCCTCTTTCAGGCGCCATTATTGCCGCCATCATGCAGGAGGCTGGTTTGCGGGCGGTCCGCAAGAACCGATACAACATCATTCAGAGCGACTTGGAGGATGCATACTCCAGCCAAGTCAAGGGTACGAGTGACGATAACAAGTTTGACTTTTACAAATAAGCATGTGCGAGGTGTGGCAGTGTTGTCGTGGTATTGGGGATGCTGCCAACGAAGCTTCAGCATTGCAATATTCTGAAATCCACGGTGAAGAATAGGATAGTTGCCGACCGGAGGCGAATTCCGGATCAAGGTCACAGGGGAGCATATCAACGGGAATGTTGCTGTAACTAATAGACCCAACTGAGCTGGAAGCACGATCTACCTTTCAGTGCTGTAGGACAATAGGCAAAATATTGTATATTTAGTACTATTAGTCGTTTCGAGCTACATAACATATTTGCGTTTCTTCGTCACCACGGCTTCCAGCGACCGTATCGTGAGACGCCACGCTGGCTCGTATCCCGACGGCTTAATGGGTTTCAGCTTGGGACGGGAAGCCCGACACGGTGCAGTAGCGTTCGGTATTGTGACAGTGAGCCACCAGTACCTCTATGCAATGAAACCACAAGCTTATTCCCACCTCTCCCGCACCGTTTCTGTATCACCAAACCTGCATGACTGGTGTCTGCTGAATTTCAAATCCTATTGCATACCCAAGTACAACATGACACGTCAAAAATTCAGGTCCAATGCTACTCCGGTCTGGATATTCGGCACTCATCATCACTCGGACAACCTGGTTTGGGAAAATGTACAACTAGAAACACAATGTTCAAAGCACCATTGCAAAGCTGGAGTATACTCTGATCGTCTATTCACAGTGACCACGTCACTTCAAAATACAAAATGAACCGTTTCTTTGCATACCGTGTACCAATTCACCGCCGTAACCACACTTTTCCTGCCTTACAGCCAAATTGCTGATTTTGTAAGCCTGGTGATGCCGACCTTTTCCGAATTGATCCTTGTGTCTATATGCCCCGTGACCCATGTGCCATTTTAAACCATGTTTGCGCCTGGTAAAATAAAAGAAATAATAAAAAAGCAGAAACAATGGACATCGATCCATTATGATATCGGGTATTGACCAAAGTTGATTTTTCCAATTTGTCAAATCAACAGAATAAAGTACAAAAGACTCCAGACATGTGTTTGCGCAACTGCACATGACACTGACAAGCTCTGAATAAGAGGTGAGCTCTAACAAAACGTCGTACACCATTTACCGTATACCCCAAAAGGGCAGTGGCTAGAATTAGGTCGTAAACTCCGTATAAAACGTCAAAAAGAAGTAGAGCTTGCATTAGTATTACCCAGCTGACCTCTGTCAAGAGGGATGATGTTGAACGCCGATGCTATGCAGAAGATGATGGAGAGAGGCACGCAAGGCGATCTTCGTCTCTTTCTCAAGAAATGGGGTATAGAAGAATCGTAATCTATGCAGTGGGTATTTTACCATGACCACAGCAATGGCTCGGCAATTGCAAGCTTTAGTCCATTCACGAGGAACGAGGCCAAATCGTCGCGACCATACTTGTCGTGGGACATTAAACCGTATTCAAACGTATCGAAATCCAAGGTCCGCCTTGTTAATCCCGGTTCAAGAATTCAAAGCGACACCAACCTCGAAGAGGAGTTGCACAAACTTGCCATGCAGCTCAATGAAAAAATCAGGCTGTCCAACGAGCTCCGCGAGCCCGCGGGCCTTCAGTGACGAAGCACCCGGTCCACCGCCCATACGCCTTGTGAAGGCACTCCCACCAGTCAGGAAGCTGCTGCCAGACCGGTCAACTGCGGCAGGAGGGTCAAAGGCAGAGGCTTGGGGCTGTGGTTGTGCTCCGCCACCGTACATGACACTGCCAATGGGGGACGAGTTGGCTGTCGTGCGTTCCGCTTCCGCTTCAGCGAGCTGCTGAATCCAGGTGGCCAAATCCCTGAAGGCGGCTGAAATCATAGCAAATGTCTTCATCGCTAGTCTCTCTTTGTGTGTACTAAGGGCTAAAAACGCGTACACTCGCTTGTGCCCTCGAGCATGTACATCTGGAATGCGAAAGATGTATGCTGTGGTATAACCTGCTAGGGCATCGCCAAAAAAAATTGGCCCGCCTGTTGCTGCCGAGCCCGGACTCTGCGTCGTGACAAAAGACGGGGATGTATTAAGCTGTGGCGAGGAAGTCGGGGTAGATGTGGACGGAGGTCGAGGAAGGGTCTCGAAGGATAGGGCACGTAGACATGACGCACGAATCAACGAGAAGGAATCAGCCAGGATGGGTTCGTGGGTAGATGTGTAGTTGACGTAGTGAAAGTGATATGGAGTTCGCTCTGATGAGGTCGATGTGCTGGAACATGACGTATTTCTAGAGCTACTCGCCGTCGGGGCTGTTCTCCGTGATCGCACACGTCGCGTACTCGTTTCGCGATCGCCATCTGTGTCACTCGAGGTCTGCGAGTTAGGTGGGGAGGTCTGTCCAGCAGGCCCAAACACCCTCTCGACAGGAGCCTTGGTGCGTAGAGTCGGTCCATGTGCCCCTGTTGCATAGTCCTCTGGGGTTGCGCCAGAGGTTTGTCGCCTTGGTAGCGTCATAGCACAATTATCACAAGGGCCTTGTTTCTTGGTGACAGTGTCATCATAAGTGCGCCGGAAGCTTGAATCCCGGCGAGGTTGCTGGAAAACTGGCCGTGGGCTTTCTGGCGGCGTGTCGAGAGCCGAAGAGCTGACCGTGTAGTTTGTATTACCAGATGCTGTGGTGGAGCGGCGCAAAGCAGCACGTTGCGAGTGGGCATCATGCTCCGAGGCAGGTGCAGAACCGCTGCGCCCGATGCTTAGATCCCTAAACGTATTATTAAGGGCAACAGAAGACTGAGATTGCGGCGCGGACGTCGGACCACCTGATCGTGTTCGAACATCGCATTTCGTTTTGCCGGTTGCTGTACTAATGGGATCAACTTCCTCAAAACAAACAGAACACGGACTTCTCAGTCCCTCGGTGACCATCAACGGGGTTGGCCCATGGATGTCACAGTAGTGAGCAAGGCATAACTTTAAACCAGTAGTTAGCTTATTGCCAATGGCCATGGTGAGCTGTGATGTGTCCACGAAAATGCATCACTTGAGCTGCTATTATGGACGGGGCTTGGAAGAGACTTGTTGAGTGGTATAACAGGTTCAAGACATGCCCAAGAGGCAACGAGGTGTGATGTAGGTATGTATCCTAAACTGGGCCTGAGTCTCGATTCCGTGACAAATCATAGGTCCAACTGCAGCGCAGCTGACTCGATATGCAGCAGGGTTGATGGAGATTGTCTTGTTTCTTCAAAACAAAACAAGCTCCGGCCAAGTTCGCAGAAGAAACATACAACAAGAGCCTCCATGTAGAACCACTGGACAACAGAGGCGGTGAGCGAAGATGGTGTGCAAGCGACATATTGGTGTCAGCGCGGGAGAAGGTAGACAAGTACAAGCTGCGCAAACGCCGGCCGAGACCAAGCCCGAGGACAGCTAAAAGGGAGCACACTTGTTGCGACAGAGGAAACAAAGGGAGGGGAGATGTGAAAAGAAGGCTAGGATGCTAGAAAGAGTTGGGGGAGGATGCAGGCTTCCTGCAGGCTTCCTGCAGGCATTGTGTGTGTGGCGCCTTGCAGCAGCACTGCCATGCGCTGTCCGATATTTGTCGACTGTATGTAGGTGGGAGACTTACAATGTAGGTCATGACGCATCCAGAGATCGAGGGGTTTATCTTATCGTGATGAGGAGCAAGGTGGGATTTCGGTCTAGAAACACGGCGCGTGCTGGGGAGGGAGAGGGGCGAGTCAACGGCAACGTCGAGATGACTGCAGAATGATGCGGCGAGGATGCCGAGATGGTGCAAAGAACTGGCGAGGTAGCAAAGTGACCAGTCGGCGGGCGGGTGTGATGCTATTGACAAATATGATGCTGGCGCACGGCTCCGAGATCGCGAAGTGGCAGTAGTCGTAGTAGACGAGCGACAAGCTCAAGCTTGGACTGGTGATTAATTGTAAGATGGTCGTTGCAGTGTGGTACGACTTGTCGCGGACTGTCGCGGGAGCTCTGACCCGATGCGGGAGCCCGCGTGGTTGTTGTTGGGCGGACGTCCTTTTTGCAGGACGCGGCCCGAATGCCTCAAGTCGCCTCGAGTCTTGCGCTCTGCAGTCGGTGGCGTTAATGCTGCTTGTACGAGTGCCTGGTCCAGAGGCGTCAGCCTGGGGCCAGTCGTGTCTCCTCGTCGGCTGCTGAGAGTCTGCCTGCGGATCGAGATAACGGCAGCCCGCAAGCGAGACGAGGGATGCGGATACAAAGATCCCAGGAGGAGGTTGCTGCGAGAAATTGGCAATAAAGACAAGACCAAGCAAGAGCGGATGTCACGGAAAATAAAGTTTCGGCGTGAGGGAGAGGGCAGCGGGCTAAAGGAAAGCGTGAAGTGACGGCGGCGGGTCGTGGCTTCCCTGTCTAAGCAGTTCTGAGCTCTTGTTGAGGCAATACGAGCGTTCCTTCGTGTCTCGCTCAGTCTGCAAACACAATGGATTATTTACGCAATCTGGTACGTTGTCGCTCACTGTGCGAGTAGTCGAACCGAATCGATCGAGTGATAGAAAAGAAGAGACCGCAGATGTACGGAGAATGCCTGCGAGCAAACGAATGCGAGCAGCCCGCCGATGGCTACGGACCACTGATGTGGGCTCACCAGTTCCTGATATATTCCCACAAATCATGGATCCGTCGTTACGGTTCTGTGACAAAGCCAAGCGCTGCGACAGGTCTTCTAGAACGAAACGAGCAGCCAGTGACAACGTGATCCTGGCGCGAAACAAGTGGACGGGGGTGCTTTGCAGCAGACGTTTGGTCTGGGCCAGGGATGAGTCGTGAACCCCCCAAGTTGGTCTGGTAGGTTGGAGCTACGGAACTCATCATCCACTCAGCCACTCAAGCAGGTCAAATTCGACTTTTCCTAACTATTGTATCAAGTACCTCAATGAAGCCTGGCATGTGGCTAACCTTGGAGCCCTAGACGAGGAACCGCTATTTGTGCTAGTAGTACTATTGCATTGACGGCTGGCTATAGCTTGGGACCACTGTTTTGGCGGACAGCTTGTCCTTTGACGTGCATACCAACAGTATTCCGGATTTAGAAAGCTGTGGAGGTACTCCGTAGAGACAGTCACAGTCCATCCTCTGTGGGACATCGGACCAGACACCACAGCGCTTGGCCTCTTCCCTCGTCGCGGAACCTTTGCCGGAAGCTTCAGGATTAAAGACCCTCGGCATCAATGTTTATTTGTGGGTACAGGTTGCGACGCGGCCTAACACAGGGCTCTGGTTCAAATGCTGACGACGGACAGGCAGTGATCGTCGAAGCCGATAGCCCGAGCCCGCTAGTATTCTACGTCTTTGCTGTGACGAAGAAGAGGGGGCCTGGTCCGTCGTCCGTACTGGAATAATAAGTTGCGTACCCCGTCCACGCTTCAGGGCAGTACACTCCACCACATGTGGCTTCACAGTTCCCACATCCGGGAACTGCCGGATTGGAAATGCAAAATTAAAGCCATTCGTACTCCGTACATACAAACTAATCAAGGATCATTTGTCCAGAACTTGGCTAGGACACGGCGACGGCAAAAAAAAAGGAGGCGACTTGGCCATGATGGAGCGGCAAAGATTTACACGACTAAGCACAAATAACTTATTATCGTTGCCAATGAAACGACGAAGTACTTCACCTCATTTCGGAACGTTGCAGGCCATCGAAACCAGGACCAAAATACAGTTGATGCGTGTGCTGGCGTAGCAAAAAACAATGCAGCGTCGGCAGCACGCATGTATGTATATCGTGGTCGCCAGAGTTCTGTACATACTACAAATATTGCCCAGCGTCCTTACCACCTATTATATTCTTCGAGAGCTCAACATTCAGGTCACTGCTTGGTCGGCGGCATCTTTGTGGAGAGTAACTCCGTAGGTGTGGCGAAATTGAAAGACCCATGACAAGCCAACATGTCATGCTTGACTTCTGTAAAGAACATCAGGCCATCCTTGCTAAACCTAACGGGTGCGAATTCTCCAGGTTGTCGTCGGTCTGGTCGAGGATGTGCTCACATGATAACTTTACTTTCCTGGGCTGGCCCTGCAAGCCTGATAACGGACTACGCCCATAACAGCAACTGGCCCTATCGAGCCCAACCCACACAACAAGCAATACTCCATACTCCGTACAAGGGCAGGGATGGTCGCATGGAACCCGGGTTATGGTCGTACTGCTGGTAATATGCACCAGAACCTGAGTAGAACCCAGTCAGAACCGTGCTAGCCACGTGGATGACTGTGACACTCAAGCGCTCCCCATACGGAGTAACATATGTGTGACGGTTATCCTCCACGGGGAAGATGTGAGCGTTGCCTCTTGGCTCTCTGGTAAGGACTGCTTGCTGGAGACGAAGCTTGGCTCGCTCACTAATTACATCACATTTCCACTGTCACAAGAGGCATTTGGAAGCGACAGCGGATGCGATTCGCCTGGCCCGAGTTGGGTAGCCTTGGGGATCAGTTTTTGGACCCCACGACCACTGCAAATTTGACCGGTGAGAGGCATGCCTGTTGGATGGTACCCCTTGTGTGAGACCCGGAGCATCCCGTTTGATTGAGCCAACGACCACCCGCCCATTTTCGAAATCCATGCGAACTGAAGCTGATGTCGCTCTCACAGTATCATGGATGGGTGCGTGAGAGAGCCCAAGCAGCGTGGTCGTCTCAGAGGCGGCGGTCAAGCAGGCGGCTGCGCCTTTCAATAACAGAATTCGACGATCCAAAGACGACAATGCCTACCTGCCTCCCTCGCCGGCAATAGTATTACTAGCATTACTGGTGTAACTCGGTTGTCAAGTCGGCCTGAAATCTGCATCACCAGAAATCCGAGACATGACGCCCCGTCACATTATTTGAGACACGCAATCGCACGACCTTTTCACGAACCCGGGTTTGCTATCGCAAAACTTGATCCCGACCAACGAAGGCTTGATAGCGGCAACAAAGCCTAACGGATAATGGTGCCTCCCTCTTCCTTCCTCCCTCCCTCCCCCTCTCTTTTTTTTTTTTTTTTTTTTTTTTTTCCACAGCCTCGCAGGAACAGGGGGCCGAAGTCTAAACATTACAGATGCTACTCTAGGTACGTAATTCAGCATGGGATGAGAACGCACAAACCCGTTTCTCTGAGACATTTAATGAACCTGTAACTGCTACCCGTGCAAGTGCAATCTGCATTGACATATGGGATATTAACTGAAACGACATGGCAACTCATCCATCAGCGTTCGGAAATTCGGCCCTCGCCGGCTGACACCCGGAAGCCCAATCAAGATGGAAAGTACATAGCAGGAGGGCTCTCTTCATCATCATCCGTCCACCCTACTCCGTAACCGCCTGTGATACGTACATACGGAGTATCGATGGAAAATTGCGGATGCAGCGCCCGTACAGACATGCAACGCAAACCGACAGAATGGTAGCGCGCCTCGCCTCCCCATTGCCGCATGCAGGGTTAGAAAAGGGACAATAAGACATGATCCATGTTGTTATTGACCGTTAGGTTGGCATAACGGGCCCATTCATGCCGGCGAAACGGCTCAATCCTACTTGTTCTTAGTCCTCGGGGCAACACCAGTAATGTGGCACGAAATGCTTAGTATCTAGAATTGTCCGACAGTTGATTTGACAGGTGAAAGGATTTGTGATGGCTTGGCGGCTAACATGGCCCGATGTCGGGTGATATCTTGGTCTGAAAACAAAACTATTGCGTTGTTTTTTGGCATCCCTGCAACTGGGCAAATTATCAGCCGGTGCAAATTAATTTACCGTCGATGGTAGCGAATACATTCAAGTGCTACGGAGTACATACTGCTCCGTACTTGCCGACTTTACCACAGTCAAGTCCTCTTTGTCGCTGCGCAAGGACCATAGTACCATACACCATGCACAACGTGCACGATGGAACCGTGATACTAATTGACTCTTTCTTTGTCTTGCTAGGAGGCCCTTGCACTTTGTACAACGTACTTTATCCGGCAGGCAACGGCTAAAAAGACGGTGAGTTGCACCCCGTGCTCTGTTTATTGCACGGAGTAGCATGTATTGATCTAATCTTACAGATTCCCAGCCCAAGGTCCCATGCCAAGCCATCTTGTCCCGGCTGCATTCGCATCTGAATACCGACAATAGAAATCGGAGGGGGGGAGGGGAATGTTATATTTTGCCAACCATGTACTCCGTACAATGCTGATTTCCGTCCCGTCATCTTGCATCTATGCACTCGGGTGGGCACTTTTCCTTTGCACGCCCTGTTACAACTACCATTCTCGAAGTCGCACGTCGTCTTCGCTTCTGCGGAATCACGCGAGTCCGAATTGAAGCCTCCGCCGCCGAGGTATGACGAGGACCATGATCTGCATTCCCTCCAAGCGCACCTGTTCCAAGGGAGCTGGACAGAGGCTTGGCCGCCTCCGTATCCTGATCATCGGCACAAGACTCTGCCCATGCCTCGCGAATCGACAACCCTAGAGCCAGGGCCACCTCTCGCGCAACGCTGTTGCCCACAATCTTGTATTGTTCTGCAGGGGTGCCCAGGATGACTTCACCATCCAGGAAGCCCTGGGCGCGACGGGCCTCCATGACGGAGAGGCCTCGATTCTCATCCCAGTGCAACTGGCGACCATGCTTGCGGTCGTTGGGGACCTGCACTGTTGTAATGGCCCCAATAAGTTGATTGGGGTATAGCCGTCCATATGCGGAAGACTGCCGGTCCAGTTTATGAGGTTCAGTATTAGGCCTTGATGTCTTCCTGTTAATTGTTACAAACACTCCTCTCTCCGCTGGCGTGAGGATCCCGCGAGACGCGCTGCGTAAATTCATTCCCCACGGCCGGTTTGGGATCAGCGATATTCGCGCCTTCAAGCCCTTGGTGAGCCCACGAGCCAAGCGGTGGTCAGGGAAGGGGATGCAGGTATCTGTCTGACCATTGTATATCTTGGGAAGGCCAGACGAAACCTGCCTAGCTACAGAATACGAGAATGGAGTTGCTCGTAGAAAGTCACGCTCTGCCAACACGTGGCGGCGCGTGGGAAGTTTGCCAAGGCTTGTATACCTGGTCTCCGACGGGTGCGAGTGAGTTTGCTGAGGCTTACCAGGCAACTTACAGTTTGGTGCCGCGAAGCTTATGAAGACGCGTGAACGTCTCTGCGCCGATCCGCACGACGAGGCGTCGAGGTAAAACACCTGGGCTTGGTATCCTATACCAACAATTGCGCACATAAACTGGCCAAGGACATCTTGTTCTCTGTTTGCTTTACTTGGGAGAATGCCAGGCACGTTTTCCAGAAGTCCGTACTTGGGCCGATAGAGGTCAACGCATGAGGCGAAGGCTGCCACGAGAGACTGGTTTTTGCGCTGTTCGTCTGTCGTCCTGTCGTTTGTGAGAGTAGAGAAGCCGGGACATGGACTGCCTCCGGAGATGAAGTCGACGCTGCCTATGGTAGGCACCGACTTGGAAAAGTTGCCGCTAAATGCCTCCCTTTGAAAGTCGTCGATGGACCCGAGGAACGGGCTCATGAGGTTGGGATGGCTGCAGTTGGCCATGTAGGTGTGAATTGCCCGGGCATTACAGTCGTTGGCCCAGCTCATGCGAACGGCGCCCCCTTCTTCGAGGCCCCTGCCAAAGTTTCCGCCGCCGCAGAAGAGGTCCAATCCTCGAAGCTCGGAGATGACAACAGCGGGATCAAATCCCTGGCGTAGTGACGACGGGACGCTGCGTAACGGAACGCACAACCCGGCGGGCGATACTCGATGCGTGATGTAAAAGTAGCCGCCGACTCCGGCTCGATTATATGGCGCTGGGATATTTTCATCGTGGGCAAAGAACCGGACATGGCATTTTCCGACGATACCGCTCGGGTCGCATTCGATCGACTCATTGCTATACACTAGTTCATTACGGGCAGAAGTAACAGCCATGCTGTCCACATTGCTTCGCCGAAGCAGTTTTCGGAAGCAGAGGCGAGTTCCCGCGCCCCGTGTGTTTACACTGATGAGTTCACATGCTTCGGAAGTCGAGCTGGCCACATTCACATGGATAAGAAACGTGTCTCCTGGCCGGTATTTGCCAGAGGTAGAATCCTGAAGCCGAGGATTCAAGTGTGAGCACATTAGATCCGAGTCATCCAGAGCTATCCATTTCTTCTCCTTGCTGAGATATCTTTGTCGACAAAAGAATTCCGACGTTGTTGTCGAGTCTCCTCTAAACTGAACACTATGCACGCGCAGGGCCTCACAGTCCTGGATCTTGTTTTCCTCTGCACACGAACAGTGATCAGAGAGGAACAGCTCATTTCTCCACGGGTATTTCATTAGGCCACAAAGAGTGTCAGAAGGGCGGTAGTACCACAGCACTTCAAAGTATCTGCCACCGTCGCTGCGTTCACAAACCTTCTGGACTAGGGCAAACCGCCGGTCGACGCCCGCGAAGTCATTGGAGAGCTCACGTCTCCGCATGGACCTCGATACCTCACCGTCTCTTCTCGTGGATATTGTGTCGCCGGGTTTGATGGCACGGGTGATATCAGAGATATCTCCCCCTGTCTCGTTAACAAACGAACTGGTAGCTGGGCCGTGTGATGTGCAGGCCAGCTCAAGCCCATGCTTCAAGCTAGCACGCTCTCTCAACTCCGATGCCCTCCTGCTTAATGGGAAGTTGTGCAGTCGGTTTCCAAACGGCAAGTCAGAAAATCGGTGATAGACGTAGTCGGTGACGATGGTCGGCTCCTGTGCAGTTCCTGTCGAGAGGTCCGGGTACTTGGTGAAATCCCATATCTCCGCCCAGATGTCATGATAGCCGTACTCTCTGTCTGTAATTATTCCCCTGTATTCCTTGTAAAGAAAAGAAATGTTTGCATTTACGGAAGTGCGAAAGTCGCTCGATGCATGCTGTGCCAGCCAGTCCATCAAGTCAGGAGCATCCCCATGGACTACAAGAAGCCAGTCTCCAAACGCGCTCTGGAAGTGCCGTATCGTCACTCTTGTCCCCTTTTCTTCCATAAAGACTAGAAAGTCGACGAAATGCTTGGCAAGGTTGGCGACCCATAGGAATGCCTTGAAGAAGCGGCGATACTCCCTTGCAGGCAGGCAGAGTTTATAGAAGATGTCACTCTGGTCGCAATACGTAGACTGTAGCCAGATCTGATTGCCCACATTATGATACTGCAGGCCGTATTGTCCTACTGGAACCGCGCTGATGGGAACTCGTTTCATAAACGTCTTGCCTTGCCCATTGTTGCTCAGAATTCCGTCGAAGAAGAAGTTGCTATAGCCGGGTCTAGCATAGAGGTGATGCAGGCAGCGCATTTCACACGGATAGTTTTCCGTGTCCAAGTAGACTGCAAATTCATCCAGCTGTAGTTCGAAATGGCCAGAAGAGGGTGAAGATTGACGTTGTACAGACGGGCCGAAACACTCCAAGGCATCTTCTTCAGATTTTGGGGGAGCAGGTGGGTGAAACGGCTCGTAGCAGGAGCGAGGCGAGGACAATTGAAAGTCTGGTATTTCTACTGCCAAGTTGGAGGATTCCTCGGACAAGACACTCGGCGACGATGAGCTTGCCCGCAGCGTCTCGGACCACTGCGACGAGTCATCTTGACAGGATGCCGAGTCATTCTCGCAAGCCCATACGTCCTCTGTATCAAGAGTCTCTTTTAAGACGGTGGTATCGCGTTCAGTCTCAGAGGCCTCGAGTTCGCTTCTCATGTTAGTCGATGAGGCTGTGGTAGATATGACGTACGTAGCCAGGGTGTTGAATGGGAAGCGTGCTGATAATGCGACCAATCATAACTGTTGTAATGGTAGTTGGATAGTTTGTAAAAAAAGAGAAACAACGATTCTTAATTGTGAACCGGAAAAGAAAAAGGCCATGTGGAAGAGTCCATGAACAAACAGGGTGTGAGCGACAAGTGAGAATACACTGTAAAACTACAAACGGAAGTCATAACGTTGCCCCGCAGCATTACAACTACCTCTTGAACTGAGAAAACGCGTAAAGTCAAGTGAAGAGGTTATGATGTGAAGGATGAGAGCTATTGGTATTGGAGGATTACCGGTGACATATTGGATTAGTGGAAGAAGCCAGCGGCCAAGGCGCTCTATATAGCTCTCAGGACGCTTATACAGTTGAATTTGAAAGCATGGATCGCTAGGCAGTAATGAGAAAAGAGGTGTGCAATTAAAACATTCCTAATAAGAAATGACGCCTGAGAGTAAAAGTGTAGTGTTCGTTGTAAGTTGACACAACAGAAAAGCAACTTGACGAAACCCACTTTCCAGTCGAATGACCCTAAATTTAACGCCTTTGCTTTAATAGTTGCTAGATTATGGAGATAATAAGATAAACAAGCAAATAGTTGGGACGCACACAATGTTCATTATTCAGGCGCCAGTGAATATTGCATGGGACCACCAAAACATAAATTGATAATCCAACTCCGGATTACTCGCGGCTGCCTTCGCTACACCATCCACAAGCAGGAAATCTCCCCTGAATCGCTCCGTTGTAATGCCCAACGCTAGAAAAAAACCCATGAAATCATAATCTCATAACACATCAAGTACTCCCGTCGAGTCTGCCCTCTATCGTCGACGCCGAAACCTGCTATTATAACCTGGCCCTCCCTTGGCCCCGTTATTCCTCAATTTCAGCCGGTGGAAATTGGCGTGAGCAAGCTCATTCACCTTCCTTGCTACCTTTTTCACGGCCCCTTCTTTCTTAGTCGCCTTTGCTGGCTTATCTGTCGATTTGGCCGGCTCTTCGTTTTCAAAATCACTACCTGATGCGACGTCCGCGAAATCTGCGTCGGGACCATTGATGAGTTGCGTTTCTGGGATCACGTCCTCTCCATCTTCATCGCCATTTCCATCCTTGGGAGTGTTCTCTGGCCTTTTGATCCGTGTTGGCTTAATATTGACCTTGCGCGTTGTTCTCTTTTGTCCTTTCTTCTTGTATACCGGCAAAGGGTTGCCATTGTGGTCGACGGCGTCTTCAACCGGACTGTCGTACATGTTTTCGTCGTCAAATCCTCCTAACAATGCTGGTCGTTGGCTATCTTCCATAATTGCTGGGGTGGATACTGCCGCGGGATCCGATGCTTGTCGCGTGCCCAGCGATGGAGACGTTGGCCGACGGATATCCGTATCGTCATTCTCCGCTGCCCGAAGAGCATCCAGATCGTCGTCGTCGTCGAGCACATCATCCTCTACTTTCCTTAGGCTAGCTACAATTTCACTCAATCCCCGAACAAGCGGCTTTCTCGGTAGTCGGAGTGGCGATGGGTCGGCAAACATGGCATTCTCGTCGACTGCGGGCAGGGAGTGTCTCTTCAAGAAAGCAGGTGTATCGAATTGCAGCTTGGATACGGATGATGGTGTCTTGGCATCTAGACTGCCCCGTCGGTTCTTCATTGGCGTCGCAAACGTATTCAACACGTTTCTCTTACTCGAGGACATGGGCGTTCTGCCGAGCCTGGTGCTACTTTCGTGGTCGTAGGAGCCAGTCCGCTTGCTAGGCGTAGACTGAACATTACCACGAGATCGACCTGGTGTACCGGATGGTTTGGATGTGTCCTTCTTTGATGGTGTGCCAAGCTCTTTCTCAACTAAAAGATCAAACAGACCTAGGACGCGGCCGTCACGCTGAGGGGTGGGACCGAGGGATGTTACTGGTGCAGGGCTGAATAGCTTTCTTGATATAGCGGGTGTATTCATCAAGTCTTCATCGTGAGTTCGTTGCTTGGATGGTGTTTGAGCATACTTGGTTCGTTTAAGTGGCGTCTCTGTAAGAATTGGATCTGGTTGCCGCTTCTTGGGTTTCGGTTCTGATTTTGCCGGTGGTGGCTGCTTTCCGGAGAGAATGTCGCGGGCTTTGTTGTAGTCTTTGTATTTCTGTGCTGCCACATTTATCAACCGTTAGCATCTACCATCCACTGTATGCAAAAAAAATTAAAAAAAAAAAAAATTAACATACCAATATCGGGATTGTCCTTGATGTCTTGTCGCCCAGGCTTGCTCCCGCCGTGTGCTTGTGCCCACTCGCTCTCCCAAGCTTTCAGCTCCGTTCTCAGATCCTTTGCTTTGCTTTCGTACCGAGATCTAGTCTCGTCGTCCATGATCACTCGCAAATATGTGCTTTGCAGAGTCTCACATGCAAATATTGAGCGAGGTGCTTGGAATAAGACAGCATGCTGGAGCGTTGTGTGGTCTGGCGACTCAGTCCATGTCCGCCTGCGCGTCGTGAAAACGCGTCTCGCCGGACCCCATTTTAGCAGGGCGACGCGATTCTTAGTGCCGGAGGGTGCTGAAGCTACGGCGGCTCTCACCAGACCAAGACGTCACGTCATCTTCCGTGAGGTCTCTGGCTTGTGGTGGACCTGTGGCTCCACTTTTGCCGTTGACTCTTCGCCACTGCGATGTAAAGCAACTAGTTACCAGACTGACTCCATGTCCGTCCTTTTCGAACCACCATTGATCTATGTGGACATTATTTCTTCGCCAGGACACCTGCTGGACCTTGCCTCGTCACATCTCTGCGGCACATCGCCATGGAGAAAGAGCAAGACCAAAGAACTGACGATCTACAGCGCCGTGTCCTTCAAAACACTCTCAACGAAGTAGCTGCGAGGGAAGAAGATGCAGCCGATTGCTGCGTCATCTGTCTCGATGTCATAACAGAGCCATGCGAAGCGCTGCCGTGTGGCCACCGCAATTTTGACTATATCTGCGTGTCGAGCTGGCTGTTTGAGACACCGCAATGCCCCCTCTGTAAAGTCAAGGTTGTCAAAGTCTTGCATGGATCTGCCCAAGATCCCATCACGACCTTCATCAGCCAAAAGCCTTCTACGGCCGCCACCACCAGCACCTCCACAATAACAAGATCCGATGGTTCCGCATATTACGGACGTAGAGGAGGATTCGGATGTACAAGACAAAGAGGCAGACCATTTCGCAACCAAGGGAGATCGACTACTGTCTCCAACGTAGTCGCTGCTCGACGAGACGTGTACCGCCACCAACGATACTCCAAACATGTCGGGTCTAACCGCCTCTCTCGCTATCGCGAATTGACACCACAGATGTTCTGTTCAGATGCAGAGCTAGTTTCCCGCGCGAGGATGTGGATCCGGCGAGAACTCCGAGTCTTTTCGTTCCTCTCGCCTGATGACGAAGGCGAGAACGACGACGGAAGCACATCGCAGCCCGCACATACTGGCTCCAGAACAACCATACAGCATCGCCGTGCTAACAATGCGGAATTTCTTTTAGAATACATCATTGCTATCCTAAAGTCTGTGGATATCATGGGAATCGGCGGCCAGGCGGAGGATATGCTGTCCGACTTCCTGGGGAGGGAGAATACAAGGCTATTTTTGCACGAGCTACGTGCTTGGCTGCGGAGTCCCTTTACGAAGCTTGAGGATTGGGATAGGGCTGTACAGTACGAGAGAGACGTTGGGAGAAGAGAGCCCAGAGGTGAGGTGCCCAGAAACGATGTGCACCGCGAGGATAGTTCAAGGCGGCATGGTGAGGATGCGGATAGATATCGGGCCAGGCGTGGAGGTGAATTTTACCGTCCACGAGGACGGAGGGCCGCGAAACATGAGTCTTATACATCGAGACGTGCTGCTGAGTGGAACAGGCGGAGAAGTAGATAACTAGACGGACGACGTAATGGGCGGGTTTTTGGACACGGCGTTTGTTAAGTTGCACATGATACCCTAGCGATGCCCTGGATGATGACTTATACACAAACTTTGATCATCAGTTACTTACAGTAATGTGCCTCTGGGCGAATACCCGCTTGCTTCGTTACCTGGGCCTTATCCCAAGGACCCGATACACCAGCAGAGCTCCGCCGGCTAACTGGTTTCACCTCACCACGATGACACACAACATCGGAGACGTCTAGGTAGAGAGATTGCTGTTCAATCGTGGAGGTGATTTGAATTTACAGTGGTAATTGTGGCCATGTACGAGGAAAGGATCCGAGAATTTAAGATCCAAAGGGGTTCCTGCAGCTCATACTTGACCTCATTGCACGACCCCCCCATCGTATCTGTAAACCCCAGCACAATGGAAGGCCAACTCCGTCATGACCGTCTTCATCACCATCATTTCAGACACCGTCTGCCCTTCTGCTACCTCGGTCGTGCCCGTCTCTCCCGCGCCATCACGCTCTACCGAAAAACAATCCCCGGCGGATCCTCGTCGACCTTCAAAATCCGCTGGCATGCCCGCCGCCTGGACGTCAAACCCCCTGCTGAATCGGTCCTCGTCACAGACGGGGCAGCAGATGCGTCCGACTCTCTGGGAGCAGTTCGTGCTGGCGAGGGATGGAGAGAGTGCGGCGGGTATGAATTCGAGCCCTGGCGAGCAATGTACTGAGTGAGAGCGTTTGCTTCTTGTAGTGTATTGTCAGATCTGCGGGTTGTATATACAACTGCACCGGGTATCGTGGCATCGTCAACCTTTTTTTTCGTCATCACAAATCCATAAGTCCTCCTAAATCCTTCTCCATTTGCCGCAGCCTTGCTTGAAGTTCCCTCTTCTTTGCTTCCATCTCCTTTGCCTCGGCCTCCTCCCGTCGTAGGTCCTCTTCCGTCCAAAGCTCGCTTTCATCCCCAGCGTCATCTTCTTCGCTTCCGTCCTCGCCCATCCAGCTCTTGTTCATGCTGGCCAGCTGCTCAGCCTGTTCGGCTACCCTGGCCTCGTAGTATGCCGTTGTGTTCTTTCCATTGCGGTGCTTGTTTCGCAGTGCTGAAATGCGGTCCCTCGCACCAGGCAGCTCATAGACGCCGCAAAGCTTCTCCGCGCCGCGTAGCAAAATCTCAACGTCAACATCGCCTTTGCGATCCGTCTCTCCTCGCCGGAGCTGAGAGTGCATCTCGCCGCCCAAGACGGCAGCGACCGCTGTGTGGCGGCGAGGGTTCGAGGACGCACGGGTCGGGGGACCGGTCGTTACTTCGCCCGATGCGACATTGAAAACTGTTTGGCGTCTGCCCTTGGATTTGGATTCAGGCTCGGCGCTGCGACGGCTCTGGGTAGCTGGAGACGGAGGCGGCGGAACAGAAAAGAGAGCTCGTTCGTGAGCTTCCGTGTCTCTAATCAGAGACGTGATGTCATGGTTCGAGAGGAGAGCATTTGTGAAGAGCTTTGGTGGCGGGAAACTGAGAAAAGGTTAGCCTGTTGTTGAATTCCCCCCCGAAAAAGGGTAGTTGGAGGCGTATTACGGTAAGGAGTCTATTCCTTGACACGAGTATGATATTTGTTCAAGATGGCCAGATAAGATGGACATTATGATGATGTTATGATGAAGGGCGCGTTGAATGTGCGCGCACTCGCCAAAAGTCAATTAGTATGGGCAAATGGCCGACTGACGCCGGACACGTCTTTAGGCTTGCCAATCTTGGGCCGGCGCGAGGTTCTCAATGCCTTGTGACAGCAACGTCACCACTTCCCAGTCTTGACTCTTCAGCTCGTTGACTGTCGTCAAAGCTGATGGGGACGCGACTTGCATGGCGGGGTGGAACAGGTTGAACGTGTCAAGCAAGGTCAGCGCGGTGGGGGCAGACTAGACAAGTCGATGTACAATTCAGACCCTTAAAGTTTAACCAGATGTGACATAATAAGGGGGTTATAGCCAATAAAAAGAAATTATTATAGGAAGTATATAAGGTAAAAAAAGTACCTAATAAGCTATTAAAAATAATATTAATATAAATCATTACTAAGAAATTATTACTCCCTTATAAATTATACTTAATAGCTATTATTATAAATTAAAGCTGCTCTTATTAGTAGAGAGGCCCCTGTAAACTACTCCCTTATCAGGTAACTCATGGCTAAACTTACAAGGGTTAGATTATACTACTCCGTACCCACTTGACATTTAAAGGTTCAAGGTGGGAGCTTCAACTGCCGATGCGTACGGAGTACTCCGGAGTTACATACTACTACCTCATGAGCATTGACTGACAGACGAACTTACTTCGCAGTACAGGGTTCTGTCAAGAGATGCCGCAACATCGAGCAGGGAATCGGGGTCATCATTTTGACCCCAATTCCGACGCATAAATCGGCACAAGATGGGCGCTATTTGGCATTCCTCCGTCTCCGCATCTCAGCTACTGTGGCATACCTGCAACGCGATAGCGTCAATCGAAATAACAGTACGTACTACTAGTAATCACTAATCTTTTCGTAATACGTATTATCCGTACATACCTAAGTACCTACGAGGCATCCAATAAGCGTGAAACAAAAGCGCTTAACCATTTAACTCTTGGCTCCCGCATCCATGACAGGAGCAATCATTTCTGCAAGGTCTTGAGTCAGTGGGGGTGAGTGATAGTCAGGCACCAGACTCCTTATTATTATGAAGCCAACGCTTGTCATGGCGTGGCCGCGTTTTGGCCGGGCTCGCAGGACCGGAAATTTTACCCAGATTACCTACTCCGTATAGTACCTTCATGCACTAGGTGTCGTGCCATTCGAGACGACAAAACTTACGTAAAGTACTTATGCGTGTGGCGCCGTGCTGGGGCTGTCAATGGACCGCCGTTGACCGTTAACAATAAAGCTGCACATGTGGTTTAGTACTCCTAATAGTACGGAGTACGGAGTACTACTCCGCAAGTTTATTGGTGAGGGCAAGAACCGCTCAAGTCTTGCCGCGCCCTTGCCTTTGTTTCAATCTGCCCTTGGCCCGCAGTTCTTGCCTGCAAGCTGCAAGCTGCAAGCTGCAAGCTGCAAGCTGCAAGACCTGCCATGTCACGTGTTCAATCCTGGATCGATTGCTGGAATCTTCATTGTTCGGTCTCGTCACTCGAGAACTCTGTGATCCGTACGAAGCACCGCTCCACAACCTTCGTTGTCCGTGGTCTGTGCTTCTCTCAGCGGCGTCTACCCTCCTAAATCCTCCATGGGCTCCGCTGTCGAGCTTTAGCGTGCATTTGGGATTGCAATGCTTGCTGGAGTCTCTACTACTACTAGTAGTATTTGCACCAGGGGGCCCCAGACTCATTACTCATTCATCCATCTAGTCAAGGAATGGTGGAGGTAGTACGGAGCGCCGTTTGATGGTTCCAACCAACTAAACATTGAAGCTTGCAGAGCAGCCCTACGCCGTGGTGCCACCTGATGTTGTGCTCCCTTTGCCCACTTGATCGACGAACTGCAGAACACACTCGTCTACGATGCTTCCTTAACCGGGCGTTGCCCTCGCCGACCTCGAAGACACGGAACGTCTTGTATGCCTGGGCTTGCGTTGCACAGACTTGCAGACTGAGCTTGGCGCATAGCCCGTGTTCGCTATTACCCAAAGCCTATGAGGCTAGCCAGGACAATCGCCAAAAATCCCAGTGGACTCAACCAAACTCCCTCCTTTCGCCGCCTGCGCCCGGGAATTGTCGCTAAACAGCTTCACATCGACAACTTTCGAGTCGCCTCTGCCACCAGGCGACGATCGCTCCGAGCTCCGAGGGCATCAAAGGCAGTCTTCGACCGTCTGTACTATTACGACAGATACTGTTGACGTACAGAAATACAAATTGAGACTCTGGCTAAGGAGTACATTCTTCGCCTGTCCAAAGAAGACAAAATGTCCAAGATGTTGTTCACTGGGCCCTTCGTACGGCGGCGGTCAAACTTCCTTCGCTACGCCGTCTTAGCTTTCATTCTCTTGGTAGCGTTTTGGAAATTTCACCAACGCGCTGAAGACCTGGTTAGTTTTGATCTGACCGTGAACCCCCCTCCTGGGGGAAGCAAGGGAACCACTGCTGATGACGATAAAACCGACAAGAGCCAGTCGACCGACTCAGATTCAGTAAAACCACCTGTGAGGCCGGACAGCACCAGGCGACCGGAAGGGACTGTACCGACTGTTGACTCAGAGGGCCGTCACCCGATAGACAAGCTTATCTATGATGCTCAGCATCAGTTTGCAGCAGTAGCTTCTGGCGAATCAAAAACATTGGAGCAGGCTGCCCAGGCTTATCGCAAGGCTCGTGGAAGGCATCCTCCTCCACATTTTGACAAATGGTTCGAATACGCCCAGTCACACAATGCTCTGATTGTAGAAGCATTCTTTGACCAGATATACGAAGACTTGGAACCATTCTGGGGCATCGACCCTGCACCGATGCGCCGCGAGGCTAGCCAGTTTGAAATGACTATCAATGTTCGTAATGGCACAGCCACGGCTGGGTCCGATTGGATGTGGACTAGGATCTGGCTCGACATGGCCAAGACTATCGAGGCTTTGCTTCCCGACATGGACATAGCTCTTAATGCCATGGATGAACCTCGACTGGTTGCCCCATGGGAGGATATCGACGCATATATGAAGAAGGCCTCTCATACACGAAAGCTTCCAAAAGCTGCCAAGACGGTGAACAAATTTCACTCTTGGCCTGAACCAAAGACCGGCTTTCTAGCAGGTGACATTGTTGATAAGAATTGGGAGAAGGATGGTAAGTGTCAACGATACTGTGGCTGGTTTGATTCGATTCTTTGAATAGAGGCACAAACTAACCAGCTCACCATAGAATTCTACTGGAAGATTGTTCGGCGTGGCTGCCCCCCCAACAGTCTTGCGAGGACGACGGAGCTTCAGACCTCTTTCCAAGACCCCCCAACTATTAGCAATGCATATGCTAAACCTCATTTTTACAAAGGCTACGTTTCCAACTATACCAAGTCAATCCAAGTGTGTCATCAGCCTGATTTGCAAGGCCTGGAGGGCCTTCTCATCCGACCCTTGTCGACCAAATCCACCAAGGTGATGTTTCCCATGTTTGGTGGTTCCAAGTTGACTGTCAACAATGAGATTCTCCTTCCAGCACCCATGTACTACAACGGAGAAGAGCGTTTTGTCGGTAACGGTGACCACGGTGTTGAATGGCCCGAGAAGACCGATAAAGCCATATGGCGCGGTGTGGCGACTGGTGGGAGAAACACAGAGGACAATTGGCGCGGCTTCCAACGTCATCGGTTCGTTGCCATGAACAATGGCACCAAGGTCGCTCGTGTCGAGTCTGGTGAGGACAGGGCAGAGAACTTTGTTCTTCCGGAGAAGGAATATGGTGTGCAGGCTCGTGCAGACCAAAATCTGGGACCTTGGGTTGACGAGTTCGCCGATGTTGGGTTCATCGACCTCATGTGCAACACCCCTGATCAAGGGAACTATTGCAACTATACCGACTTTTACTTCAAAGCCATGGATGGCATCAAGCTGACCGAGCAGTTCAACTATAAGTTCTTGCCTGACATTGACGGCAACTCATTTTCTGGCCGATACCTAGGGTTTCTACGATCTACTTCACTCCCCATCAAGTCAACCATCTTCCGTGAGTGGCATGACTCTCGTCTGGTGCCATGGAAGCACTTTGTTCCCATGGACAACCGATTTACAGACTACTACGGCATCATGGAATTCTTCCGTGGATACCAGGGTCGTAATTCTCACGATGAGGCTGCCAAAAGAATTGCAATGGAAGGCAAAGAGTGGGCAGAGCGGGTCCTTCGCAGGGAAGACATGCAAATATATATGCTGCGACTGTTACTCGAATATGCTCGCGTTATGGATGACGACCGCGAGTCCATGGGCTGGACAGATGACGTCGCCATGAACCCATCACTGGCCAAGTCATGGTCATGGTGGTGGTAAAATTAGGCCGAGGCCGGATCTGTCGATGGGTGCTGCGAAATGATGAAGGGAAAAGTAGACTGCTTTGGGGACATCCGGAGGGGGAGGGGATTCTGAACACTTGCCAATCTGCTGGCCAGGTTTTTTTTCTGTCTTTTTTTTGGTCCTTCCTACATCATCAGATATCTTTCTACTGGCTAAGGAGTGAAGGCGTCTGGCGTTTGAAGAGGTGGAACAAACAAACAAACAAAATCTCAACATCATGTATAGCATTATGCGACGGGCGGACATGAATTATGTACTATACCTTTGTGAACAATTGATACGAACCTAGTGTATGATAGGGGGCTGCTCCGAGTTTTCACCATCGTTTCTTTTCTTGTACGGTTACACACGAACGCTTTCATCTGCTAACAAAGACTCCAAATCGCCCCGTTTCAGCGGTCATGACTCCCACGTTCAAAATTTAGTCTCTTGCTAGCTTTCTACTTTTATTTGGTGTATTCTGATTTGATTAAACTAAGCCTGTGTATTTCCCTACTACTACCCCATGCTTTGAAGCGGAAAGCTGCTTAACGAAAAAGACATCTGGGACGGATGGGGATGAAGTCATGGGAGGTGTCGGCGTGGGTGGCAAACGGAAGGGAGAGGAGGACGAGGAAGAGCAGCAGCATTGTGATGTAAGAATTCGTATTGGACGATTCTTCTTTGGGAGTCCCATTTCTGAGGGATGTAGGGAGGCTGTGAAATGGAAAAGTATCGAGCGGTTCGAAGCAGAGTTTGGGTGCCTGGCGGCTGTGGCATGGCTGGTATGTGCCGTTGTGAAGTGGTGGTATATTTGGTTGACGTGCAGCCCGATCCTCCTGTATACAAAGACCCTTCGGGATCATCTCTTTGAGTTATTCTACATATAATCATATACACCCACGCCCTAGAGCGCCAACCCAGTGGCCCCAGACTTGGTATCTTCCTCATCCCCATCACCGTCAACTTCCTCAACCAACCTGCCCAGCATCTGCGTATAACTCGGTCTAAATGGCCAGTTCATCCATGCCTCCATAATTTCAGCCCACTGATCGGCATTCATGGCTCGCACGGTGAGCGCCCCATTCCCTGTCATGGGCGTGCCCCCGCGACTCGGATCCCTTACACTAGGGCATTCCGCAAACAAGTCGCCAAATCCGCCCCAGAGGCCCTCCATGGCCTTTTGGATGGGTAGCAGCGTGTGATGGAACCAGAACCGCAGCATGACCTCGGACATGTCGCCTGAGCGTGAGCTATTCGGACCGTGTTGCCTGAAGACAGGGTGCATAGCCTTTGGCTGTATGTCAAGCAGTGCTGTCGGCGCATTGGGGAAAAACTCCTCCCCCTTTGCGGACAGGGGCTCGTAAGCCCTCCTGTCCCAGAGCAGTGCTGGTGGTGACTGGCGGAAGAGGTGGTAGCTATCCTTGATTCCGTTGAACTCGTTGCGTGAGTTCTTTGTGAGATTGTCGATTTTCTCGTTCCATGCCGCATTGGCCCGTTCAAACTCGGTTGGCGAGGATGCTGCCAACTTCGCCACTGTGTCTCTCTCCTGGAGCAGGCCCAGATACATGAGTGCATCTTTTTGGTCGTATTTTCCGCGCTGTCGCAGCGCCTTGAGTCGCTTTGAGGACTCGGCTGATTCAGAGAGCCCCTGCTCAAGCAGCTCGAGTTCTTGTTTGAATGGCCGTGTTAGTGATGGCGGTCTTGCACCCGCCAGTTTCTGCCCCAGTAGCGCAGGCTCTCGTTGCAGCTTCGAGTATACCAGCGTCTCTCGTCCTTTGGGCATGGACAATCCGGCAGCTTTCATCCGTTCAAGTGTCTGACTGGCTGACTCCATGTTGATCCATTCATCGCGGAGTGCATTGCGGTCTTCTACTTCGGCATCCAGTCCGGCGACTTCATGGACCCATTCACACGACAACTCGGCCTCAAACGCACTCTTCTTACGCCTATTGGTGGACCGAGGCAGTATCCTTCTCTTATCTTCGTCATTAACCCATATAAGCATACGGACCAGCCCGTATCGCTGAAATAGCGCTGACGTGCTTATGCTCGAAATGAATTGATACAAAACCATGGAACTAATGCTGTCGAATCCGTGAAATGCCTTCTTTGGAAACATGGACAAATTTGCCGTGATGAGAAGGGTGTCGTTACGGCTAGGCGTATCCTTTTGAGAAATTTCTTGCTGGTCGGACAGACTTGTGTGAAGCATTCCGAGAAGGTCTTTCCATACCAGCCCGGATTTTGGCAGTAACTCGACATTGTCTTTTGATATGAGGTCGGACAGAAAGGGTTTGTACAGCTCGGCATCGAGATCCATCATGACATGCTTGCGCGGCTCAAGGAACTCATGCAGTTTGCGGCTCCATACTCCAGCCCCAGGATTTAAATCGACAAGGTCACATCCTCGATGTCGTTCGAGCGAAGGCGCAATATAACGTATGACATCGTCTGCAACCTTCCGGATTAGATTCGAGAAATGTAAATCTGCAGGTTCTGAGTTAACATACCACACAAGCCCTCGCTGACTATATTGACTCTGCGAGGTTCAACGGCCCGAATTGCATCCGCCTTCTTCCGCCCTCCAGTTCGCTTCCACACCCCAGTAAGATTTAGCTGATGCGCAATATCGCTGGTCACTGAGAGCATTGGCGAGGCCTTTGACTTTGACTTTGTTTTTCCTGCTGGTTTTTCTGCCGCTTCTGCCGCCGACTTTGCCGATTTGGCTTTTTCTGGCTTCGCCAGTTTCACCTTCGGGACTGTCTTCGCTTTCACAGCTTTCACAACTTTGGCAGTCTTCGACTTCGTGGTGGTTACCTTGCCGCGAGCTTGTAGCAAGACCGGCCGAATAGCCAACCTTGCGAGAGAATTGTGGCCATGATGAAATGGTGCCAGCATCAAGGAATGATGTTGATGTTACTCGCCAAATGCAGTGGTGCTACGAGTTCATTGCAGGTTCAAGGTTTGGTATGACGTTTCAGAGCTTTCTTTCCTTGTCGGATCCGTCATGCATTGAAAAAGGGCCCACACCCTTGCTCTCGGAACCGGCAGCACCAGAAAGTGGCCCTGCAGGGGCACGAATTTTGTCACCAAATTAACCAGACATTGGTAAAGCATTGCGAAAGCCAAGATCCTGTTTACATTACTCGTAGGTATGGGTGAAAAAAAGGAAAAAAAAAAGGTTGAAAGGCGTCTAGATGTCTTCCAGTCGTATGATAATTTATGTAGTTGTGTGCGCCAAGCTCCTCCATGACTGAGCAATCCCAAGTCCAGCATGTCCACGAGACAAGCTATTCTGGGTTGCCGTCTCCTATAGGCCCTGAAAGTACGGACCAAGTAACAGAAATACCAAAGCCCCTACGGAGCACGCCAACTCCAAAGAATCAATATAAATCCGCAAGCTCGCCAAATGCCACATAAAACTCCAGAGGACGCCGCCATGCTATATACTTGTGTATCGTACCGTGTAGATTTGCACCATACTAGGCACCTTCACTTCCAAACTCATTGGTCCAGTCGATTTGCTTCTCAATGTCCTCTTTAGATACTGTAGGGTGCGAATCCTCTAAAGCCATCTCAAAGTCCTTCAGCGAGACGTCGGGCGCCAAGAGCTCGTCTGAATTGACGCCGTCGTATGTCATTTCGATCTTCTCAGGGTCACCTGGAGAGCATGGCGTCAACATCCTCTTTCCGTCTTTCATGACCTGTCACATGTTAGCAAATTCCTCCACTATGGGTTTGATTGAGGTCCAATCCTACAGGTTTGAAATGCGTAGCTTGCAAAATCTTGCGAACAGGGCGCATAAGAGCATGTTGCACCACATTGGCAATATCGCTTCCGGAAAACCCATCCGATGTATTGGCAAGCGTATTGTAATCGCCAGCTTGCAAAGCAGTGTCGGTATCACCAACGGCAAGCTTGAACATTCTTGCTCTACCATTGAGGTCTGGGAGGCCAATGTGCACTCGTCTTTGGAATCGTCGACGAATGGCTGCGTCAAGTTGCCAGGGAATATTGGTTGCGCCGAGGACAAGAATACCCTTGCTGTCATTGCCAACACCATCCATTTGGACGAGGATCTCGGTCTTGATGCGTCGAGAAGCTTCGGATTCTCCCTCACCACGTGGACCGCAAAGAGCGTCAATTTCGTCAATGAAAATGACCGACGGCTTGTTCTCTCTTGCCATGGAGAAGAGAGCCTTTACAAGTCTACAGGAGGCTAACTGTTAGCATACCGATATATCACTGTCGACTCCTGAAGGATTATCCCACCTTTCACTTTCACCCATCCATTTGCTCACCAAGTCTGAACTGCTGATGCTGAAGAATGTACTGTTGGCTTCCGTTGCAACGGCCTTGGCAAGATAACTTTTTCCAGTACCCGGGGGACCGTAAAGCAAAATACCCTTCCACGCTTGACGTTTGCCCTGGAACAAGCTGGGAAATTTGATGGGTAACACAACAGCTTCCTTGAGAGTTTCCTTGGCCCCTTCTAGACCAGCAATATCCTCCCACCGAACATTTGGTCTTTCTTGCAAAATGGCCCCGGACAAGGCATTCCTGAGCTTTTTGCTGTCGTCGTCCTCGGGAGCACCTTTACCTTTGCCTGTGCTTGCGCCATTTGCACCCATGAGAGCTTTCCCGCCGTTGGCGTTGGTGTCGGCCTCGGACTGTAGGAATTGTTTGAGCTTTTCGGCACGATCGAGATACGTCGCCATCTTCTCTTGCATGGTTGCCTTGAGAGCCTTGTTCTTCTCCCACTTCAGGGCCTTGACCCATAACTCCATGCTGGACATGTAGAGATCGAACGCCTTCTGATATTCCTTGGCATGGTCAGCAGCAATAGCTTTCTGGACCTCGGCGATGGCCCGGTCGCGGAAATTTGTTGACATGGTGACACAGTCTTGCGATGTACGGTTTGCGGAATCGTGTAGAATCGGAGCAGTGCACGGAATAGAGAGGCGTGCGAACAAGCGAGATCGGACGGCGCACGTAACACAGCTCGCAGACGCGCTCCTCGACGGATTTAACGTAGGGTCAGTTAATATAGACGGAGCAGGAGCAGCGAAGCGCGAAGTCGGTGATGAGATGTGATGCAGTCGTGGGCGTTGTTGGGACTGGCAACGTCAGAGTCATCAAGTCCACATGAGAAAGCTAACGTGAGGGTTAGTCGATTGGTACCTGGTCTTGTTTGGATTGGCGGGGTAACAGGCAGGTATTGGAGTCGAGTGGCGGGGGGGCTTGAAATTACTCCAGAATTCTTTTTGGCTGCCACCTACGCAAGCACGAAAGTATTTTTCATTGACATACTTGTCGTTTACTGAGCTTTAGTTGATTCCCAGATGGCCTGGTGGTTGCGAGAGTGCGATTAAGGATCTACTTTGTCCTTGCCCTTTTGTGCCTTTGCCTGCACCTGGTGGGGCAAAGCGAGCGTGTCGAGATATCTGGAGACAATTTGATGGGGCTCGAAACCAACCGTTGAACGTCAAGACTTTAATGCACTTGGACTCATTCGAGACAAAGGTGTGCCGGCACGACAGGAACTACGCCAAAAGATAAAGACCAGAGCCTTGAACCAGGTCAGGTGCGGATAGACCTTCCCACCGTACCCTACGCCGCGCCTGTTGTCTCACGCTCAATAGCCATGGCTGAGATCCAGGCCAAGCTCCAGACTCTGTCTGACGAGTACCAGAAACTTCAGCAAGGTAAGTTTCAACTAAAAGGAAGGCCGAATGGCCCAATTAAGACTATGTAATAACATATCTCTGCCAGATTTACAAAACACCGTAAACTCTCGGCAAAAATTACAAAGTCAACAGCAAGAGAACGCTGGTGTCTTCAAGGTTTGACGAACCGATTTCACCACTCAATCGAAATCGGCCGGGTATCTAACGCAGGACATAGGAGTTTGAAAAGCTGGGAGAGGATGAAACCATCTATAAGCTCATGGGTCCTGTGCTTCTGAAACAAGACAAGGTTGAGGCAGAGAGCACCGTTAAAGGGCGTCTAGACTTTATTGCAGGCGAAGTGTAAGTTCATTGTTCGACAGTTATTGTTTGGGAATGGGAGACATGACTAACCTGGAAATTCTAGAACGAGGCTGGAGACACAGATCAAGGAGACTCAGGACGAGCTGGAGAAGAAGAAGGCGGAAATCATTCAAATCCAAGCCTCCGCTCAAGCCGCTGCGGGCGGAAAAGGACCTCAAAAATGACACTAGATTCCTATGGAGAAGAAAAATACGATGATATACCCACGTGAAATTTGATATCGTATGACTTGGTATGAGTGGGATGGTAAATCTTGGATCTTAACAAGGGTGACCATTCTCCCCAAGACTTGGCTCTGCGGTGTATAATGTTGTGGCCTGCGGTTTGCGGACTGGGCAACGTGAAGAAAAGATGCGCCAGGGTCACAGCAGGCATCCTCATCGACGACCTGTTGATGACATATCAGATCCATACGAAGTATTTCAATGTTGCCTCACATAGCGTGGAGTAATAGCCCGCAAGGTCCTCTAGGCAGCTGCGTGTGGCACGTGAGCCGCGCGGTATATCTATGAGCGTCCTCATCAAGGTTCCAACAAGGGACTAGATCTGCCAAGTTTCATCCAGAGATTTTCTCAGCAGTGGAATGACCATGGACTTTGCACTTGGACACTTTAAAATCGACGCGGAAATAATTCCAAAGACGACCCTTCGCGCGATGCGGCGACCCTGCCACCTGCCCCACCAACATTGAACATCAAACGTCGGAAAGCTGTAGAACTGCCGACCCACGTCACTCGTCGGTCGAGGCCCACCTCTTGCTGCTCTTGTCACCATTCGCATTCTAATCTCGGTCAATTTTCATACATACCTTCAGGAGCCAGGAGAATGCGTTCGTAGGATGAGCGTATGGGGACTTGCCGTATTACCCCGCGGCCTATTTAGCCTGAGGTTAGAAACGCAAAGCCGAGCGAAGACCACGACCCTCCAGGACGAATCATTGAAATGGATGCTGGATCAGGCATGCGGCCAACACGGCCGCAGAGCGTGAAAGAGCTTGTCGCCCAGGCTGAGAACTTCACTTTTAACGCAAACATTCCGTTCAAGCACTGGACTAGAGCTGCAGAGACGCTTTACCAAGAGGTATGTCTATTCTGGCCGCGGCAATCTACAAGTTCCGTGGTCAATCACCGAGCGGGCCACAGCTACTAACAAGTCCCAAGGCCTCGTTCGCCCTGTCGGATGGCGACTATGGCCGAGCATATATGATGTTGTATCGACATTCAGTGCTGGTCTTGAGATGCCTCCAGACACACCCTCAGTTTAAAGACCCCGAGAGCCGTAAAGCCTTTCGTCCGCTTTCCAAGCGTATAGACCGCGTTATCGCCGATCTCGAAGAAATAAAACCTATAATCAATGACGAATATGCTGAATGGGAGCGAGTGAGACCTGCGGGCTCGAAACTAGAGGAACAAGGACCATTAAAGTCACCATCAAGTTACGGGGAATTTGCGGCGCGCGACCCCAGCCTGAGCGGCAATGCAACTGTTTTAGACGCATCCGAGAACCAAGAACTGGCTGTAGAGTTGGCGCAGAAGGAGTTGGCGCGGAGAGATACAGTTCGTCAGGCGAACAGACGTACTCGGGTTTACGGAGATACCATTCTTACGTCTCGCCTTGGCGATGGCCAAAAACTCGACTTCAGCCTTCAAAGCCAGATGGAAGCTGTTCGAAGAGCCACTGAATCTTCACAACAAGATCTATATGAAAGCCAAACCCACAAGCCAACGACTACGCCGCACCGAGAAGCCGTGCCGCAGTCGTACGTTTACCCGTCAATATCGAAATCGAGACCTCTTCAGTTGGATGAAGCCCCTCAAACACCACCACGACCACCCAGCTTATCGCCCCCCAGCCGCCCTCCTAAAGAATACATACATGCCCCCCCCAGAGATCCGTCATACATATCTCGACGGGAGTTACCAGTAGTTCCGAACAAAGTTCCGGTTGCGGACTCACTTTCGGCATCTTATCCAAGTTATGAGGTGGCAAGGAAGAATCAACCCCCCCTTCCTCCAAAAACACTGGATGGCCCATCACTTCCTAAGAAAGAACGACTGGCATTCAAACCTGGAGCATATCTCGAAAATGGCGATCCAATCCGTTCTGTATTTCTTCCCAGTAAACTTCGAGCTGCCTTCTTAGACGTCGCAGCTCCAAACACAAACAAGGGCCTGGAAATGTGCGGCATCCTGTGCGGGACACCCGTTAATAACGCATTATTCGTGCGCAGCTTGCTCATTCCAGATCAAAAATGCACGTCAGATACTTGTGAAACAGAAAACGAGAGCGCAATATTTGACTACTGTGCTGGGGAGGATTTGATGGTTCTCGGATGGATTCATACGCACCCAACTCAAACTTGCTTCATGAGTTCTCGAGATTTGCACACCCACGCTGGATATCAGGTTATGATGCCAGAGAGTATTGCAATAGTGTGTGCACCTAGATTTACTCCGTCGTAAGTGTTGGACCCTCTACTGAGCCAGGATGTGCGCTGACAGCTGTTGAGGTATGGCATATTCCGATTGACACACCCGCCGGGACTGGACCATATCCTGGATTGCAGGCAATCGGAAACCTTCCATCAGCACTCGGTTGACAATTTGTACCGAGAAACGGAATATCCAAACGGTCATGTTTACGAGAGCGAGAAGATGCCATTTGAAGTCAAAGATCTGAGGAGGAAATGAATGGATGTATAGATGATTGTCAACTTGAGATACGTCTCACTATGACAGTTACCTGTCAGCTACAAAGTGGTGGACGAGCCACTTAGTTGCTAACGGGTATTGCTAATCTTTGGACAATGCTGCACAATTTGGGAGCCGTGCATACTCATGATCCATGTTGATACGACGCTGGGATTATTAGCTGACGGCTCACACAAGTTAGGCAAGATGAAAAAAAAAAGAGCATGAAGTACCAGCAGCATTACTTCTCACACAATATTCCCGATGAATGGGCATAATAATACCTGAGACATAAGACGGAGGTCAAAACGTCCACATATAGAGATTCACACCTTCATGTCTCATGGGTTGAAAGGATATCGCCCTATTGACTTGGCAGTTAAGAAGAGACAAAAAAGATATAACCTCATCGATATCTGAACTTGCAAGCGACATTCATTCTTGCCAGTTACGGGAGATTGCATGAATGAAATCACTGAGCACTACTAGTACGTAGTATTGACTAGCGACTAGAGCTTGTACCACATGACAAATAAGAAATTCATCACCTTGACTGAAACATACGGAGTACATTGGTACAATACGTACCTACCTACGGAGTACCTACCTAAGGTAGGTAGGTACATGTACGGAGAATGGAGAGGTCTGGCACCATGCCAGTACGGAGTACTCTCAGCTCAATCCTTGATGTGCGGATGAGAAGCTGCAAGACAATCATCACGCACGCCTGACACGACCGCAAATTAGATACTAAACAAAAGGAAAAGGCAAAGATCCGCAGCAAATCGGATGCGTGGCTGGCGCGGCATCTCCTGCAGGGAACAACCGGTCGCCCCCACGTCCATGAATTCGTCGATTGATGGCGTCCAACTTCGCTTGCAGTGAGCTGAAGACGCCACGAACCAGGTCTGTCTACACACCAACATTCTTATTGGGCTTCAACGGCCGACTTTTTTGGACTCGTCTGCTCTTTGCGAAACGCTGCAATGGCGGCAGTGGTCGTGATTGTCGTCCGAGCGATGTGTCATCTCTGGCCAGTTGATTGGCGCGGGCACGAGGGAAGCAGTTTATGTGCAGCCTCCTCAAGGGCCGCGTTCGAATTTGTCAAATGGAGCATCCACGATCATGCAGGCAGTACTCGATTCAGGACCG